TATTAGGGTTTACATGAACAAAATAATGATCCATGTTTGACAATACATTCGCTTTAAATATTTATGATTGAATCTTTTTTTCATAGTTATATTACATCAGTGTTTCAATAGCATCTAATCTGCATTTAATCCTACGTCAGTAACAGACAATAACTCAACAGCTATTGAGAGCCAGTTCTATTTCCTCCCTAAGTGTGGCTGAATGAGTTGTACTGCTGCAGCCCCGAGGAGCCCATTGAATCTAGTCTATCACCGCCAACTCCCACAGACACTAAAGCTCCATAAACTAACCTGTCATCCCAGGAAGGCCCTCTTAAAAGCTTTGGATCTGCCCAACTCAACTCTACACCACAATGTAATCAATTAAAAGATTAAGAAAAGCCAGGGGAATTAGTTGATGTATGGTTAATGACATTGCACAAAGATACTTGCATTTGTGTTTAATCACAGTTTTTGGCAGTGGGCTTCATTCATAATGCTGTAGAGACCAGAGTGCTCAGTGTTTGACAATGTGCAATGACAACTGAAATGACTAGAGCTCAGTGGCATTTGGAAATGCATTTATGAATCAGTATCATTATCAATTGTGTAGAAGTAGTAACAGCAGATTTAGTCATCACAATTTTATTATTTTATAGAACCAAATAGACCAGAATTCAAACCTCAAACACATGATTTATAGCCTGTTGCTTTATTGTGTCCATAGGGAAATTTGTCTTCTGCTTTTGAAGGATGGGGCTCCTTCAATGCCGCCGGGGCACCCTGTCAGGGGCAGTGGGCACTGGCGCTGCGCCCATTGACACATCTCCATATCTTCAGCTAGGCTTGGTCAGGACTAAATTACCTGGAGGAGTTTACCTGTTTATATTTTTGGGTGATGGGGAAACTGGAGGAAACCGACTCAGACACATTGAGAAACATGCAAACACAGAAAAGCTCAGGTGGCCCGGGAGTTTAAGCCAGAAACTTGTTGCTGTGAGGCGAGACTGCAAGTCACTTAGTGACTGTGCTGCTATGCCAGGATGAGGAAATCATCAGCAAGAAAAGCGGTGAAGAGAGACATTCAGTGAACAGTCAAAAAATAATTAGGCCTTATTTGACTTTAGTCTCTTGTTATTTTGCTACCTATTTTTAATGTTACCATTTATATTTTTGCTCTTTGTTATTATAATGTTGTGATGTGCATGCTACTGTGTCCAAATAATTTCCCTTGTGGATCAAGAAAGTCTAAGTCTAAAATACAGTGAACAATACTGAGGCCTGCCCATGGCCATATAGTATATTTTATCACATAAAGCTGCAATCCTTTTTTTTTTTTCCAGTTTATTATAAGACTGAATGGGATCAAGTACAACACGATGACCACAACCATAATCTTGAATATTGAACACGTCATGACACATTTGTTTCTCTGCTTTTCACTACAATACAGCATTATTACACTTGGAAATGACCAGAATTCCAGAGTTCCAGATGGACTTAGTGAGCACATGTTGTAGGAGGATGTCAGTGTTCCTCCGTGTGGGCAGAGTGGGCTTTTGGGTGCAGACGCGAGGTGATTTTGCTGGTACGAGACATTCCCTGCTGTGCTCAGCGGTCCTCAGCCAATTAGGGGCTCTGTTACCCATCTTCTTCCAATAACAAAGCGTCAGCCTGGTGCCCTGCTCAAATGTGCCTCTCAAACACCATTTACTTCAACAAGCAGCTCTTCTCTCTGAGTTAGCATCCTGTTTCTCTCAATCGAACCAGAGCACAGCATTCGTGTTCTGATTCATTTCACAAGAGAGTGCTCAAGGCTGCTGCTGCCGCTGCAGCTGCTGCTGCTTCTGCTGCTGCTGCTGATGCATCCTCTCACATTGTAGATTGCACTTTTGACACACAATTTGTTTCTATTGTTAACAGCTATTGTGTTCCTGTGTGGACCTTATTTTGCATATTTGTAACAGCTACAAAAGAAATAAATATAAAGATGTGTATCAAATCACTTCTTATATTCAGACATAAACTTACTTGAATCTGGAAAATTATAATTGAATTAATTAATCACTGGGTTTATATAGTGCCTTTAAAGATACCTAAAGTGCTTGGCAGTGCATTAGTCATTCACTCTACACTCGGAGGTGGTAAGCTTGTAGCCACAGCCGCCCTGGGCAGACTGATTAAAGCGAGGCTGCTGATCTGCACCATTGGCCCCTCCGACCACCACCAACACTCACACACACACACCACATTAATACTATTTGATGTGGGTGAAGTATTTTGCCACTGTGGCACCTGGAGTCTCCCTTCCAAGTACTGACCAGGCCCTTCCCTGCTTAGCTTCTGAGATCTGAGCCAGTGAGGCCATTTACTGCACTGAAAAAGAGAACAAAATAACAACGACACTTTGGAATTTAAGACATTTTATTTCAACTATATTTTGACCTAAAATCAATCAATTTCATGGTCTTTTTTAATTACACTACCAGCCTTGTGGAGACTATTTAAAATCATTAATATTGCTACCTTTACATACGTATAGTACTATACGATATACTTCTGTAGCTCCCTGAGCTCGAAGCAGCCAGATGGTTTTGTATTAAAGGCGTGTTGGACAAGGTCAGTGCTGCATATAATAAAATCATCAGTGAAGTGTGTTTTTTCTCATTTTCTTCAGCCCTGTAGAGCCGAGGTCAGGCTGAGAGAGTGTGGGGGTGCAGAGGAGGCAGAGGTGGGTAATGGGTTATGGAAGAATCCAGAACAGGGCGAGGCTGCAGCCATCTGTCTGTATGTACAGTACAGTATGTGCGAATAACAAGTGAGAGGAGACTAGAGCCACAAGCTGAGAGGGAGAGAGGGCCCTGCAGGGGACAGAGGGGAGGCTAAATGTCAGCCAGAAACATGTCATCAAATGTGGATCCAGACTTTTGGAGCTCACAAAAATGGACAATGATACAAACTTCTCTTTCCATTCTGTGCAAAAATATTTGTCAAGGTGCTTTTTGGGGTGCTATATCAAATAGTTCACCTTTTAAAACCCCACTGTGGAACTTAATAGCCATTTTTGGCTATTTTGGTTTGAAAAACGTGTTCTTACTGAGATCAGGTTTGCATCTTAACAAATCAAAGTTGTTCTTTGGCTATAATATTCCACAGTAGCATGAAAAAAAAATTTCTTTATGAAGAATGTTCCAAAGTATGGTTTTAACTAACGTGTCACCTCCAGAAAGTTACACTGTGCTGCTTTAATACAAAACTGTTTGCATAATGATACCTTTTAGTGAGGTAAAATTAGCTGGAGGCTCTGTGGGAAGCTATGTTACTCAAGTTAGACTTTATTAATCTGGGTTTTGTTTTAACACAAATGTAGCTTAAGTCGCACCAAACCAAGTCTACATTCTATTTAATATACAATTTATTTCAAGGGAAGAAAGCAAGTTAGAATTTCATTGCATAGTTGCTTTCACTGTGTACTACTTTCAGTACTTTGAATATCAGGACTAAGCTAGGATCATATGCAGCCTTAGTATACTCTGTATTTGTGCACTTCAGTTGGATTTAAATAGAGATAGAGAAAAACACATCCATATTTCAAACACTTTTGCCACCACAAACAAACTATGTACTGAAAAATCGATTTGCTAAAAAGGCACACAGCAAACTAGGCTTTTCTGTCTGATTTTTCAAGTTTACCCTCCACTACCTCGATGGAAATAGAAACAAGAAACCAAAAGAAAAGTGGATAAGATAATATTGCAAGACCCAAACCCTTTTCCTCTCAAGTAGTGCTGCACGCTTAACTCCAGGCTCATTTAAACCATTAAAGATAAATCAATGTTTGCCCAACTGAAGTCCTAATTTAAAAGGTCTGATCTATAATAAATTACCAGGCACTTGTGTAAATGATGTCCCACTCTAATTATAGCACTTGACCAGCTCCGGCTCACTGCTATTAAACCCGGGTCACTTCTCATTATCATCCTCACTATTCCAGTTTAGTGTTTTAACAGATTTGTGATTTCATAAAAACTGAGTTAGTCTAAAGGTGTATTTCTTCTAGAGCATAGACTGGGATAAGGACAGCATCTTGTTGCCGTTAAGCACATAGTATAAATAATAATCGCTGGCTTTGTATTGTTCTACTGGGAATTATTTAGCTTCTTCCGTTAGACTGGGCTCATGTGGATTTTTCTTTCAGAAGTTATAAATAGATTGCCAATATATTTCCCTATATCAATAACAATATTTAAAATCTGTTCATGGGTTTCAGCTTCTTGTTAAATACAACATTTTGAGGACTTTTTTTTGTAAATTGTTAATCGCTGTGGCAACTGTCCATTGTCATCATTCTGAAACATTGCAAGGTCCACACATTGATTATAGTAGAGTTCATAAACTAACTTTGACTTATTGAACTGTAAAAATAACAGCAAAATGTGTTTTTCTTGGATATAACATAATTGGTTGTATGATTGTGTAAACATACATCCACATTTTAGCTTAACTGCTCTTCTATTTCCACGTTAACTCATTAACTCGATCTAGTCTGTTTAGAAAGACGCATCTGATGCACAGAAGGGCACGAGAGACTGGAGCAGCAAAATACATAACAGACAGATAACAATGTTTGGAAACCTTCTCCAACAGCAGAGATATATACCACTTCTATTATCCATGGTTTTCAGAACTATATAAAATTAAAACCTTTACCATGGCAATTAAAAAATGTAACACTAACTCTCATTTGAATGGTGAAAAACCCTTAAAATGGAGGTTGATATCCATGACTAGGACTTCATGACAAGAACCTTTTAGTTGCATTTTGCTAAGAGACAAGAATCAGTCTAATATTTCCAAAAGTTAACCAATCTGAAATTTGTTTGTTTAATGATAATTTTCAGAGCAAAAATACTCAAAAATATCACTAAAAGCTACGATTGTGCTTTGCCATCAACTGAAAAACATTTTTACCATCAGGCTTTTAACCAGAAGTATCTCTTGATGTTTCTTTGTATTCTCAGGGTCAACCACCTGCACTATCACCATGAGTATGAGGACAGCCAGGAGTTTGTGTATGAAGATGGAGACTACGACTATGGCAGTGACAACAGGTATTCACTTACACAATACAGTAATATACATAGTGACCTAGCATTTATTTCAATTCACACTCTGTAGAGCCTGATATTGTCATAACTGTGAGATGGATGGCAGGAGCCTGATTAATTACATGGTGGATTCACTTTTTTGAAAGAAATATCAAAAAGTTTGATCCACAAATACTGAACCTTATTATTATTTGTTAGAGACTGGGTCCATAATTCAAAGTCCTTTCAACTGACAACAATCAGATCTTTTGATGTTTAATAACTGAACCACTTTCTGAAGTTACTGAGAAAAATCATTTTACTTTTATTCATACTGACAGATAACTTTTTCATGTAGATAGGCCCAGTAATTATGGAAATATTAACCATAAAGGTTGTCAACAAATCTGCAGTTTGACAGAGCAAATTCGACCTTAGAATTCTGCCCTGATGTTTAGCAACATTTTTAACTTTTCATTGGTTTTCAGCTTCCTGTTATAGGTGACATTTGGAGGATTTTTCCTGATTTAAAAGATGAAAATATTTGGTTTTAATTTTTAAGTGCTTTTATAACAGTGCCAATTTCCATCTTTCTGAAACCCATGGACAGAGATTCTTGAATATTATGAAGTGTCCTCCATAAACTGCTTTTCAGTTGGCCACATCCATATTCAAATGATCCGAAATGTTTTCCAATTCAAGTATCTACGCCATCTTGTTCTGCGGCTCCAAGTTAGCCAGGCGTTTATGTTTGAGAATTACAATGGAGATGGCCATTTAGATTTCTTCCTGTGTCACTCCAAAGCAGATTAAGTGTTAGAGTCATTTCCCAAAAGCAATTTCCTGATTTTTGTCGCTACTTTATTGCTATAACATTGTTTCCTATGGCTGAATGATTTGAGTAGATGAGAAAATTGATGCTTAGGTTTGTTAGCTATGTTTTCCTTGTTATTCTTTCACAACATAATAGCTATAATCAAAACTTTTTCTGTTCTGATCAGAGTGTTGTAATATTGCAATGTCTTGTAAATGATTTTATTCAGAGAGAAGAGGAAATCCACCAGCTCTCCATCTCCGCGGCCAAAGAAAAGGAAGAAGAAGAAATCTGGCCGGAGGAGGAGCCGGTGAGTGGGAGCGGAGTGCAGTGATGTTAGCCAAAACGATTAGCATGTGGGTTTGTGGAGGCTCAGTTATTTTGTGTGAATATAAACTGTGTATCAGATTTTACATAGAGAAAAGGCAAGGTCAGTCTGAAAAGAGGGAGTGAAAAAATAAGTTCAAGTTAGCAATTTAATACTTTTTTGTACATGAAAACTAATTACGTCAGGTGTAATATATTGGGTATTGAACAAATAAAATAAAGCAGCAACCAATTAAAAGTGTAAGAAGTTATCAAAAGACTAAATTAACTTCATACAGGAGTGGAGCTGCTTTCAGTTAAAGGTCCAATATTACACAAAATGGATTTTCGTGAGCTTTAAGCCATGTTATAAAGTTGTGTTTTGTTTCATTCACACATGTTTGAGTAAGCCTGCATTATTAGTCTGTCTACATTTCTAAACCTCAAAATGCTGTTCCACCTTTTGATTTCATGAAGCGGTAGTTTTCAAGTTAAACAGCTACCTTTTACCTTTAGTTGAGAAAAGGATCAGAAATTCTAGGACTGAATTTATCCAGATGATTCTAGTGAAAGTGTATGAAGTTTAAAAACATAGTGGAGCACTTCCTGCATTACCACATGACATCACAAGGTGGAACAGGTGTTTTCTGTTTCAGAGAAGAACTCAGTCTAAATATACAGGATTTGTGTGTTGAAAATGTGTGAGTGAAACAAATCACAAGTCAAGGTATGTTTGTGATGAGGACACAACTTTATAACATAGATCAGAAAATAGTGTAATGTGAGCCCTTTAAAGATGTGTGTCAATTTTCTAATGTGTGTGCCACCTGCTTGTCTCCATAGAGATTGCTTTACCTAGAATGTCCTACAACAGGAGTTTCCAACCTGTAGCTCAGGAGCTATCAGTAGTTTGCCAAGGGATTTCTGAATTACACGTATTGTCCTGAATAAGTGAAATTTGATTGATTAAATTACCATTGTACATGTATTATTTAGTACAGTGACTAACTTTGTATACTAATAAATGGGTAATGGTTTATGTATCTAACCGAACCTCATTTAAGGCTCACCGCGGCACTTAAATACACTCCGTTTCTTGTGACTGCTAAAACTAGAAGCTCTCTGGCATTTTCGTTTTGTAAAGGTAGCTCACTGGAAGAATAAGGTTGGAGACCCCTGCCCTACAGTTTGGCATATCATTTTATAAAGTCTTTTTATATATCAAAGAAATACAATTAAAAAACATTCTTACTGGTCTGCAGACAGGTAATATCACATGCTTTTCTCCATGGAGATAGACAATTTTACGGAACATTTAAGCAATAGCATCTCCGTGATGGCAAATAGGTGGTGGATGCTCTACCCAAAAAGTTACACAGTGCATCTTTAACTCATATATTTTCATGCCAGATGATTAAAACTATTGTATTTTCAGCAGCCTAATTTAATATGAGATGGCTGCAAATTGATGCAAATAAAATAAAAAAGTTTGTAACAACCACAGGGACAAAAAATCCTGTGGAATTTTTGTCTTTTTATCCCAACTATATCTCCCACCGTATTGCAATGGTGAAATAGGACTTCTCATAACTGTACATGACTTCTTGTTTAGGGGAAAATGCTCTCTTGTATGTCACAACAAAAATAAATTAATTTGCATCTGAATCACAAGGGCCACATCAAACTATGGCAATTACTACCGTCTACACTGCAAAATCAGTTTAAAAGCGCTGGGGAGAGGATGGCTTGGGAACAATCAGATTAAATTTACACTATATTGGTCCCGGAGGAAATCTACGTTCCAGTTGTAGCATCACAAAAGTTACAAAGGCACTTAGCAGCATACAGTTTTAGGAAGACGCATTACCAAGAATATTAAGCAGCCCTAACAAATCAAAACCATTAGAAGAAACTGGCATTGCACTTAGCTATATTAAGATACTCAGCCAATCTCCCAATCCCCTTTATAACCCAATGTAATTCATCATGTTGTGTAAAATATTTGGCTGTAGTTTGAGTACTCATCCAGTCTCCTTTTTGTCACTAGGTTTGGCAGCTCCTCGCCCACTCGCCGAGAGAAGAAGAAGAAGAGCGGCAAAAAGCACAAGCGCGACAGGTGAGTGTGTTTGTACATAGGAGATTTCAAAGTGCCTGTCTGCACCTGCCCTCTAATAGTGACAGGTTCAAAGATGCACATGCATATTAGCAATTTAAAGGCAGGGTATGTGGGATTTTATGTAATATTTCATAAACTTGCCTTTCGGGGTTGGGCAGTTTGACAAAAAATTTTGGTTTTCAAGTCAGTGACTAAAACCAGTTGGAAAAAATCTAAACGGGTCTTGTCAGATCTAAATACTCAGTGTTGTAGTGCAGAGTGAAGAAATGTTGAGGTCCTTCTGAGCTTTCCAGTGTTCTACAAAACATGTATGTGTCCTCAGTTTGCATGTTAAAGGGCCAGTGTGTAGCTTTACTTGTGGAGGTAAAATTGCAGTGAGTCTCCATGGAGATGTTTTTGCTTTGCCTGTAACATTTATTTTACTACCTGCTTTGTCTGAAATATTTCCCAGTACCTTTTTATCATAATGGAGGCCAAACCAGGTCCAGTTACTAGTCTGTGGAGTCTGTGGAAAGACGACCCCGCCTGTTCCTCTAGGTATTTTTGAGCTATAAAACCACCTTTAATTGAATAAATGTAAAGTACATCTGTTTAATGTCATATTGTGGAACATTCAAAGCAGAACAATGACATTGCCATAGAAACAACAATGTGAAGGACCCCCCAATCAAAAAGTTACATAGTGCACCTTTAATGTCATACTGTGGACTATTTCGGCAAAGCAATAACATGTCTATGAAAGCAAGCAGGTGAGGAAAGTTACATAGTGTACATTTAAGCCAACCCAAGTTTAATTGTTTTCCTTTTTAAACCAGACAGTGTGCATCCTTCATACCTTCTACCTTCCTACCTTAAAAATAAAATAAAATCCCATATCAGCAAGACAGTCCCAAAATACTTTCCTTTCCTTGGTTTTTTATTACGTTGAGCATTAAATTTTATTATGCCACTCTTCAATATGTGTCCCATGGAGGCACTTATTAAAATGTAGAAATCTATTAAAATTAAGGAAGCACAGAGTGGAAGGAAGCCAGACAGAACAAATGACAAATGTTCAAGATGATGAAGCGGGACAGGAAGGAAGGAACACTAAAAACTAGCAGCACTGGAGAAGCGCAGACATCCATCAGCGCAAGAAATGTTTTTTACACTTTGAAATCGTCTAAAGTTCCTTGCCAAAAGTTCTATATATCGCCAGGAGCACGTCTGCAGTTCAACAGTGTCCATCCAGCTCGGATTCCAACAGTAAATGTGTCACAAATTTTCCCCTCTTGACGTGCGAAATATCTGTTTAGTGGTAGTTCCAATATTGATGAAGTCATGCTGCCAGCTATCACTCCAGTCTTTTTACACTTATGAACAGCATTCTGAGGACCATTCAGTGTTTAGTTTAGTTTAGTTTATTTAATGAATGAGACAGAGACAGCGCCTATAGGAGAGATGCACTGTACCAAATTGTAGCACTAGTTTAATGATAGAATATTTCATTTCAAATAGTTAATTTCTATGGGAACAATACTAATTCTTCATTGATTCATAGATACAAAAAAAGATTTCTTATTTTGTTTAGTTTATTTGAACAACAAAAAGATATAATCATATTTTATAGAAAGATAAAAGACAACAAGATGTAAAAATGGAGGGAAACAGTCTGATATGTTTTTGCGAAATTGTGGAACTAATGATATTACTGTAATTGAAAATTGGAATTGAATCGCTAAGAAGTGAACAAAACTGCTTTGAAAAACAGTAAAAACATATTCTCCTTGACTGAAGTAAAATTGTGTGCCGGGGAAAAAGACCCAATGGAAAAACATTTTACAGAGAATAGCAGAAAATATGAAAAAACACACTTTCACCTCATCATCACATAAGCCCTGCGCAACGCCTTGGGATATCATAACAAATCATAGCAGGCTCTTCTCTGATTGGCTGCCTGGTTCTGGGGGGAGGGGCGGCTTCTAAATGAGTTGCTCTAATAACCCGGGCCTGTACCACAACACAAGAAAAATGAGCCTAGCACCAAATTGCTGAGCATCAGTGCACCAGCTCCCCTCCTCTTCTCCACCTCTCATCCATCCTCTCACACATCCCAGACCTTGTTCGCCCCCCTGTTTCCAATACACCCCCCTCACTATCACACACACATACACATCCCCTCTCTTTCTCTTCTCTCAGTCTCCGTCTTTCTCTCTCTCTCTGTATCTGTGTGTGTCTCTCTCTTCCTCTCACACTTTCTCTCCCTCCTCCCTCTTCTCTCCTTCTTCTCTCTGGCTCCCTCTTCTCTCCATTTCTCTCTCCGTCCCCCCTCTTTCACTCTCTCCTAGCGCAATGCAGGTACTGTTGATATATGAATAATGTATTGAACAGGGCAGAAAAGATCAACATGCCTGGTTTGTCCCTTGTGGGAATAGCCCTTTGTCGCCTTTACTAATAGTAATAGTAACAGTTCATTTCAGTGACTCTCACACTCGTGTAATAAAGTACTAGGCATGTCTGTTAAAAACCTAATATCCATGAAACAACATTTGATATTTTTTTTTGTCCTCACAGAGTCTTTATTTTTACTGTGTTTTGTTGTTTTGCTATTTATTTAGTTTCTTATATCAGGATTTAATACAATTATTTTATTTCCTTGAAAGCAGTGCTTGAGAATTGAACACAGTAGATTTGAAAATGCTTTGTTGTTTATTTCAGTTACCTCTTGGACACCCTCGTAGACTCTGGTTTTGTCTCATATTTAACCCAGTTTAGTACTGGTTAGGTCCTGTTCTAGTCTAGCCAGGCTGGCACCACCTAGTGTCTGCGCTCAATTTCATTTCTCTCCAGCGACTAAGTCAGGAATTAGAATGCACTAGACGGTTTGCAAGAAATCCAGAAGTGTGAATTCGGGCACCAGCCAATCAGCGAAGAGCCATACATTCTGTGTTGGCAACGATTCCTGAGATCAAGGATTTAAAGCCGGAACAAAGATAATGTTTGGTGAATTTTATCAAGGGGAAAGACGTTATTGTTCTTCTTCCTACGGGATTTGGAAAAAGCTTAATTTACCAGTTAGCCCCGTACCCATCTACCATCGAGCAAATGAATTCTAATGCTGCGAGGTCAGACAGTTTCCACGAAGTGAAACCGGCTGATGAATCAGAGTAGTTCTAGTCCTGTTTTAATCTTGATGGTTACACACTTGGCTCCTAAACATATTGAAGTATCTATCATCAATCTAATGATCAATATAGTGGATAATACTAGACAGTAGATAGATAAATAGATCGATAAATAGAGAGATACTTTATTGATTTCAAAGTTTGGTAGCAGCACCCTAGAAAATATAAATGGATGAATTTAACAGATCCACTGTACCTTTAATAGACCGGGGGCATACATATTACGTATGCAGTGCAATGTGACATTATAGGCTCTATTCACGCTTACCAGAAGACGTTGGAAACACGCAGATGATGACTTCCGGCGTAGTTACCGACACTGGGCGTTTGATAAAACCGTGGATTCAGCAGCAGCGTCTTCACAACCTGCCAGAAGTGTTCCATGGGGGACGGGACTCTAATCGCTTCAGTGTCACTTACAGACAGCTGGTTTTAACTGCTGATCTGCCAAACATAACAGAATTCTACAATGACATCTTTTTTTTTTTAATTAGACAAATTATAATACACAAATGAATAGGTCATTTATAAAAGGAAAAAAAAAAAGACATCTAGGTGGAAAAAAAAAACTGACAATTTTCTTAGTTTTCCCAGAGTTACTATCACCAACAAAGCCCAAAGGAAGTCATCATCTGCATGTTTCCAAACGTCTTCCAGTTTTCAGATGTTAGTGTGAATGGAGTTTATTGAGATTATAGTGGTAGAATTACTTTTTTCAGGTAAAGCAATAACAGCTCTATGGGGATGAGCATGTAGCAGACCACCAGAAAAGTTGCACAGTGCACCTTTAATACACAATCAGAAAACAAAACCAGACTTATGATCATTTGGGCATATTGAGTAGCAGTAATGAGGGCAAAAAATCCTGCTCTGAGGTCCGTATTTTGCTCCTGGGCCATAGTTTAGACACCCCTGGTTTAGACTGTGTGAAAGGCAAGAGTAATGGTGTTTCATGAGAAGTGCCCCACACACTCTCCTGCTGATTTCCTCCACTGGGGCAAACACAGGGCCCTAACTCACACATGGCACATATACATTAGCATGACATCTTTATTACACTGCTCTAAACCAGGTCCAGTGAATCAACACACTTTATACGTCCACCCACTCCCACTCTCTGCCGCATGCTGCATGTGTGTTAAAAAGCCCTCTTCAAGAAAAATAGAAACAACTCTTACCAACCAGTCTGACTAATCACCATGGAAACTGTATGAGGGGAAGAGGGGATACATAGGTGAGGTGTCAGTCAAACTGTGAGGGCTGAGAGGCGCCTGTCCACCCATTCACTGCAGTGTGTGAAAGAATACAATGAGCTGAGGTGAGGAGGACTGCTGTGTCAATCTGAGATGGAAAAAGTGAGGATTTGCTTTTGATTGTGATTAAATTTTAAAAATACACTTTAAAGGGCTCATAATACACTGTTTTCTGATGTTGTATCCTCATAAAAAATATACCTGGAGTTGTGCTTTGGTTCATTCACACATGGTCAACCCACAAACCCTGCATATTTAGGCTCAATTCTTCTCTCAAACAGAAAACTCAGTTCCACCTTGTGATGTCATCTGGTGATACAGGAAGTGCCCCACTGTGTTTTTAAACTCCATACACCTTCACTAGAATCATTTGGATAATTTACGCCCTGGAATTGCCAGTTTCTACTGAACTACAGGTAAAAGGTAGCTGTTAACATGATAACTACAGCTTCATGACAAAAGGTGAAGCAAAGATCTAGACAGACTAATAATGAAGGATTACTCAAACATTTGTGAATGAAACAAGACACAACTCCAGGTATGTTTTTGAGGAGGTAACAACATTTGATTGATGGTTACACACACGGATTAATAATAAAGATTACACAAGGGTAATTAAACTGTTGGATTTTGAGACCAAGTTATTCTAATCCAGATCTTCTGGCTAAAAACGAAAACTTGTGTTTAACTTTTGCAAAACTAAACAGCTATATTTCTGGAATACATCTAAAATAGGCTAAATTATCTTAAAGTTTTAAAAAACTGTCATGAGATATGCATTATTAAATGTTATTATCATTGTTAAAAGCACCACATATAGGTGTGGCATATTTATTACATTTTTTTCACTCAGTGCTCCATTGTCTTCTGGATGTGAAGATTTATTGATCTGACACATGTGTGGACGCAAATTTTTTTCAACCCGCAAAAAAATTTATAAATTAATTAATAAAAACAGGAGCGTTGTTTGTGGATGTAGCCTTAAATTCAGTCCTTTTCCAGCACACATGAAACAGCTCAAATATGATGCAACTTGTAATATATAAACAACTTGCTATAATTATAAATCCAATTGTGACAGGGGATTTTTGGATTTAAACCCTGAGCCTTTAGCAACCATAACTAAAAATATGATTCTTTTTAATGGGATTTCTGAAGGCATAGCTTTACATTCACTACTGCGCACACGTGTAGAGTAAATGTCACCCTAAAGTAGAAGTTGTAATATTTGCCATTAAAGCACGGTGTAATCTTAAACTTGAGTCAAAGCGAGAATTTCTATTTCATTCTTTGTTTGTGCTCTGCAAACAAGAACAAATGGTGTGGCAATACTCATTAGAAAGTGACAGTGGCAATATTTATCCACTCAGGAGTTCAATGGAGATTAATTAGAAGATGTTTAATTTTGGACAAGATTCATTTTTCAATCTATAATATTGACTTTGTGTTGTAAAAAATCACGCAACAACTTTAAATACTGAATATATGTATTTCAGATCCACATCCGGTTCCAGGAAGAAGAGAAGATACCGGTATGTGTTTCATCTCATTTATATCCATAGCTCTTTCATATCTGATACAGTGTATATAATCAATATTTTACTCTCCATAATGTCTCATTGTTTTATTTCTGCTGTTTTCAGTTCAGGCAGCCCCAAGAACAAAAGCAAAGACAAGAACAAGGAGAAAAAGAGGTGAGGCGTGCATTCATTCATGGACACATTTATGTACAATGAAAGAGTGCATTTTAATGGTAATACCGCTGGCACACGCAGATCTGTCTTTAACAGTACACAGCAGCACATTTCCATATTTATTCAGTGCTTCTGTTAAAATAGACTCCAAAGGCAGTGTATGCAGACAGCTAAAACAAGCATTTGTGGCGGGTCCTGGTTGGCAACAGTATGTGCAATTGGACCCGCGCTTAGTGTCTCATAAATTTATATTGCTATTTTACACCTATTATCTCAAGCTCCCACTGCCGGAGAATGTTAAGGAGCATGAAGAATGGAGAGCCTTCACAGATGATGGTCGTTCAACACAATTTCCAGGGCAAACAGTGCTCCAGATTTGGATTAGAATATTGTCAGTCATGATCAGTCGTCCCTATACACACAGTGTGCTGTGTTAATATGAGCAGCTCTGATAATTCTATAGTAGTGCAGGTACATTTGTGCTTTAGAGTTGGGGGTTTCCAATTTGGCTGATTTGTATTTAGTTAAAACATTAATATGAATCCACTTGGAATATAAGCTTTTCTTTTTTCTTTTTTTTAATTATTTGTAGAAAAACTTGAATCTGATAAAATAACATCCTCTGTATATAGTTGTAGCTTTGGATTTGCAATACTCACACTGGTCAGTCTTGGGCAGCACATGAGTGGCCTTCTCTGTAATGTGTGTGGCTTGTATATGCGCACTGATAGTTTGTACAGTATTTAAATGAGATGTGTTGGTGCATATCGTTGTCATGTGACAGGTCTCCAAGGGAGACACCCAGTCGGGGTTCACAGCATCAGGGCAGCTGCTGCAGCTCCCGCAGTGCCTCAGTGTCATCGGCACGCAGCACCTCCAAGTCTCCCTCCAGGTACACACAGTGCACACACATACACACACATATACATAGACACACACAATACTCACAATACACACAATACTCACAATTCACACAATATCACACAATATAGACACACATACACATATACAGGATGAGGCTACTGCAAGGTGACTCTCATTTACCCGAAGCTTGTGGACACAGATTCACAAATGGATTTCTCTAAACTTGTCCCTGTAACTGCTATTACAGGACAGGGATGTCTCACTCAGCCCACTCTCAGTTCTTATAAAGCTCAGAATATCATTACACAAAATGCATATTTTTTTTATTTTACTGTTTTGAAATGTATCGGACAGGTACTGTATGATTATTTCTGACTTAATCACATTAACAATTCATTTTGTTAAAAGTTCATTTAATTTTAATAGCTCATGACATAAATGTTCATTTGTTTGTTTGTTTATTTAAAATGGGACTGCTCTAGTTGCTAATTTGAGCCCATTGAAAATCCCCAGCAAATATGCTCATCTTAATGTCAAAAGAGGGATTAATAAATACAACAACAGCACAAGGATCATGACCACATAGCACAGAAATAATAAATATTAGTCAAGATTAGTCATTTTGTTACCTTACCTTACTTTCTTTTTGTTGTTTACCTTCGAACTCTTACATGCCACTCTATATTTAACCTTTTCCTTGTATTTGCTCTTTCAGAATCAACTCCAAGCACAAGGCAGATGGGCAGAAGGCGTCTCCCGGCTCCATCAGCCCCGGAGCGTGGCACAACGGAGAGCAGAGTCGGAACGGTCGATCTCGACACAACCACGCGGACGCCGAAAAGAACCATGATGTATGTACTCCCCTGTCCCACCCCCGACCCCCTCCACTCCCAAAGCTGTCACAGGCTCCAGATCAGTCTGTGTGTCATGACTTAACTGACTTTTCTTTCTTCTCTCATTAGTTCTGTTTAGCTCATAGATGAGTTCATTTCATAGGATTTTAGACATGTTTGTCGTGTGTAAATTTTGCTGCTCCTGCTGTTTTGTTTCTGGCTCTCTTTGACTCCTCTGCCATCTTGTTATTTTTCTTTTTTTCCTTTTGGTGTTGTTTACCAGAAACAGAGGGAGGGCACAGAATAGTGCACAGTTGTAATGTGTCAGTGCAGACCACACTGCTGTGAGTCAGAGCGTGGCATTAGCGGCACACATCTCGGAAATGGAAATACGAATGGCGCTGGCACGCCGTCTTCCGCCCGAACGAGCAAAGAGATGTGTTGTTTCTTCCAATTTGGCCACCTGCTAAGGCGTGAGACTCCAAAGTGAGAGAAGAGCCAGGTCCAGAGTTTGCAAAGATCTATCAAAAGCGATCAAAGTGGTTTGATAATCTGGTTGATAACTTTTTATGCACATTTCAAGGACTTGATCAAACATGAGCTTTTAAGTCCCTCTGTCTATCTAATGTGAATTCAGAGGACTCATTACTCGATATAAAGGCAATTAAAATCATTCTAGGCATGAGTTGTTTGATCACTTCTAGTGTCAAACTCAGATCATGATGTGTTTATAAATCAAAAACATACCTGTCTACTCAATAGTACCTCCTGGAGTAAAACTATGTCCATAATTACTGCCTGTGATGGCTTTTAAATGACTTCACTTTTTATAAAAAATAACCTTGGTCTCTCTCATCACCATCACAGAATAAAGATTATCTTTAAAAGAAAATATTACGTAGTCAGAATAAGTGGATATTATTTTGTGTGATGAATGAGCCCTTAAATGGATTGCAGACACTGAAACTGCTACAGTGCTGCTGTCTGCTGCTCTACATCAGCTTGCATGTTCCTATGATAAATCTCTATTTCTTTGTCTCTCTGCTTGTTCCTTTCATTTCCTAACATTTTAAGTGGTATTTACATATGAATAAATGCCCTCTCTGTCTTGTTTATATAAAAAGCGCTCAAATACTTTGGAACTGGACCAAGTAGGTTAAATGGGTATGTGTTATAGTTTCTTCTTGTCAATACAGTTGTCTCTCTCTCAAGATGATAGCTCCTATTCTCCTCTAATCGTCAAAGTGCAGGACAAAGTCCTCTAATGCTTTACTGTGGATGTGCATGTCGCCCCCGGGTGGGTGGCAGTCTCTGTCCAGTGCTTCTGTTAGACCCTCCAAGAAGAAGACGATAACAAGGATGTTTATAAAGTTATTCTTAAAGAATGATCCAAAGGCAGTTGAGTAATAGTGGACATCAGACCCTTCACTGGTGCGTAGGTTAGATGTCACTGTTATACCACGCATACTGTATGGGTCCTAGAGGCAGGTTTTTCACATGTAAAATAACAGACATGTTGATGTGGTTAATTTTCACCTTAAGATAAACACATGTTTTAACCAATCACACAGTCAGTGAAATGCACTACAGCTCACGCCACTAACTCAGAGCAGAACACAGTCTTGTTCTGTCACTTCTAAGTTACTATTACTGGATATTGTCAAACTGTCTTTTGGCCCACTTTTTTCTTACTGCCAGGTTTTGTTTCTGTGGATTAATCTAAACTACTGTACCACTGTAAGACTAAATAGGACTAAATAAAAAACACAACAGTGTTGCTCCAAAGTGACCCAAGCTTTTGAAAATGCCTCACCTTTAGCTGAGGGTGGACTTCTGTGTTAAATGTGACTAGGGGGTCCCTTGTCCAAGTGTGGACTCTCCATTAGCAGTCAGTGCACCGTCTGACCCCCTCTAACCTCCCTCACCTGTCCCTGTCTCCTGTGCGTGTCCTAGCTCTTTTACTCTTTCTTTTAGTTGTATTGCTACATCTGCCAGCTCTGCATGCCTCCTCTGTCCTCCTTTACGCCTCAGTCTTACACTAATACAATAATGAACCACTTCCCTCATCCCTCCTGTTGATACAAATATGGCTGCATTTGTACAAGCGAAAAAGACAAAGCAACTCATCTAGTGTCGTTAGACTCATCTTTTAGTTCTTGGTTTGCCATATGGTTTTTGTTCATCCCTTTTTCAGTTGCTTTTTCTGCTTAGAATTCAAATCTGTAGCGTTGATACTAAAAGAGGTCATTGTCTTTTTCCCATTTCGCTGCGGAGAACATTCCTTTCTACTTTTATTTTTATTTTCTTTCTTTCCTGTTTTTATGTTGATATTGCATACGTGTCACTGATTGAAATGGAAGGTAGGTAATGCTTTGCCTACGCACGTGATCTATATGCAGATGAGAATGTGACAAGCACCCTAGCCTGAGTGACGTCAATGTTTCTCTCTTCTCTTTCTTTTTCTGTCTCTCTCTTTCTTTCACTCTTTCTCTTTGTCTCTCTCTCTTTTCTCTCTCTATCTCTTGATGGTCAAATTAAGTTTCTTCATCAGTTATGATTTGACTCTACAGAGATCGGAGTACGTGGAGCTCCGGTTGTCCTCTTTCTATTAACTTCATTCCGAAGTCCCGCTTTACCTTCCAGGTCCATTATTATTTATTTTTATTTACTTTTTTTTGGCAGAATGCATCATTTCTATTTGTCCAGCATCTCTGTTTGTTGGTGTGTATTATTTTACCACATTCAGTTTCACAAATCAGTGATGGTGCATTTGATTCTTGTAGAACTTTTAGTGGTCTCCTCTCCAACAGTCTGTTGATGCAGACACATTGGTCCTATGGCTTTGTCCTTGCTGAACAGCACATTGTAAAGCACTGTAATGTAGAGCAGCCTTGAGAGCAGGCTCATAGTCACAAATGTGCATCAGAGACCCTTCCGGGGGGTTTAGGTTTAAACACAACACAGGCCAGTGCCAACCTGAGTAACTAAATCATTGAATAAAGACCATTAACCATTAACTATGGACCTTATGTTTACTGCTGATACAACCTCTACACATTCATAAATAATAGACTACAATATATATGTCCTGAAGTGGAACATAGGTAAATGCTCCATGCAGAGTCTAACAATAATGAAACAGTCGTTTGTATAGCCACACTATGTATCGATGCTGTGAGCAGTAACTATAACTATGTGCCCTTCAGATAGCTGACCTCTGATTGTATTGAGTGGTAAAACAGCACCTAATTGTGCTAGCGGTTCACAGGGCTCAAACACACACTTATATGTAATAGCTAGTTGTTGTGATGTTTACGGAGGTGGCTGGGCCTGAGGATTGACTTTGTGTGAGGTATTCCCTGCACATTGTGCTTCTCCTCTTTATTTTCACTTCTGTTTCATTGATTTTCATACATCCTCTCATGAGTCACTGGCAGGGAAGGGTTTTGTGTCTTTTTCTCTTGCATTTTGTGAATCTAATGATGCACTTATGTTGCCCCACTTTTCCCTTTTCTTCATACCTTACCTACTAAAGGAGGGAATACCACTTTATTGGTAAGTGGATGTTAACCAGAAGGGAGTTAAACAAGAGTAAGCATTAAAATCTGAGAAAATGGGTCGCTGTTCACATCTCAACAATTGTCTCCAGGAAAAATTCCAGAAAGTGAAAATTGAGTAGCAGACGATTTGTTTTCTGATTCAATAATTCAATAATTGTGAATTTATTTTGTTCCTTCCATTTCTGTGATGTTCCGTCAAGTTGTCTTCTCTTTCTGTTTGTTTTGTTTATTTTGAACCATAACTAAAACTGGAGCAGTCCTCTGTTTTCTACTCTTCAAATCTGTAGCTCTTTTTTCTGCCTTTGCTCTTCTTCAGTTCATACATTTCTTTTGTTTTCTCCTCTTCCCTCCTTCCTAGTTTTTTGTTTGTTTTGCAATTATTATTTCTTCGACTCATTATGGTTTTGCATGCCAAGTATTGCATGCGCTGCACCATAGAGGACTATCTTTAAGCCATATGGAGAAAACATTGATCTTTTCTTTTAGATGTTACCTTCTTTTGGCAAGTACACCGTAGCACTTGAACCCTCATCTGGAAACTCTCTAATGCCTCTGCTTTTCTTTTCTTTTTGTTTTGTTTTTCCTCCTTTGTTGGTCGTGGTTTTTCTACAGAAGCATCGCGTGCCGTCCTCTGGGTCTTCCAATCACCAGAACTCTGTGCTGAGAGAGCACAAGTTGCACAGCGCCCCCAACAGGAACCAGGCGGGACAGGCTTCTGAAGCTGGGAGTTTGGACGGCAGAAACTCCGTTGCCCAGGCGACAGGGCGGAGAGGGGACCACCGGGGGCAGAACAAATCCTCCCACTCCCCAGGACACAGCAGCGACTCTACACACTCCCAGCACAACCACAGCCACAGAGGCAGGACCTCCCGCCACCAGAAGAGGTAGGGCTCATCCCTCATCAAATATGATATGTGATGGGATTTATTAAAGATTTAACCATTTTAGTGTAATCATTACATTCAAATTTCACTCTCTTTTCTGCCTAGCAATAGTCAAACTTAAACTTCAACTTAATGCAGTCTTTCTTGGTCTTGATATTTAAATGGGATTAGTATTAAGCAGAATCAATCCTAAATGTGATGGAATAGCTTCAGTGTGAGTTCATACCACTTAACTAAAGCAAAGAAACAAACTGTGCAAAACTTGACTGTTGTGATTTGCATTTATAAATTAAACTTGATCTTTTTGTCAACAGAACAAAAAGTGCACACTCTTCTAAGAAGCACCATCATTCTGGGAGGGGCCAGGCGCACCACCACAGTCAGTCTCCGTCTCCAGGACATCATTCATCGGGAAAGAAGAGGGCAGAATCTCGAGGAAAGAGCCTGCGACAGAGGAGCAGCTCTTGGAGCAGTGCGCGCTCCTCCTCCCGCTCAGCCTCCAGAGACAGGGGGCCCAGCAAAAACAAATCCCCTCACAGACAGAACAACTCCAGGTCTGAGACTGAAGCGCAGAGACTGTGGTTAGAATAAGGGCATGTTTCTGACTGTGTTTGTGCTTTACAGGGAGAGAGACAGCGCAAACCGCTCCGACACAGACAGCAGAGCACGACGCCGCTCACGAAGCTACTCACCCATCCGCAAAAGAAGAAGAGACTCACCTAGTTTCATGGAGGCCCGCAGGATCACCAGGTAATGATAAAAAAAAATACCTCTCTCAGTGGACTATAACAAACGGACTTGTTCTTTCTTACACATAATATGTTTTTTTGTGAAGTCTAATTATTCTTTGGGACCTCTGATATCTGTTCTTATATATTGTGTTTAATGATCTGATAATTACTACTGAATGTATTTTCTATTTAAGGCTGTTGAGGGAGTGCGGAGTTGGATCTCTTTTTGTACCATTAATTAAATGAATTGTAAGATCCTATGTTGTAAAGCTTGGTAGATAAACTGTTATGTAGATTTCACTTAATTACTATAACAATTAGACCACAATGATAACAGTGACTTTATAACAGTGAAAGACATACTGCAGGTATGCATTTTCTGCCTGCTGTTCCTTGCTTAGATTGTACATGTGTGTTTTGTCATTTTTCTCACTCCAGTCTCAAAGGTCCGGGTGACAACAGGATGGTGCGGATCCATGTTGCGGGCTAGTTACCCTGGTAACTGTTGCCGTGCAGCAAGACCCCTTCTAAGTCTGACTCCTCAAGCAAAACCAGCCCAGATCCCTCGAGTAAAAACCTGGCCTCCTCCTGGTTGCTCTGTCCTCTCCTGCAGCTCCTTCATCTTTGTCTTTAACCACAGTCAAATTTACATTTACAGATAACCTCCTCTGTGGTTTTGCACTAATGTTTTAACACCAGGGGTTGAAATTAAAACACTATCAAGGCTCATTTGGACAGGTGTCTCTTGATTGGACCTGCTGATATAGAAAACAAAGGCAGTTTTATCCAGTGGTGAAAAAGTAAGAGTAAAAAAGTACTATACCTAAAGTACATTTTTTTTAGGTCTGTTATCTATACTTGAGAGTGAGGATACTTTTACTTTGCTATATTTGAGATCATGTGTACTTTCTACGTCACTACATTTTTGAACTGCATTAATAATCAAAATTTCTTTCTAGCAGATCCATAGTTTGAGTTAACATCCCAATTTTGAGCAAAAAATAAATAAATTACAACTTGAAAAAAAATCTATTCAATCACTTTTCTTGAACTGAAATCATTATAATTGTCCTTCAAGATCACTTCAGAAGTTTTTTTTTTTTTCATGTGAAACTGTTTTACTTTTACTTGAGTATTGTCTTTATTCCTGTATCTGCACTTTATTTAACACTTCCACCACTGGTTTTATCTCAAAGTATGCCCAGATGGCAGTGAGGGGCACAGCACACAGCAGAAGAAATACCTTGATAGTGTTAACATCTCACCCTTTACTGTTAATTTTCTGGGCTGTGGGACTCAAATGAGAAGGAAGTGCTCATTTTGGGCACTAATGGCAAATTGCATTACAGGAGACACTGGCGGGTGGCTACTAACAAGGCATTGTGGGAGCTTAAACTAACCACTAGCATTTGTCTGCATCGTGACTTAACTGCTTTGTCTGTTTTAACCCACATACATCTCTTTTTCAGACGCTGCACTGATCAAAAGCTAACACTGATGTGATGTTTTTACTAAAATATGGGACTAACATTGGGCTGGGCAATAGAAAATATGAACATTAGGGTAATCCCTTTTGAAAAGTCTAGGTTTGGCTAAAAGTATGCAAAGAAGGTCTGGATCACCTCCTGTAGGTTTCATGCTAAAAGTTTATGGCGTGATTATTTGAAATGGAGGGCGGGGCCTGTGTAATTCTATTGGAGGGTCAATGTTTTTGTAAGAGATATCCAGTTATGAGTTATAAGTTATAATCCACAATTAGTTTAACTGGGTCTGCAAACTTTCCACATTAATCCTAGGTCTTAAAGGTACACTGTGTAACTTTTTTGGGTCAGTGAAATGCTTTCATCCATGAAAATGTATTGCTTTGTCTGGAATATTTCACAGTATGGCATTAAGCCTTTCTATCTTCATGGAGACCAAACCAAAGTTATAGGTCAGACTGGTGAAGAGGCGACCCTGCTCACAGTCACAATGTCTGTTTTTGTAGGTATTTTTGAGCTATAAAATTGCCTGCAACTGAATAAATGTAAGATAGAGTTCTCTAATGTCATACTGTGGATCATTCCAGGCAGAGCAATGGCATATCCATAGGAACAAGCAGGTGATGGACCCCTGACCAGAAAAGTTACACTAGGCACCTTTAAAGTCCATTTATCTAAGAACAAACATGTTAGTAGGTTTAAAACTATTCTGGAAAGGTCCGACTTTGTCCTATAAGTATCTAGTTTCAACACTAGATTTAATACAGATTAGTATTAGAATACCCCGTGCCCAGCCCAGCTCACATTGTTCTCATTGATTCTTTGCATCTGTCCTCTTTAGCTCTTCTCACATCTGCTCTCTTTTTCATACAGTGCTCGTAAGCGGCCCATCCCGTACTACCGACCCAGCCCCTCCTCCTCCAGCTCTGGCAGCAGCTCCTCCAGCCGCAGTCGCAGTCGGAGCTACAGCAGTCGGAGCCGCAGTCGCAGTTGGAGTCGCAGTTGGAGCCGGAGCCGCTCACGCACACACCACAGCTACTACACCCACAGCAGTGACGACAGCCCGGGCTTCTGAGTGAGCTCCACCCAAACGCACTCAGCTGTGGGACTGTGCTGCAGGGGATGAGGGAGGAAAACGCCAGGACTTCCATGTTTATGTATGCCAGTGTTTCCCAACTGGGGTACAGTGACTTCTAGGGGTCTTTAAGCACTTACCAGAGGTACTTGGAATGATTTGGGATTTAAGAAGAAGTTGAATAGAGCTTGGGATGGAACATCAAAAAACTACTTTTACCGTGGAAATCTGATATGTTTGTGTGCAAAATGTCCGCAGAGATGCATTAGTCAAAACTATGTATACAAAGTAAACAAAAGAGCCATGGGACAACTCTCAGTAAGGTGCTGGTTCAGTACTAAATACATTTATAACTCCAGAGTGTCAGAATACTTTTGATTGAACGCGAAGTGTAGTATTTAGCATTTTAAAATCTCCATTGGTTTTACATTAGGCTAACTGAAAATTAGGATGTGTAAAGACACAATCTACTCTACAGCATTTAACAAAAAATGTACTTTGAAAAACAATGTACATCCCTGAAGACACAATACCTAATTTATACAAAAAATCTTGAAAAACTAGTGTTGGTTCATTTTAAACAGTTTGCAGTGATCCAAACATTCCTCACTTTCCTAATGCATTCATGGCATCTTAAATATTCACTGTGATGAGATGAGCGAGAGATTTCCCGGGTCACAGACAACTAAAATGTTTTGTAATTAGATGCAGAATAATTACAATATATCTGTACTGGAGCAAAACAAACTTTTAGCTGAAAAAATGTTTTTGTAGGATAATCTTGACATTAATAATATTCACTGAAACACATTAGTAACCAGATTCATAATTGCTGAAGAAATATTATTACACAAGTTGGGATTGGGGAATATGAGACCAGAGTTTAGGGGATACTCAAAGCAAAAAAGGTTGGGAACCACTGATGTATGTGAGAGCCTGGATCAAAAGGGGGTGTATGCATTTATATTTTGGCTGGATTTTTGTTGTTCAAGCCAAGATATTAGATGAGGAAAAGTAATTGGTCAAGCCTGTAGAACAAATCTGTTAAAAGCACTTTTCTTCTTCTCTTCCACCAAGCAACCAAAAATGAAGTTAAAATACAAAAATCTACTTATATATAAATATGTACTTATTTATAAATATAATATAAACTCAAGTCTTTTTTTTAATCAGAAAGTAACGCATCACAAAGGAAATGACTGTGCTGTTAAAATTGGACCATTTGGGGTTTTTATAATCACTTCCCTCCGAATAGTTTAATTTCATCCAAGCACAGATATGAACAAACGTGAGAACAAATAAGCAGCAAAAGGGACATTTTTTATGCTCAAATGTATTGTCTGTATAGATCGTTTAAGTTTTGGCTTTGTAAACTATGCACTGTATATTCCATAGAGTTCTGGGGAGGGGGTTATTTGAAAGAGAGCATGATGCAAAAGATAGACATAGGAAAGAAAAGTTAAAGCTGCCAGCCCCCTTCGGAAAACTGCAGAAAATTGTTGTATATGTACTTTCTTATCCCACCTGAGCAGAATTATGTTGCTAACTTTTTATGTGAGGGTGCAATGTAGAGAAACTGTCTGCAAATATGGTCCATGCACATGTTACTTTTACTATTTATAAAACCTGTATTTATTATTTTTTAATTATTTATGTATTTATTTTATTTATTTATTGTTTAACTTATTCGATAAAGCAAAATCTTCTTTGTATTGCAAGATGAGATTGCTACATCTGTAATTCCCTTTGAAACTTGATGGGACTCATTGTAACCTACAGTTACAGTATCAGTAATAATGAGAGATTTGAAATGATAATAAGTAAAGACATCCTTCTCGGCCTATTATAACAGCTTTTTCGTATACCAGGCGAACTAGCTTTATAATGCAAAGGTATTATTTTTCATTTGATTTTATAGTAACCATAAATACCCACTGCAGGAGGCCAGGATATCATTATACTTATATGTACTTTGTCTTCTGTTTATATTCGCCCTGGTTAAGTGCACTCCAGAATACCTCTAAGTGTTTTTGGCCATCCATGCAGTACAACCTAGATTTAACTCTCTGATAAAACTTTGCAGAATATACTCCAACTATAGCATTGCCCATTTTGTTGTCAATGGCATCCTTTGTTGTGTACAAACTACTATACCTGACAATAAACAGAAATGGGGAATTGAATTTGGTAATGTTGTCATTCTGTTCTGTGATGGGTACATTTTAATGGCCTGAAATAAATGATAACCGATATCTACAATAATCAGGTTACTCAATAATATGCTTTTATCTAGGTGTGTGTGTGTGTGTTTACCAGCACAAAAGAAATCTGATGATAAAAACATTTGTATCAGTTAGGAAGTTTGATACAAGTACACAGAACTAAACAATCTTTAACATTTTCTATTTCATTTTTTGTTTTTGCTACATTTCTTATCAAAACCTGCAGGTGTATTTTATCTGAAAAAAAATCAGAGTACTCTCATCAGATTTAATGATGGTTCAATAATCTGATAACTCCAGAAATTAGATAATGATCAGATTTTAGTGTTCACAAGTACATAACCAGTGTCTTGTACCTGTAATACCAGGACTCTTCTACAGATGGCACTAATGTGGTAATTTCAATGATTAGCAGACCTTACTTTACCTTCTAATCTTTAACTGGAATGTTCCCTAGTCATGTAAAACTGATAAGGGGATGGGAGTTATTTTGGGGGGTGCAAATATCAGCATTACTAGCTGTTCCTAAACACTGTAAACAACTGGTGTAAATTTAAGAACGCTCTGGAACACTGTGAGGATTCAATTTACAACAAACTAACTTACATACTACTACTACTACTTACTACTACTACTACTACTACTACTTCTACCACTACTACTACTACTAATAATAATAATAATATGTATTTATTTAGATATTCAAAATAAAGAGAGTGAATTGTCCTCAGTTATTTACTAAGTTACATGAGAACTTACATGAGTTACTTGAGAAATTGTATGTTTCAGAGTACTTTTATAGCAGCATACTTTTACTCCAATTTGAGTAACATTTTTACTGAAGTTACAGCATTCTTACTTGTGTAACTTTTTGGTTACTCTTCATAATGCGTCTGGAAGTCACAAGTGACAAAAGCTTTATGTTGACAATATTAAATTATTGGAACATTTGTGTTTCTTGCAGGGCTCCTTAATATATCTTTTAATATTTCTTATTTTTATTGTCTATTTATCCTTTGAAAATATCAGATTCTGGCCATTATTTAATGTTCTGTAGTGGGGAGATGCCACCTGTTTATATTTTGTATCTTATGAATTCAATTACATGGGCTTTACTTTTAAAAAAACATGTGTTATTCACTTCTCCACAGATCTGACCTGTAATTTGGTCTTGTGGTATCACCTGCTTGTTGGTCTTAAATAAGTTTAATGCCATACTGTAGAACATTATAGACAAAGCATTAACATCATGAAGAAATCACAGCTTGCTTCATACAAACATAAACCTAGTGTTTGTTTTATAGCTGTTGCCAAATATAAGTTACAGTTTAAATCTTCAGATTAAACATTTGTCACGTGTAGAGCCCACTCCAGATAGTTCTGGCTCTTTAAAAGTCCAGTGAGTGGCGTGTGATTGTACACAGTACATCGAGAGGGAGGGCGGTCGGCTCTGGGCAGCTGTCTTTGGGAGGTCCTTCCTGTCAGATTCCATTGGATTACTACGTCCTCCGTAAATAGATATTCCAGTATGTTCCAGAGGCATGTTGCGGAGTGAGGGGTTCGGGTGGTGTCTGAGAGTATAAAAGCTCCCGGTTCACAGTGTGCAGCAGATTCACAAGGAACCCCTTCCAAAACCAGCAAGAGCTCTTCACCCACAGCCTGCAAAACAAATCTTCAGCCATGGCCGAGAGGAGGATCCCCTTCACCCTCATGCGCTCCCCGAGCTGGGACCCCTTCCGTGACTGGCACAGCCGCATTTTTGACCAGACTTTTGGGATGCCCATTGTGCCTGAAGAAGGCTTTCACACTCCCCACTGGCCAGGCTACCTCAGACCCTCTTTCCTGGCTCCAGATGTGAGCGCCATGATGAGTCCAATGATGTACCCCAGCCCAGTGATGGCTCAGCAGGCCCGCACCCTCGCCCGCCAGATGAGCAGTGGTATGTCCGAGATCAAACAGACCCAAGACAACTGGAAAGTGTCTCTGGACGTCAACCACTTCTCACCCGAGGAGCTGGTAGTCAAGACCAAAGATGGAGTGGTGGAGATCAGTGGTAAGTGAGACTTTATTTGGTTTCTGAAAGAAGAGAAGATAACATAGGAGAATCTTTACTTGTTTCCAATGTGGAAAATTGGTGAAAATATTAAACGTAAAGTATGTTCCTATCATACAATGAGACTGTGTTGTTATATCACCAGATAGCTTTTCAGGAAGTAGTGTGCACCCACCCAATGACAGCAAAGTATAGGGACAAATCTAAATTTTATATTCTCATTCAGTTTTTAGACAAAAAAAAAACTTTTTGTTGGTCAGCTCTAAGACAGGTCTATTGTTTCTGCAAAGTTTCACTATAATACTAAAGACAGTGAGCTCCAATACCATCTGGGGTGGAGGCTTTTTGGCTGCAAAACAATGCAAAATTCCTGCCTATCTAACATGTGGAAGTTGAGTCTCTGGGCACTTTTGAATGAGGAACTTTTCTCTTTTATAGTGGAGCAAAGTGAAATGCACACTTAGAGATGCATTAAATAAAAAAAAAAACATCACTTTTTATATAATTAATGTTCATAAACAATGTCCAGTCAGAGTTGTGGTTTCAGAACAAAGTGTGTCTGGTGCTTCAAAGAGGTTCCTGGATGAACTCCAAGTCCTCTTTGCCAGGTCCAACAATAAGCCTCCCATCTCACAGCTGAGAGACTGGACTTTTACCAGTGGATAAACATGGTTCCGCCCACAGTCCAGAGGGATTTGCTTCCCCTAATTTAAAACAGAACAAGATAAGAAGTGGACAGGGTTGGCTGCAGTTACAAGCACAGGTCTCCCTGTGCTCCTATACATACATTACTTTTTTATGTGACTCCTAAATCAAAAAAGCTTTTATTGCCATTGTCAGCCAACATAATCCACAAACTAGGAACTTTCTGTAATAGTATAATATCAGAAATATCAAATAAAGGCAAGCAAAGAATAGACTTTGATGAAATAAAACTATATATACAGTATGACCATGATATCTCAATTACAATGACACTTTGGCCTTATTAAGGGCACTGAATCACTGGGGGCTGCCTCATAAAGACAGAGTATGATTAAAAGCATGCCACAGCAGTTGGATCATGCAGAAATATAGGGGGATTGCTGCAATATTACACTGCACTTATCAATGGAAATATCTTATAACTTTAGTTTTTCTGTGGTCCATAGGCAAACATGAAGAGAGGAAAGACGAGCATGGATTTGTGTCCAGAAGCTTCACCAGGAAATACACGTAAGTTTAACTCTCTCCTTTTACTGTAAATTGAAAACCTTGACAAGTTCGATTTTTAAATGAAGTTTAGACGAGCTTTTCTGTACGCTGTATGCATTTAGCAAGATAACATCAGTGTAAATGGAGAGTGAGTCTGACTGGCAGCCATGTTTAGGTTAGTCAGCCCCGGGGCAGCTGTGACTTACTCACGACTTACCACTACAAAAGATGTGGATACTACTGGTCTGTAATGCAAGTACATTTTGAACTTTTTGTATTTCTTGCATATTACCTGCATATAATATATAGAACTAGTAAAAATAAAATAATAATAATAATAATAATAATAATAATAATAATAATAATAATAATAATAATAATAATAATAATAATAATTTAATTAAAATTAAATTAAACCAAATAAAAATAAATATAATATATAAAATATAAAATAAATATAATAAAAATGTATTTAAACAAAACAAAATAAAATAGTCATCTTCTGAACTGCTGAGTGGCTTTCTCAGTTCTGAAGAGGGGTGTCTGCAGCTCAATGTCATGCTCTGAAAAGCAGTATCAGCAGTTAGCACTCTATCTATATGTCCTACAGCCTGCCCTACTTTGAGTGTGACTTTGCTGCCATCTAGGGGCCAGTCCAGGGAACAGCCCCGGTTAACTACACTGCACTAAAACCACCACACAACCTGAGCAGTATTTATATTGCGTTGTTTTCTCTTTCCAGACTTCCACCGTCCGCTAATGTGGAAAAGGTGACCTCATCCCTGTCCCCAGAGGGCGTACTCACAGTGGAAGCGCCTCTCGCCAGACCGGCCCTGGAGTGCTCCGAGACCACGATTCCCGTCACAGTTGACAAAAGTGCAGTAGCAAAGAAGTAAACCAAACTTCACATCGCCAGCACATTCACATACTATGCACTTTACTCCACACGAAGAGACTTTTTCCTGTAAAAGAACACGGTGGTTTATCATACAGAACTGGGAGTGCCCTAGTAGTTTATTTACAATAGAAATACTCACATAGTGCCTCACCTGAATCATTTGTATGTAAACCAGGATCTTATGTGACCAGAGACACGATTAAAACATTTTTAAAGTAAAGTATGGCATTTGTTTTCATTATAATGTTGCATGCTTTTGTGACAGAAACTACATTCTTTTTTATTTTTTAATGAACACTAAAATGTTAAACCTACCTCTGGTATAAGCCTACTCCCAAAGAAGAGTAACTGCTAATCGATCAATAGTAGCAGAAATAGTAGAAAAAGTAGCAGACAACGTGTTCTGATTCTGAAATGAGCTTTGTTATTATTATAATAATAATAATAATAATAATAATAATAATAATAATAATAATAATAATAATAATAATACACAAATAAACAATAAACAAAATAATAATGAATGATGAAATTTGTTCTGTTCTTTCACCATCTGTGCTACAGCTATCTGTAGCTGACCTTCCACTGATTCTGCCACTCCCAAGGGCTGCAGTGACTCACCAGATTAGGCTATTGCACTAAAATGGCCGTTAGAAAAACTGATAAAGGCTGGGAGATATGAGTGTCATACAAATCTGGACTAGGGCTGAGCAATATAGTGTTCATAGTAGTCATTGTGGTGAGGATAGGCTATTTTGTTTAGGCTGTTATATTGTGATTCAGTGCTTTTCGGGTGAATGCATCTTTTTGTTAAAACAGACAAAGGTCCCACCCTTTTCTCCTACTGGTCAGACTCTGTCATGCCCTAAGTGAGTGGCAGGTGGATTTAACCAATCAGAGCACACTCAGGCATTGCAGATGGCTTTAGTTAGAGCTTATTAAAAGATACAGAAAAGTTAAGGATATAGAAAAGTTACCCCCTTAAAAATACTACCTGCATGAATTGTAGTAAAATTGAAATTGTGATCTCAGCTTTATACATAAACATGAACACTAACACCCAAGCCCATTCTAATCTCTTCAACAGGCGAGCTCATTTTAAACTACTGCAACAGGATCTGCAGTTCACAGTTGTGAATCAGAAAACTGAAAATAACATTATTCCATTCTCTCAATGAATCCCTCCAGCCCATGTGTCAATTTAAGTTTATACAATTACACGTTAAGATATTTGGCTGTTCTCCATCTCTTTGGCCAAATTTGTGAAACTTTGCAGAAAATTCCCTTATGTGGCCCTGATCGTAATCATTTTTTGCCTCCATAATCATTTACTGTCTCAAATGTTATGTAGGTTCTCTGGTGAAGGGTCTGCTTTCACTTTGCTTGGAATGTTCCACAATATTGCGTTAACAGTATTTATATATCTAAATGTTTTTACTGCTAAAAAATTCTTGCAAAAATGCATTATTACTATGTGCGTGGTCACCTGTCCACAGATAATCTCCACAGACAATAACCTTGCCCTGGGTGCATCTTCTGCTTGTCTCTATACGTAGAGATACTTATGTTTAATGCCATACATGGAACATTCCAGGCAAAGAAACTACATTTCCATAACAAGCATGTGGCAGACCCTCCATCAGAAAAGGTTCATAGTGCGTCTTTAACTAAAACCAAACAAACTTTGGGTCACTCCATGTGATGTAGGTGGTCTAAGAGTGGATGTGATGCAGCGGCTGGTGTGGATCCATGGCGCAAGCATGGGATGGACATGTGCATGGGAGCAAGGGCCATCGTTGCCGCTTGCGGCTGTAATTAGTATCATTATTTCAGTCAGTTATAGACAATTGGTTTTAACATGTATTTGTTCTTTCTATTCATTATATATATATATATATATATATATATATATATATATATATATATATATATATATATATATATATATATATTATTTTTTTTTTTTTTTTTTTTTTTTTTCTAAGCCGTTTAATGGCTGCTTGTCCTTTTGTATTGTCTATTATGTAAAGTAAAAATTAACTTTATTACTCATTGTATCCTGGCCTGCAAACTTGGTCACATCCTTAACAGTCAGACTGTCATTCATGTGGCACGCCGGCTCACTATGCACACACTAACTGTACTCCTAACTCCAAAGCTGCAGGGGAAGACTATTTATAGAAAGCCTAGCTATGCACTGAGCCATGCGATGAGTTGCACAGTGAAGATAGCTGGACTCCCATTTTATTGCACACAGCAGTTAGTTGTAACTAGTCGATGAGGTGAGTCATTTGCTCAGCATATATTTAATGTGATTCTTCTAGAATAAGCTCAGATATATCAACTTGAAGCTATTGTATAGGACAAAACACAATTGTTGTTTTTTTTACTTTCAATGTTTGGAACAAACACATGTCCAAAAACTATTGTTGACATATTTAAAGGTTGACCATGTAACTTTTCTGTTTAGGGTTTGCCAACTGCTTTTCTCCATGGAGATGCTGTTTTGCATGAAACGTTACACAATATGGAGAAACGTGTAAGTGAGACTACATGACTACATCTATTTCAATCTGAGGTGCACAGAATGACACATAATTCATTTTCACAATGAATGGACTTGTGATATTGCTGCTCAAGCAGGGACTCGCTAAACAGGGCTGTAACTTTACAAATCAATGTAATTTAGCTCACACTGGCTCAAATGAAGTGACAAAACCATCACATTTGAGAGTTTGGGGGGGTCTAACTATATCTAAATTTGAGAAGTTTTAGGTTTTCTATTTTGATATTTTTGCAAAGAAACATAGAATTTCCAGAAAGAAAATAACTTAATCAACATGACTTGATTACCTTTGTGATGGACATAGTACTTTGTATTCTTATAGAAAATGTTCATAAAATGTTGGTGTTCAATGAAATATCATTGAACTCAGGTCTATCTTCACAGTTTTTAAGCTAGCTTGTGTCAGACATGTGATGTTTCTTCTATGCATTGATTGCAGCTACAAGCCCTCAGGCAGCTCAGCACATTTAATGCATTTTCAACATGTATGATTACTTGCCATTGTCATCCTTTTTAAAAAATCTTCCACAAATGTAGAAGATCTCTGCATTTTGTTGGATATGGACTATGCACCAATAATAATTTAAAGAACACAACATCTTGCTGACAATTGCAATAATAGCAAAGTTATATTATAATTCTTTTTGTGTTTATAAACTACCTCTACCTATATAAAGTTATTAAAGCTAATTTATAAATCCATCACCGACACACTTATTTGAGTCCAGTGGATTAGAATGGTTATCACACAGTCTCATCATCATGTGCATTACCACTGACCAACTGTAAAGAACAGAGTAAATCCACAGATGTGATACTGGTCTTGATCCAAAGCTCATTGCCTTCCTAAATAATCAGCATATTACTTTCAACTAACTAGGGTTAATTAATTTGTTTAATTCTAGCTTCCTCAGGAAAAATGTAAATTGATGGATGATACAGTAATGACAATACTGACTAAAAAATTGGTGTCCAAAAACGGTTAATTTATTTAATAAAGCACATCAGCACATGAGAGGGACAAGCTGCACTAAGTTTACTCCATGAACTTGTATTTAAGTTACAGTTTGAGTGTGACTGAACTGGACATATACTGGACACAAAGCAAACAGGACTGACACGACTTGACTGTTACTTTCCATACCAAAGACAACCTGCTTCAAACAACAATAGTTGCATTTGAAGATGCATCGTTGGTACAGCTGTAGTTTCACAATAAAGTCTGACACCTCTTGGTTCACCACTGTAATTCGTTCACATGTACTCTTGTTTCTGTGAGCAAGGCCATGACATTCAAGATAACTTGAATTTTGTTGTAGCGAAGCATAACTCAATTTCTGGATGATCCTTCTTAAACAAATAAAGATAGCTCAGCTTCATTTGCACCATAAACCCTGTCAATGCCTCTGTGGCTGTACCTTTACTTACAGTATTGAGACCAAGGTCAAACCTTATACTGTAATCGAAGATTTAGCAAATGCTGCAGAGACTATCAAAAAGACAGGGTCCTTCTACTCTGTGTAGCCTCTCCAACGTAAACCCCCCTCCCCTCAATCTTTAATCACTTGTGGGGACAAAACAAAAACAAACGAAGATAAATAAGAACTGCAGCCTTTTTAGTACCATTAACCAGCTTTATCGCCAGCTGAAGTTTCATCATCCCCGCTTTTTAATTTCTAACAACTTTTTAAAACTATTATTATTTTGTCATCATTTGTGAGCGCGCATGTTGTGTTGTTTGGCAGAATGGACTTTGGACTTAATTGTTTCCCTCTCCTCCATCGTCGTCCTGCTGGTCACTCGTCCACAGCGTTAAGTTGTCTCGTAGCAGCTGCATGATCAGAGTGGAGTCTTTGTAGGAGTCCTCGTTCAGAGTATCCAGCTCAGCGATGGCGTCATCGAACGCGGTCTTGGCCAGAAGACACGCCTGTTCAGGGGCATTCTGGATTTCATAGTAGAAGACAGAGTAGTTGAGAGCCAGCCCAAGGCGGATGGGGTGAGTGGGCTGCATATGTTCCTTGCTGATCTCGTGAGCCTCATTGTAGGACTTCTCAGAGGACTCCACCACGCTGCCCCTCTTCTCCCCAGTGGCTACCTCAGCCAGGTAGCGGTAGTAATCACCTTTCATCTTTAGGTAGAACACTTTGCTCTCGTGCTGAGTTTCATTGCAGTTTTTGATAAGAAAGTTGTCGAGGAGATTGAGCACATCTTGGCAAACGGCCTCCAGTTCCTTTTCGATCTTTTCCCTATATGCACGAACCATCTCTATCTTCTTCTCATTACCATCAGCTGTTGTCTTCTGTTCGATGCTGGAGATGACGCGCCAGGATGAGCGCCTCGCCCCCACCACGTTCTTGTATGCCACAGAGAGCAGATTCCTCTCCTCATTAGATAATGCCTCATTCAGCTCTGTCACCTGCAAGAATAAAAAAAACACACACACATTTTGGATTATTATTATTATCAAGTATTTGACATTTATATATCTGTCTTTTGTACAAGGCGTAAGGTCTAAGCAGTTTATGTTGCAATCATCACCTGTTTCCATGGTGACTGCCAAATCTGCTTTGTTTGTTAACACAAACATTCACAGATTTAAGGATCTAGCAAGGAAGGCATTTTCTAAATGAAAATTATGTTTAACTATGTTTGTTTCCTCTGCAGTCTTAACTACCATCACTGAAGGTGTTTCGCGTTTTACAATGGCCATAAAACTGACCTATGTACTGAGGCAGTATAAAAACAGGCACTACAATAGGACAGTAGTTGTGTAATGATCACACACAGTACAGAGGAAAATCCCCCTTCCCCCAACTTGTCATTCAGAGGCACGTTTGGGTCACAGTGCTCCAAAGAAATGTTCAGCCCAAAAAACTCCCTAGAATCTGAAGTATCAGGCCCTTGTCAACAGTCTGGACCTGACAGAACCAGTGAGGTCAGAATCTGAACGTCTTACTTAAAAACTTGGCTGAAAAAACATGGTGGCCTTTGTTTCAGCCTGCTGCAGGGTGACCAGAAAGCTCTGACGGAAGCTGTGCTGCCTGGACGACAATAGCGCTCTGTCTACCCATAATGCTCATCAATCGTGTCTGCTCTCTCGTGACTCATCCTGGTACAATGTACAGTAGTAAAATGTTCAAACAACTGAGCGTTAATTCAAACAAAGACCAGGAAGTAAAATAGATAACTTCCTCTCTGAATGCTCCATGCATGACCATTTGCATTAATATCCACAAAATACACACGGGAAGGACTGTTGGGCAGGGACACTTAACTAAAGTAGCATGGGATAGCACTGAATGCTCACATTTTCTGTGTGTTAATGGATCACAATCAACACAATAAAGCTTTGCAGTGGTCCCATGGCTCTTCCCCCCCTCTTCACACTGTCCTTCTGTCTTATCCTTCCTCATTGGTTGGCTCTGTTAAAGTGATGTGACAACCCCCCTGCCGACCCTCTTTTAGGCAGCAGGCCACAAAGACCCTGGCTCACACCTGACAACTTTAGCTTTGAGAATAGTTCAGTTACAAAGAGTTTATAAGCATGCATGTGCTTCTTATTGAAACAGATAAGCAATTTATCATATATAAGTATCCTATTATGGGGTTACTGCAGCTCAGTTAAAAATGTTAGATCTGAGCCATATAATTTGGTTGAGTAGGCCTGTCACGATAATTATAATATCAACTTAAATATCAACAATATCATTTGTGGCTCAGTATTTATTGTAGGTATATTATCTTTTCTAAAGTGTGGAGACTTTGGATACTATTGTTGCAATATGATAAGATTTGAGCTAGCGAGAGTTGAATAACAAACGTTTATGTTTAATTATTGGTTCACTTTGCTATTTATTTGCTGCAGCTTATACCTTTTTAATTATACTGTCTATTTAAAAGTGGTTTACTGAGAATATCTTACATTATTTAATGCGTCAGTGGCATAAAGTACTTTCAATATTATCGTTTATCGCAGTATATCTCTGTAGCAATATATTGGGCTTCTAAATGTGTTATCAGCCCAATACAGTGATAAGTATGCCAACAATAGGGATTCCCCAGAATTGATAGGAGGCACAGACACACCCCACTGTCCACTGGTGCAGAGGGACTGGCTGAGGAAGGAGCAGCTCTGACTTTGCACAAACCGGAGGGTGGAGCCTGCCCCCTCTGATCCTGCCATGCGTCTGTCTTTTACGTTGCCTTTTTCTACTATGTCTGATTAGTACAGGCCAAAATGATAAATAGTTGATTATAGATGTTAGATGGGTTAAAAAAAACATATACTCTACTGAAAAAAATCCTACTTTGCTGCACACTGAAAGGAGTTGTTGGATAATTGATTTGATTTCGTTTAATTCTAAAGAGGCCAGTTCTCCAGACTCTGTACACTATCACAATGCGCCCTCACTGCATCCTTTGCTTCAGACATTGTTAGATGCGGCCAATGCGCGGCTTGCACTGCTGTAAAATGGTGCATACGGGTGGGACTGTACTGCATCTTGGCTGATGCTGCGACACGCCTCTGAGGGAAGCAGCTGAGAGGTCGAGGACGCAGAGATGCAGTTGCTCCACAGCATCGATCCCAACAGAAAGGCCCGGTCGTTCACGATACTGTTCGCATTTGCTGCAATATGACATGCTCCGCGCGTTCTGGAAAGCACACCCACTACCACCCACAATTGAAAAAGACTATCTTGTGGCCTCGTTCTGTGCAAATTGATCACCTTTCATCCAACACTGCGCTAGTCAATGCGCCAGTTTTGCTATTTAAGAAGAGAGTAATGTCTCAACTAAAAGCATTTGGGAGATACTTGCGTTTCTCCGGATGGCTTTACTGGTGCCTTGATTTTCCTCTTTGTCAGTAACACAATCTGAACCGTCGCTGCTCCACTCATCGATAGCTTATATTCACACCTGTATATGTTTTTATTTTCAGGCATGTGTCATTGGTGAGCACTGAAGAGGAATTCACTCCTCTTTTTCGAAGCTGTCACGTACAATCTGATGGTTTCTGGCGGAGATTGTAGAAAGGCACCGCCCCAACATCAAACAGCCCGTATACAGCCTTCTATTGCTGCATACCCTGGAACAAATGTAGGATTGTAGGCACACCTCGTGAAATGGCAAATGACTATCCTGATCAAACCATTGCCACAATATAAATTAAAGAATATATGTGGAACAGCGAGAGAGATGGTTGAAAATAGGCGTAGGAGTTACGGGCCCTACGATCTTCGCCCCTCATCGTTTTCGTTCTAATCCTCAAATCACATCAATGGACCATTAATCGTGATTGTATGTTCTTTCTGACTTCTCCTTCCAATTGTGTTTTTCACACCATTTTAGCCTATAAGGCTAGCCAATGAAGACATGTGCTACAGCACATGAGTACGCGCACTTTGCCGACACTAACCGGCTACTACACGTTTATTACAAATACCGTCAGCACTACATTCACAATGACGATGCAGAAATTATCTATTGGAATTAAATATGAATAAAATGCTTATTATAAAGCGAAAGTCTACTTACCGATTTCATGGCAGCTGCCATATCGTCATACCTTTCAGCCTGCTCTGCCAATCTGGCTTTTTGTACCAGTTGCTCGCGGTCAACCATTTTAAAAGCGTTAATGTTAAACTATTTTGTATGTATGTGCCTAAATTTGTAGAATCTGTGTTTTTGAGCAGAGAGGAGATAGCGGATCTTCTCGCTGCAGCTGCTGCCTGCTGTCTGTGCTGCCGACGGGACACCCCTCCCCCTCCGCCTTTGCCTCGGCTGTGTCACCATCCTAAAGGCGTGTCTTTACCCGTGACGTAACAATCATGGCACTGTGGACAAATCATGGAGAAAGTGACTGTACTATGCTCTACAGTCGCTTTCATTGAATTAATTACGAATGTATTACAAATATAACATTAAATACTACACGGTTATGCACTACTTTTTTCTCAAAAAGAAGACAAGTGTTTATTACAGAGAAACAACATCTGTTGAACACTAAAATTTACCAGTCACAATCTGACAATAAATTGATCATAATTGTAATTTTTAGTAGTCCCCACTTTGCTTCAAATCGATTCAGTTTTATTTTTTTATTTATTCAGTTTTTATTTTTGTTATAAATTTTTGTGAGTGAATGTGAGTTGGTGGTTGATCCCAGGTTTGACCGGTGCAAGCTGTTGATGACAAGACATGTCAAAACTTGTCACCCACTTTGCCCTTGTAGGAATCTAGTGATTGTGTGAGTAACTGTCAGTGGTGGGATCAGAGAAACTGTTGGCACAGATTGGACGATCACATCTGTCCATTTGCCCCAGGGCAGCTGTGGCTATAACAGCAGCAATCTAATTTCAGTAATATCTAAATATAATGTTTTAATGTAAAAAAATTGTCTACTATATATATTTTGTTGTTCTATCTAAACACTTGCTGAAATGCTGTATAGCAGACATGCGAAACTCAGGCCTGGGGGCCAAATTTGGCCAACGATATAAATATATTTGGCCCACAAGATTATATCAAATATGTATGAGAGCCAGCTACAGATAGGCTATTTATTTGTTATTTTCGTTATTATTTTATATTATGCTTGTTCTGGACTCAGTGTTTAAGCAAAACTATTATTAAACATTAATATTACTAAGAAAAGGTTTAACATTACATATCTTGAAAGAAGAGAAAACATGCAGATTTTGTTGAAATTTTTCAATAAATATTTAGTTTGGCCTACGACTTAAGCCGAGGTTTTTTTTGGCCCTCTGTGAATTTGAGTTTGACACCCCTGCTGTATAGTAACATACCATCTAAAAATATTGTGTATGAATATGAATTAGACACACCATATCACACCTAATTTTGTGTTCATAAGCAATACACACTCATTTATAATTTAGCAATAACATTGTGTTAATTAAATGCATCATAAATGTAGGTGCAATAAAAAAAAGTATGGAAAATAACGTTTATTTTTTACACAATTCTTTGTAACAATGAGAATTTTATGGACATGTGTTTTGACAGTTGTACAAAATATATACACAAAATACATTTAATTAAGAAAAAAATACTCATATTTAAATGACTTAAAGCATAGTCTTTTTCATGCTCAAATTGTGTATCAACATGCTGTTGGTACTCAATAGGACAGAGTTGCATTACATCCACTTCAGAGGAAGGACAAATGAAAGTGTATACTTAAAGTGCTTGGTTGTAAAGAATGTTATAATGAAGTACTTATTAATTAAACTGCCAATGTTGCAATCATTTCAAGCCACTATTTACAGAATGTGTACAGGCTGAAGTTTGGCACACCGGTGTGGAGTCACAGCTGTTGGAGAGTGGCTCTGTTTGATCACAGTGTCTGGCAGACTACACCAGCGTCTTCACTGTGATCACAGTTGTGCACATTCCATGGAATATAAGAGCATTTCATTAAAGAGCTTTCTGAACCCAAGCACTTGAGATTGTCCATTTGGATTGTCCCAGTACCAGCCCCAAACCTGGCCTCTGGCACGGCTTCTACAGCCTGACCACAACCCAGCTCACGGCAGACCACCATTGCGTCCGGGAGGTCCCAGGCATCATCGCACACTGTTCCCCACTCATACTGGAGGTACACCTCTACACGCCCTTCACAGGGATGGTGCCCACCAACAAGCCTAAGTGTTCCTATAAAAACATTTGTTCTTTTTTACTTTTACAGAATGCTTTTACAAATTCAGAGGACTGTTTGACAATTCCGTCACTGTGATACCTCTATTTATCGCTTTAAACCCATTTTCAACATAAGCTAAAGTTTTTGTGCCAATATAATTTATATAGTGCTTAATAACTTTGTCATAACAATATTAGATGAAGACAATGGTTTACAGAACCAAAAACAAGTGAACAAAAACTAATCATAGATAAATAAAAGATTGCATTATTTTTCTAATACTACATATGCTTTTCAGTCCACAAGTATCATGGTTATAATTACCTGTTACTGAGCAATAAATTAAAGTGTAGCTGGTTATACAGATGTACCTGAGGGAGCTGTGGTTGGAGGAGCTGTTGTCATTGGTTTAGGAGCAGGTGCTGCTAGACCTGGCAAGTTACGAGCAAGTTCTCCAGATTGTTGTGTTATTTCAATCGCTACAGAAAGAAAGAGAGAGAGAAAAATTACAGGTAATCTGCTATCATTTTTGTGTTTCCATCTTCTTCATGATATTTTTCAACATCAAGATTTGCTCATTACTTACAGTCACAGATGACTGCAGCATCTTCATTGTGATTACAGTTATGTTCTCCCCAGCGCGAGCTTGAGCAGAAAGACAGGCCTGCCTCATTCCCACGGCAGTCCACGTTGTCCAACAAGATCGGACCAACACCAGCCCCAAAAGCAGCCTTGTCCAGCGCCGCTTTAGCAGAACCACACTTGAGCTGTGCACACACTACCACGGCATTAGCTATATGCCAGTTGTCATCACACACTGTGCCCCAGGTGCCCGAATACCAGATTTCCACTCTTCCCTCACACCTATGATTCCCATTCACCAATCTAATAGGTGCTGGCACTGTGAATCAAAGAAAAAAAGATGCACATTATATAACTTTTACTTTTTGGTTGGATTTGAAAGACACAACAATAAAGTACTTACACTGAATAATGGTAGGTGCTTTTGTAGTTGTGGTAGGTGACGTAGTTGTTTTGGTTGCAGGCGCTGGAGTAACTGTGAAGGCAGTAAAATCTCTGTTGCCACCAGGTTTACCTGTAGTAGTAGAAGTACCAGTAGTGGCGGAGGTGGCAGGGATTGCAGGAGTAGCACGGGTGGTAGTAGGCACAATAGTAGTAGTAGTTGTAGCAGCAGTGGTGGTAGTAGGGGCATTAGTGGTAGTAGTTGTTGTTGTTGTAGCAGCACTGGTGGTAGTAGGCACATTCGTAGTAGTAGTTGTAGCAGCAGTGGTGGTAGTAGGCACATTCGTAGTAGTAGTTGTAGCAGCAGTGGTGGTAGTAGGGGCATTAGTAGTAGTAGTAGTTGTTGTTGTAGCAGCACTGGTGGTAGTAGGCACATTCATAGTAGTAGTTGTAGCAGCAGTGGTGGTAGTAGGGGCATTAGTAGTAGTAGTAGTTGTTGTTGTAGCAGCACTGGTGGTAGTAGTAGTAGGCATTAGTAGTAGTAGTAGTTGCTGTAGCAGTTGTAGTAGTAGGAGCACTGGTGGTGGTAGTAGTTGTAGTAGTAGGAGCATTAGTAGTTGTAGTAGTAGTAGCACTGGTGGTAGTAGGCGCATTTGTAGTAGTGGTTGGAGCAGCAGTGGTGGTAGTAGGGGGATTAATAGTAGTAGTAGTTGTTGTAGCAATTGTGGTAGTAGGAGCAGTGGTGGTGGTAGTGGTTGTAGTAGCAGTGGTAGTAGTAGGCGCATTAGTAGTTGTAGTAGTAGCAGCACTGGTGGTAGTAGGCATATTTGTAGTAGTACTTGTAGCAGCAGCGGTGGTAGTAGGAGCATTAGTAGCAGTAGTTGTAGCAATCACAGTAGTAGGAGCGCTGGTGGTAGTAGTTGTAGTAGCAGTGGTAACAGTGGGAGCATTAGTAGTAACTGTTGTAGCAGCAGTGGTAGTAGTGGGAGCATTAGTAGTAGTTGTTGTAGTAGCAGTAGTAGTAGAAGTTGTAGCAATGGTTGTGGTGGTAGGGGCAATGGTGGTTGTAGGTGCTTTCGTAGTGGTTATTGTAGTAGCAGTGGTGGTAGTAGAGGAAAGTGTGGTAGTAGGACCATTAGTAGTAGTTGTTATAACAATGGTAGTAGTGGGAGAATTAGTAGTAGTTGCAGCAGTGGTGGTTGTAGTACTGGTGGTAGTGGGAGCCTTCGTAGTAGTTGTAGTAGCAGTGGAGATAGTAGCAGTTGTAGGAGCAGTGGTAGTAGTCGGAGCATTAGTAGCAGTTGTAGGTCTGGAAGCAGCAGTAAAGGATGCAGTAGTAGGGGATGCAGTAGCTGGAGCAGAGGTTCTAGGTGTAGGAGTAGCAGTAGTTGGTGAAGTTATTGTATTTGAATTGTTAGTCACAGTAACTTGGTCTGTAACTAAAAGAAAATATAAACATTAATTAAACAATTCATTTTGTCATAAAATATGAAAAATATGGCAAACATTTTAAAACATTCAAACTGATTGAATTATAATTTATTATACAAAGCTTAAAGCTTTACACAAGTAATCAATTCCTGTCTGCTGAATACCTGTTGTTCCATTCCATTTGCTTTGTTGTGTAGTTGTTGGAAGAGCTGAGAAAAGTACAAAAAAAAAAAAAAGAGAGAGAGAGATTTATTATCTATTATTTATGCATTAAAATAAATACATTTAAACTTTAAAATTGCATTTCATACCACAAGTCACACCAGCATCCTCATGATGGCCACAGTTGTGTGTGCCCCAGCCTAAGTGTGGGCATTTTTCTAACTTATCCTCATAACCGTAGCAGTTTACATTGTCCAGGAAGATCTCCCCAGTTCCTCGTTGAAAGTATGCCCTGCCATGATAACTGAGAGCCTCCCCACAATTCAGCTGCCAGCACACCACACGAGAGTTATTCATGGACCAGTCATCATCACAAACTGTTCCCCACACGCCATTGTAGAAGATCTCCACCCGGCCCTCGCACTCATGAGTCCCATTCACTAGGCGGATATCACCACTGGAGGGACCAAGTCCTGAAGAAGAAATACATACTTTATGTAAAGTATGAAAGACTAAATTATAAAATTTTGAATAAATGACTTAATGGTTATTACTGCTATTAATGATTACATGAACTCTTGGTAACAAAGAGCAGAAAGAAAATATAATTCCTTGAGTTTTTTTCATTATTTAACCGATGAGTCCCACTGACATTTGGAATATAATTTTCAGGGAGGAGGTCTGTTGTTATTGCCAGGAGAAATCATCTCTTCTCTTCTAACCTCTGCATGAGATGAACATGCAGATAATTATCAATAATAAATCAAAAAATGTCATCTGGTCTTTTCTATGGACATGTGCATACTTAAAAAAAATCAGTTAGGAAAGGGGTAAATAGTGTAAGGCAAGAGGCCCACAGGAAAAAAAGAGGGGTGTTGGCTAGCAGTATTCATGACTACTATCATTACGTGAGAAAATGCAGGTACGGAGCTGGATGTGGAAAATCTAATACTGTACTAAATGCATATATGGTCACCTAATGCCTTCACCTAACAAAAATCAGGACAATGCACCTTCTCATGTGTCCATCGCTCACTGAGGCCCTTTCCTTGAAACAAATGCCTCTTGAAGGTGTTTGTGTCAGTGCACCCGATGGAAGTCAGAGAAGTTTCAGCCAGATACATCACACCTTCACTAAATCTGACTCCTTTTGTGATCCCCTTGGGAATTAAATGGGAAAAAACAAGCCAGCCAGGACAAAGGACGGAGGACAATAAGGACTCCTCCAGTTCTGAAAGACCTTTGTGAGGCTTACTGGTTTCTCAGATAGGAATTGCAATACTGTGAGTTAATATGTACTTGTGAGTGATGGGACCAGCTTTTAGGGCTACAGAATTAATATCAGAACAGAATATCCTGTCTTTGTTGAAAAATGTCACAATTTTAGACCTCTACAAACATGTTCTGAAGAGCATTGGATATTCTTGTATTAATTCATATGTAAATTTTTCAGTTTTATCTTAAATGTTAAAGCTTCTGGAGTTTTTTACAGTGTTATTTACAGTGTGCTCTCTGAAACAAAATTCTACTTTTTAAACATATATTGCAAATCAAATCACAATCAAACATTAAAAAGAAACTAAACAAAAATGACATACCAACTGTGGGCCATGGAGTGGTGAATTCTCCAAAATCCTTCCCCCCAGACAATATTTCTGTGTAACAAGAATAAACACAAAGTTCAGTTGTCCATGTTTTGTTTGTGCATTCTCAATGCAGCATTGTGGTAAATATCTTTACCTTTACACTGAACACCCACATCCTCATAGTGGGAGCAGTTGTGAACACCCCATCCTGCACTTTTGCACTGGCCAAGTTCTGCTTCAAATCCGTCACATTCCACATTATCCATCAGGATTGGACCTGTCCCTGGCCCAAAATATGCTGTAGTGCGTGTGGCTTGAGGTTGTCCACATTGTAACTGGCGACACACCACACTGGCATCCACCATGTCCCAGTCGTCGTCACACACAGTTCCCCATTCTCCCTCATGAAAGATCTCCAGACGACCTTCACAGGCCTTCATCCCATTCACCAATCTTACTGAGGGACACAGCAACAAGTACTTTTTTAAATTATTTAGCTGAAAAAGATGTAACTATGCACATACAGAGTTTCTGAATATTTAAAAATGATCTCAGTGGTGATCTGAAAAAAAGTAATGTAAATGTAAAGAAAGTATTGTGATTCTTACTTGGGTTTTGGATCTGAAATGGCAAATTCTCTAAATCATAAGGAGGCCATGGTCCTTCAGGGAAACCTAAAAGGAACAGGAGACATGAAATCAGACTACTTGCTCTTGAGTAGATTCAGGTCTGAATCAAATGCAACATTTAGGAGACAGACTTCTAATGAAATACAGTTCGAAGTAAATAAAAATATTTAAACCGATACTGAAAACATGGTCAGAAATTAATTTACTGGCCGCCATACAAGACACAAAAGATGTCTTGACCTAAATACTGGGACAATGAAGTTACGGGGAAACCAGTGGGGCCTTTTGTCACAAGTATCGCACCCAGTGTGAAAAAAAATCCTTAATGTAAATATTAGTTAACATTACAAAAAGGTTTTTGTACGGCCCAAAGGAAAACTTACCAGGACCACCACCAAAAACATCTCGTTTGTGTATTTCTAAGTTTCCTGTAAGAAAAAGAATATGATTAGCTTTGTGTGAGCTCCTACACAACACAATTGGCAAATACACAACAAACAGAAAAGGACAAAACATATATACATATAACTAAACATGTAACTAAAACACATGCCCCTGACGCACACTTCCTGAACACTGAAGTTCAAAATATCCATGGATATGTTTGCTTTTTATTCTTGTGTGCTTCTTTTACTTTGCAACCACGTCTTGTTTTGGGCAAAATGAGAAGAAGATTCAGTCATATAACATGAAATTCCTCCTCACCTTTGCTGTTGTGGTCATATGGCAGCACTGAGCAGATGACCACACAGTGAAGAGAGCAGAGCAGGGTCAGCAGGAGCCACACGCCTGAGACCCAGCACTGAGCGTCAGTCATCATCACCTGTACTCTCACCATCCACCTGCAAACAACCACACCATCACACTGTGGCTCTAACCAAAGTGGTTAGGGACAGTTTCCTCTGCTAAAGCTCTGTGGTTAGTTAAGGTACATTTTGATCTGTAAATTTAATAAATTATTGTATGGAACAGAAAAATATTTTACAAGATCTCATGCCACAAGATCTCACGAGAAATTGCCACAAGACTGTGCACACATGAGGAAAATTATCTTTTTCCTCATATTTTTACATTTGCCCTGGATAAAAACGGTTAACTTTGCTGAGTAACTCCTCCTTAGAAGCTGTAATACCAAAAAGCAGTGCTACAATAACAACAAAATTGTAAAACTGAATACATAAAATACTGTGAAGCCAATTGTAAACTGAATGCCACAATTTATCTAATAAAAATTGTATCAAAATCTTGTCTCGTCTTATTCGTGTGAGCCGAAACTCGTGACATGTCTCGCCTCAGAAATTGTGTCTCGTCATCCATATATTTTACTCTATGAGACTAGTGTAACATTAAGGATGTGTTCTACTGATCATACACGTTGACTAGGCTATGTCCACATGTGTAACTAATTTAAATAGTGTATAAACCAACAACATTACAGAGATACTCATTCAGTAAAAAGTCAAATCTAAATCACTTCACTGAACTTCATTAGCAGCGTAAACTTTGGGAAGAAGGCTGGGCTATATGGCATTTTTCCCCCTCATATTGATTGATCTCAATTTTTTACTCAATTTGATTTTGTCTTTTCAAAAACACAACACAATGACTTTCAGTGTTGATTTCATGAACCAGAATAATACAGACTACTCAACTTCACAATCATTGACCATCAGATATGATTGAATCTCATTATTGATTAAAATTCAATATTTTGCTCAGCCCTACTTGGGACAGAGCACATCCCTTCATACTCGCAGCACATCCATCATATCAGGTGCTGTCAAAAATGGTGCAAATATAATTACTGTTGAAGTTACCTGAAATTGTTTTGGTTTAGGGTTAATAGTTATATTTAGTTAAAGTCAGTGGCACTTCACAGGGTAACTGTAAATTATATATATATATATATATATATATGAGGATACATGAGGATTTCAATAAGCCCAACAATTCCTCAGTAAGCTAGGCCAGATCTGTCTGTCACTGGACATCTAATACAATTTTATACTGTCTATTCTTCAAAATAGCTACATTAATCAGTCATTTAGTTGTTTAATTACCCAAATTAGAAGCGTATGGTTAGCAGTAGTGCTTGTTCTCATTAGGAGACGACTCTACATGTTCTGACATGGTCTTCATATTTTGTCATTTTCCCCGTAGAGAAATCCCCCTGACCTTATGCAAGAATGTGTATTTGGGATGATGAGGGGAGAATTTGATATTGGCTTCTGGAGATAGTAGGCATTCCGAGCCCATGGGACACAAAAAGACATTTCTACTTTCTGTAGTCCCCCTGGTCAGTAATAACGACTGCTTCCTGCAATCTGTCAATAAATACTCCACAACGCTTAGATACCTGATGACAATAGGGGGGCGCCGTTTGTGTCTATGGAGCTTGGTAGGCATGTTTAAACTTAGGTGGGTTATATATTCCAAAAGTTATATAGAAAATGTATATAGAAACATACTTATACAAAGATTTGCCCAGACTAGTACAAGTGGATGAAAGGAAAAGTCAAACTGATGGGGTGGAATATATTAACACCAACAGAACAATCAAAGTCGCATGTGTAGACAGTACAAACAGGGGCCATGAAACTCTGGGACAAATGGCATAGTTATGAGAGATGAAAAATTATCTAGACCTCGATGCTGTTTTCAATACTCCATTCATAGTAGGATATAGCACAGATCCGCTGGGGAATAATGTTGCCTTTTGTGTTAGCTCTGCTTCCCCTCCCTTCTCACAGCAACTGCTCAGAAAGTAGAAAGATCTTGGACCCACAAAAATATAATGATACATTACATATAAAATGTGTGGATACTGTAAGGTCATCTTAAAATTAAATGAAAATATTAAGTTATTAAAAGAAATCTGGCCAATGTATGGTGTTCAATTAAAGTAGCTGTTTTGTAAAAGGTGGTTTTCTGGTTAACTTCATTTCATTAATACAAGTCCCGTTTGACAGAAAAGAGATTAAATCATAACATATAGTAGCCATACAAATTATTTTATATTATACAAAATAATAATGAAAATACATACCAAACCGTTTATCTTTCAAAGAAAATGTGTAATAAAGTCTTCAAAATTTGGAAAAAAGTTGTGCTGAATCAGAACCCCTTGACTCCTGAAGCCACTGTGTGCCAACTGTGAAAAGTGTAGCATCCACGTCGTTTTTGGTCTTTCATCTCCTCAACCCTCCTTGACAATAAATACCCGTTTCCATGACAGGGATTACGTAAAATAATAAATACAAAGTAATTTTCTGACGCCCCTTTATCGGACACAGGAGGGGCCAAATAAGAAAACAAAAGATGGTGAAAGCTTAGCCTTCAATAGTAGCGCAACATCTCCAGTTTCAGGCAGAGCTCAGAGAAGGAGCTCCGTCTACCTCCACACCGTGAAGAGGGCCACAGTGAATACCCCCAGGGCATGTTGGTGATATAAGGCAGGTACAGGCAGTGTGCACATGCGTCTGAGTGCAAAAGCATGTGGTACAAAAGACACAAAGAAGCCATGTATGCCAACATTGTGTTATTAAAATGACTCAATAAAAACTGTTTTGTAGTTATTATAAGGAGAATATTTTGTATAGGGTTTGGTGTTATCTGGTTGAAGTTTATAACAACAGAAGAAGAATATAAACTTTTAAAACTTATAACCCCATAAACTAATATTTCCAGCTTTGTCCCTTTTCTGGACTTTTACTGTAACTACAAAAGAAATCCCCTGAATCTCTCACTCCTTCTTTGTTTTTAAACTTTTAAACTTGTTTCTTTATTTATGAAAAAATCGACACATGTTTTAGTAGGGTTGCCTGATTAAATTAATTTTAAAGGGCTCATATTAAACTGTTTCATGATCTATGCTATAATGTTGTTTCCTCATTAAAAACAAACCCGGAGCTGTGTTTTGACACACCAATCTTGCATATTTAGGCTGCATTCTTGTCTCAAATGGAAAACACTTTTAGTTTTCATCATAAAACTATAACAGTAACTTAAAAATGCTACATTTTGCCATTGGGCAACGTCTGAATATAATTTCTGAAAAATTAAAAACCCTTGCTCATACATGTCCAGTAGACCATTGTGACATTTAAGTTTTTTGGGGATGAAGGACCCAAAAGACATTTCGTCTTCAATTGATGTCTGGTCTTTTGTCAGCCACTACAAAACTGATGTAACCACTTGTTCTCAGTGTTGAAAATGGAGCTACTTCAATTCATAGGGAGTGAGGTTTATTTCTTGCAGCCATATACTGATATTTGAGATTCAGCACTTTTATGATTTCTAGAAAAGAAAAGCCCAAGGCCTGTATTTCTCTGTTGCTGCAACTCTTCTCCCTTTGACTGGTGGCACCTGTCCTCAAGTACAGTAAAGATTTTGTTTGCTTCTTGTCACTATTGGGGGTTTTACAAATCTGTCACAACAATGAAATTAATCCTTTAATTCATTTATAAAAGCATACTTTTTACCACATCAAAAGCTTTGGCCAATTAAGTCGCATCTGGAAAGCTAATTAACACTTTTTTTCATTAAGGTAACTTTTGCATAGGCTAGTCTGTTTTATTTGACATAACTGAATAGCACCAACACAATAGACTACATCATGTTACGAGAATACATATGATGTATTCTCTGTTTATCTACATTACATATCTCTAGAATGTGAGTGAAGTCCCTTTAGAGCTTTGTCACCTATTTTTTTCCTTTTCCCATCACTGAGACATTACAGGCACCAGGAAAGGAGTAAACTGTTACACTGTTAATAGCCCATTATGAGCTGACACAAGTCACAGGAATAGGCTTGGCCAATTCACGCAGACAATGATAGCACAACAAATGAAAAGGAGTAACAGGAGAACATTAAAATAAAAGGAGGTGCAGACAAAAAGTCTCAAGCAAGCTCAGTTTCTCATTTTCCTACTGAATCACACTGGGACAATGAGCAATGTGAAATGCAATAGTCAAATGCATTTTTCAAGCATAGGTATAAGGTATGTATTTTACATAACTTGTGTAAAATCACCGTATAGAGCCTGTGAATTTAAAGCAAGATTGTTACTTAAGAAATATCCTTAAGCTATAAAGCTATCAAATGTTAACTTGACACAAATATAGTAGTAAGACATCCTAGCACCTTTGTCATGGACAATTAGTTTAAATGGGTCATGAAGACAGGACAGTATTCTGTGTCCGAGGTGGAGAAAGAGGCTTATAAGCACACTTTGGCATGTTCCACATTCAAAAATAAAAGCTGTATTTTAATACGTAATAATATAATTATATAGGCTGGTATGTTCCACAGTATGCCATTAAATGTTTGCATTTCCATGGAAACAAGCAGGTGATGCTACCTGTTGAAACGTGACTCCGCTCAAGGTATGAATAGTCTGCGTGATTTTCCGAGGTATTTTAAGAAATAAAACACCAGCAATTGAATAAATGTGAGATAGATAACTAATGCCATACTGTAGAGTGGAGCAAAGGAGACAAGCAGCAGATTCTCCACCAGAAATGTTACATAGTCTGCCTTTAACATATTTTAATTTTTCCATGCTAAACTTCTCGGTACTGACCTCTCATTTTATTAAGAAACTTGAGCTGGATTATTGCCAATCTAACACGTTTTGAGATAGCTGCCACTTAGCATCGTTCATGACTTTAACCACTAGTGGTCGCACATTTCAAGCAATGTGGGACGGGTACGGGTCGTCCTGTGCATCTCTCACAGCAAAAGCAGAAAAACATAAATGAATACACTATAAAACGCTGAATATAATCTTACGTGGGTACATTTTGGTGGATTTTTTGTGGATTACATGCTACTAAATACACATTACAATGGCATTTGTGTGTTTTAATGTAGTCAAAGGCTACTCTGTCTCATTCTCGTCATGTCCTACAGCACGTGAAAGCAGCACGGCTGTGTATGTGGAGTAGCGTGTCTGTGAATGTGTCACAGCCTAACATAAACAAACCCCCAAAGGCTCCGAAAACCCTCAGCTCTCTACTGTACAACAGCAAGTGTGTGCAAACTTTATAAACGTATCGCAAAGATTCAACGGCGCTACGCGAAGAGTGACCGGATAGTTGGGCTTTCTCTGCTCATAAACATGACTTTGTTACACACGAGGAAACTTGCAAGGTAAGCTAGCCTTTGCTAAATGGTCAACATTGCTATTACATAAGTCAGATAATAATGCTTTTTACTAACTATACGCTAACTGTTTCGAACAGAAATGTGTCTTTTTAACCTCCGCTACATTGTTATAAGGTCACCCATGTTAATTAATTAGCTATTGGACGGACGCTTCTTTGTAATATGACACCATAGCCTACCCAGTGCACAGAACTATAATCCATGGGGCAGACCTCCCACATGGGATGCTATGGCCAAGGATGCTGTTAGCTAACTAAATTAAGTGTTTTTGTTTGGCGTCTGGCGTTCAACCTGTTGCATTCATAGAACAGAACATTATACACAACAGTACCTATGGTTTCTTCATTTTAAGGCTCTCAAATGTACACCAGTATGCCAAATACCCATAATTTTAACATTAACAACATGTTAAAGTTGACATTGTCCATTTAGTTCATCTTTATACTGTCATTTTTACTACCTTCATAAGCACTTCCAGTTTCTAATTTGTGTCCTATCTCATTCTTAATCCTTCCAGTAACCCTGACTCCACCTGACTGCATGCTGCATGTGTGTTCTGGTCATCCATCACCTGCACTCATCTCTATAAAGATCTTTATTTCTTACTTTAAATGTTGTTCTGTGTGGCATTATGAAGAACAAAAGAGATAACCCTCAAATGCTGTCTTGTAACAATCCATACCAGGACCACTATGGGAGAGAGTTGAGTAAGCTTCAGGCTGCATTGAAGGCTGAGGAACTCCTATCACAGCAGATTCACCAAAACCTCAGATTGGATCTACAACACCTCCGTGAAGAAGCAGAGAAGCGACTGCACATTGCCCTGTTAGAATTTATGTCTAAACGTGTGTGCCAAATAGAAAGATCTTGCATTAAACCCGGACGAAGAGAGAAACACCACTTTAAAAGTAACCAGGACCACCAAAATGTAACATGCACAAGACTAGAGCAGCTGCTGAAGATATATGACAAGATTAACCTTGAGACTGCATACTCTGAACTGCATCATAGGCAAGAATTAGACCTAGAAAAGGCACTGCTGCTTTGCCACGTGCTTGAAACTAATGACAAATTGTTATCACAAAGGCAAGGACATCCCAGTGATAGTGGAATAATCAAGCAGATTTTAACAAAGATTCAAGACATTGGCCAATTAAAGAGACATGTAACTTATTCCAGAGTTAAGACAACAGAACTCTATTTTAGATCAGTCAAGAAGAGAACAGAGCAGAGACGTCTGCGGCACTATCCAGGGGGTGCCTCCATTACAGAGAGAGGCACCTGTCCAAGAAATGATCTGAAAATTTGTCAGCTGGGCGACGCTCCCCATGTTGACGGGAGGAACTCAGCCTTTCACAGCACTGAATCCTCGGGGTCAGACAGGTCACTGCCCTCCCAATGTGCGGAAACAAACATGGAGGTGAGTTGTTTTACTTTGTTATAAAAAGCTACTACTAATTATTGTTTTATAATGCGATGTCATGACTTGGGAGTCCCTGGGAGTCGATGTTTTTTTTCACAGTTAACACATATTGGCATACATAATATATATGTAAATTACATATGCATATTTACATACACTATAAATATGTGTCTTTATGGGATTAGAATTTAAAATAGTGGAAAAAAAATAAGAGTGAATTGACTTTAAGCCGCTACTTTTCTCTCTCATTTTGAACCCTCCATAGAAAGCATTGCTGTCTGTGTGGTTAACATGAAGTTGCAGTGTTAGTGAGTGATGTTGTCTGCGCACTCAAACAATTTATTGCCGTGTAATAAAATAAGTTATGATGCTAAATTAACATTAGTGAGGGGTGTATGTCTTACCTGTATGCATTAAATGCAGGTGAGTGCGTAAATGACAAGAAGAAACGTCTCAAACTTCAGTAGCCGGACATTCACTCATACCTGATTGATAAAACTAGCCCCGTCTAGACTCTGAAATCTGCTGAAATCATCTACGAGACACATGATACAGACAGTACAGCGGCCTTTTTTGTAGGAGACATGCGCAGTAGAGCCCAGGGAGAGGCTGGGGTGCAAGAGCATAACAAACAGGTGGAAAGAGATGATGAGCCAAGGAAGATGCTATTTTGATTGTGTTTTGAACAGTTATTTTGTGCTTCATGCATACATCCTCCTCATGTAAAACACATGAAGAAATGCAGAAATGCAAATGAAACAGCTTTTAAATTAAAGGCAATTGACCTGGCTGTCGCAGAAGGAGAGCTGCTGTATGTGAGGTCGGCATCAGTGAGTCGATGGTGAGATTTTGGTGATGGCAGCTTGATGAACTGACTCAACGCAAAAGGACGACAAAAGCTTTCAGAGGCGATAAAAGCAGATGGCCTGAACTTGATAACGTTCTTGAAGATGTGGCTTTTATTAGTAGTTTGGAAATTACGGTAAATAGTGTTACTTTCTTTGCATAATTTGTACACAAGTAATTCAAAGTGCTTGACGGAACAAGAAAGACTTTAAAATTAGAATACAAACAAATCAAAACATAAATGTTCACCATAAAATTAGCATTGAAAGAGAAAAGAGAAGAGTGTGGAATAAAAACCTTTCAGACATATATGCACAGTTTAGTTTTATTATATTTTTTCAGCTATTTTTCCTAATTACTCATCCATTGTCCTTCAGAGTCAGTTTGTCTGTTGTAACCAAATTTACAAACCCTCTGGTGTCTACTCATGACACTTTGTCAATATCACTTAACTGAGATTGACGGTGATGGAGCTATCAGCAAGCCATATGTCTTTGTGACAGGGTTAAAAATGCCTCGAAATATACTACTCTGTGCTCATATTACATCCAAACAAATACATTTATTAATTGCAACTTGTACTTACTGTTGCTGCACCCCATGGGCAAGACACCTTTCCCACCACTTACTAATGTTTTAGTTGAGTGATTACATAAAGAATTATTGTATGGTTGAAGTGGCCATTGGCGCGATTGGAAGATATTTTTCTTGTGGCTGATGTGGCTGCAGTATTATCTTATAACCAGTAAGTGTGACTGGGGTATAAATGTTGAAGGGAGCTATAAAAATCCAAGACACACTAAAAGAAAAAAAAGGCTCTCAGTAAATATACCGTGTACAACATGCTGTCAAACACTCTCTAGTCTGTAGCCATAAAACACAAGAAAGAACCAGCATACTTGTTCCTCTGTCTGCCCCGTGCACCTTTCTCTGTTGCACTGTGGACAGCCTCTTTAGCAATCAATAGGGAGCCTTCATCATTCCAGCGTCATCTCCATGGAAACGAGCTCCAGTGGCAGCAATGATTGGGTCCCCGCTCACAGGCTGCCTTTTTGTGATAGGGCGGCGGAAATGGTCCTCCCTGCCCCCCTCCTCATTGCAACAACACGCACCATCTTGCTCACACATTTTTCGTTCTATTTTTTCACCTTTATGGTTTTGGAAGCTCTGTAGGACCAAGCTGTAAATCTACTTCGAAGCGCTACATTTTGGGCTTTTTCTGGAACATCGAACATCCAAGATAGAAGAGACATCTCCAGCTGAGGACTTGACATGCCACCCACATCCACTGCTTCCTGAGCGAAAGGCTACTGGAGACCTGTTAGTCTGATCCTTCTACCAAGCACGCCTCCTCTTGTTTGCTATTTCACCATGGCCTGTACTTTTTAGTCTCATTTGGCAGACATTTTTAGGAGAGCTTTTGGGAAACTATATGAAAATGGGCTATGAAGAACACTAGTCTTGTCATCCAGGAGTCGAAAATGACCCGAAACTGATCTGATTTCCATGCATTTTATACTAATCAGAGAATGCTGATTAAAGCTTATGGAAAGGTGACAACATTAATGTCACTTTCTGAAGCCGAAGATGGAAAAACGTAACATCCCTTTTGAGCTGTTTCAATTTCACTTTCATCTTGGCATAGATACAGAGACAGCAGTTGTTACATTGACTCTGATTCTGATTGCATGATTTTATAAAGGAGCCCTACTTTACCCAGTTCACTTCTGACTGTGCCATTTTTAGGCAATTTGCTGTCACGGAAATGAAGTCACTTTGCTCAGACACTCCTGAACCTCTGCAGAGGATGAAGACTACGTATTTTTAGATTGATCTTTGTGACTCTACAAATAATAATGTAATGATGGCTTGGTCCGTACCTCTGGTGGTCATACTGATCCCTGATTTAAGTTTGATCTGATCTTAGAAGCAGTAATGTATGACTGTACCTGAACGGTGGGAGCCTGAAGTGGCGCACACAAAAATGGATGTTTGTAAAGAGGCAAAAGCTTTGGGACTTCAGCCGAATGTGGTGAATTCAGATGGGAACAGTAGTGAGCCCCACAGTGAGGACAAGCCAGCCCTAGCCACATCCATGCTGGGGAAGAGACACCACTCACTCTACGCAAATCTCAATGGTTACGAAGGGGAAGCCATGCGAAAGGTAACTTTGAGAATTTATACTAAATGTGTAGTCATCATTTTATGTATTATCCTTTCCACAACACAGAATTAGCTTACCAAACATGATGGCATCATACTGATCAGAAGATGAGAAGAGTTACTTTATAAGAGTACTTTATAGGCTTAATATTGTTCATCCACAGTGACCCTTCTTGACTGTTTTTGCTAAATACTTAACAATGACACTGTAAATGCTCCTCATGTTTCCAAAATATGTTATGAGTGGACGTTAAACAGGTCGGTGCTTTCCAACCTTTTTCCTCGAATGCACCCTCCCTGTTCAGAAACCTTGGCCAAAACAAATGCATCATTGTAACCAAAGGAGGTACGTGTGTATTTAGACAACTGAGCAACCAAGCATATTTTGAATTACATCTACCAGACCAGACAAGGCTCTGGGGGTTCAGGACCCTCTACACCTTTCTTTGATATCTGCATGTTTCTGTTGTTGGTGTTTTAGTGTAACTTACATTTTACATAGTAAAATGGAGGAATATGTATTTGTTGTTTTTTTTTGTTGTTGTTGTTTTTTGTTTTTTTTTATGAGAACGGTGCACAAAAAACATTAATCTCAGAGAGAAAAGATGCTCTGTGCCAGATTTAGCTACAAGCTACTTCCCATCTGCAGTCCTTGGGCAGGTACAAAAATGCATTAAAGAATCTATTTACAGTAGATTAACTCTAACAACAATATTTCATCTGTTTCATACACATTGTGCTGTCAGTGCATGTTGAGTTACCGTCCATGTGATCCATAGTGGCTCCTGCAGATCGCAGTTGCAAAATACAGATCTGAATTTATTCCAGCTAAGTCCAATCAAGCTCAGTACATTTATCTCTTTTGCATTTGGACTATCTGACCAGCTGTACGTCATGTGCAGTCTATATTGGTCTGTCAAACTATATTCGCCCAGCTAACACAGTTGTCAGCGTCTGTCATTTTGTGAATGTTTTATCTCCTAAAGGCTTTTAACATATTTCACAGTTAGTGTGCTCTGCTATGCTCAAAACACCTGTCTTCAAAGCATATTGCCCTTACTACACTGTAGTATAGATTATAGTTTAGATATGAATTTCTAACTTCAGTTTAAAAGTGATGATGGCAGAGTTTATCTCAGTTATACATCAAGTTTTGATCCTAGAATACATATTATGGTATTTAGAACATGCCTATTTCGAGCCACATGCACACATGTGCTGTGTCTCTTCTTACTGGCTCTCTTTGTTGTGCCTCTTGAATTATTGATACTGTGGTATGGATGTAATCTCTGGGGTATTTTTGTGGGTAGTTCAACCCAGACACGTCTGTCTCCCTGTCTGTGGGCTTTGTGTCCCATTGGGACAGAGCAACAAGATCAATTTATGTAAGAATGAATTTTAATTTAACATAATCTCAGATACTTTTAATTTAACTGGGTTGTAACACTGTTCAAGTAATCAAATATGACCATGTCACAAAGACCATAATATTTCTCCTCACCAGGCTGTATTGGCTGAGCTGGTGAGTTTTATATCCGGATTAGTTGTGTTTTCTACAACAATAATTGCCTTGGGCGTTGGTCATTGTATGAGTCTTTTAATGTCAACAAAGGTCACTGGGGCGTTCTATTATTTACTACGAGTAGGACATTTATGAATAATGGCTTGAAAAAAGACATTGTCTCATCTGTGCAAGTTGTTATCCTTTTGTGCCCACTTCTGCTGGAGAGTGATTTAAATTTATGTGCTAATTCTCTGCTCCAGAAACTGGAGTTTTCATCATGGGAATCTCCAGGTCATTGGACCAGTTTAACAGTTCAGTGATGAAAGTGGAAAAGAGAATTCTTGCTTCAACGGTTGGCTGCATTTTTCCAATTAATTGTATGCACCTCAGTGTCTGTCCAGTGCTGGCTATAAGGCCACTTTAGGTCAGGTTTTTTGAATTAGTACAATAGCTCAATTCCATATCTGTCTTCTTCTAATACATCTTATCATTTCTACTGTTTACTTTTTGTCACCAGATGCAAGTTTTAAGACACGCAGTGGGGATTCTGTGACAAATAGATTAAAAATGTGATGCTTTGTACTATTAAGTGCTCCTGATATATTTATAAGGGACTTTCTGAAACACAGGAGACCTCTAACCAGCTTACCCAGCAGATGCCACATTTTAGTTTTTATTTTACAAACTTGTCCAGAGGGGCAGGGCTGATTGGAGTGGGGGGCACATATAGTCTCTTGGGGAGAGGATGAGTCTGGGGGGTGTCTGTTGAGCCTTTGTTCTGTGTTGCTGTAGAAGAACCCCTAATCTGTCATCTGCACACAGCCGCATGAGTTGATGAGTCCCGATAGATACTGGAGGGGGTTCAGAGGACACAGAGGAGGCCTAACTCATGACTTATATATGAGGAAAGGACTGCAGTTAATAACACACTGGACCCAACTGGTTAGCAGCTTGATAGACCTTTCTCAAGAACAATTCCCTGTTTCAGCACTTGATATTGTTCTCCCTACAAGATAAATTAACTGTTTCTGCATTCAAGATTAAATCTCATTAGAAAGCCCAGTCCTGTTAGAAATAGAAGTCCAATTGTCTCAGATAGGACTCTGCTATTAATCAAATTTTGATTGAATAAAGATTTGGTCATTTCTAATCTTCAGTGATCGGCTTGGGTCTTTTTAATCAAAAGGCCAGTAACTAGTCTGTAAAAGCACATAGTTTAAACTTTTAGAGTAGTTCAGATTTAGGAGGGAGAATATGACGGTTATTTTGTGTTATGCAGTAATGATTACAGATCTGAATAGTTTTGCTTATTTATCAGGGACAATGCAATGCAGGTAATATGCTTCTGCCAGGTTATAGCAAAATAGCTCATTTCCACCTGCAGTTCCTGAACATGTTTATGTGAAGTTCAGGAAATAATATTGGAAGTGTTTTTTAATAATACAAAATAAAATCATAATGGGAATCGGGATTGATCAATATGGCAATTAAAATGATTTGTTGTTTTTGTTATATCACTCAACTGTAGACTCAACATCATGTAGACACAACAGCTCTGCCCATATGAAAGAGCTGAGAGAGCAGGCCTTTCTCTTTTTTATTATAACCAGGGGCAGAATTGGCCTGGAATAATTAAGGCCCTCTATCAGAATCAGCAGTTTGCCCCTCTATGTTCAACACCTCAGTAGCCAGCAGCACGTCAGAGCAAGACAGTGCTAAACAATCATACTTTTCAATGAATGACTACAAGCCTTTAGCCTTTAAGGTCTGAGGCATAATTACAACCCTGCAGAATATTGATACACAAGCTAATGGTAGCATAGCCATGGAAAGCCCCCTCACTTGAATCACTGTCCCAGCATGTATGGAGAAAATAAAGTCAGTGTGTGTATCATATAGCGGAAGGCAATATCCTATCAAAAAAAAAAAAAAAAAAAAAGTGGGATTGTGGGAGGTGGTTGTTGTTGTGTTTTTGTTTTGTTTTGGGTTTTTTTTGTTTTTTTTTGGCTATTTTTGTATAATTTCAAAAATTTTACAAAAAAAAAGATAATATCACAATTGTTGTTCTGAGAATATGCAAAATATCAAGAATATAAAGTCTGTCTATAAATGAGCAATAGAAAATGACTGCAAAAAGAGCTGTGTAAAAATATAATGAACCTAATCTGGTGCAATTAAAGTGATATTGTGGTTAGTTTTATGTTTTGTGAGATAACTGATCATAAGCCAAAGCTTTTACTGGCACACTTTAACACATTCTTGATGCAATAATAAAATATACTGATCGACATAATGCAAAAAATTCAGATTCATTCATTTTTTCCATTATTGCCCACCCCTAGTATCATATATTATAGCCATACTGTATCCATCATGTCCAAACAATGGCATTAGAGATGTGCATGTCTTTGTTTATGTCTAGCAGTTCCTTTGAGGCCTGTTGGAGGGTCTAGCTGTCAGATAGCTGATGCTGGTGATTTTAAACCCGTGAACCATCAGGATAATTTGTTAGTGTTATTAGAAGTGGTGCTTGTTGTTTATTTTCTATTCTGATTAGTTTTCCTGTGGGACTCTTGACAAAGCAACTGGCCCAGATAATTAAGAATTAACTTACACACCTCCATTATTATCAGTGCTTTGTCTTGTCTGTGTCAGCTGGTTTGTTGTGCCCCCTGTGCATCCTCCTTATGCACCTCTCCCTTCTCTTCATATACTCTATGATTAAACACCTTTAGGTCTGCTGATGTGGCAACAATGTACAAGGGCGGGTACAAATGTGGGTCCTTTTAAGCACCTGCTCTGTCAGCTTTGGTTTCCTTTAGTTATAGTATTAATCTCAAGGTTTTATAATCTCAAGGTTTTATATTGTGAAGATTAAGAGAGAGAAAAGAGAAGCCAAGGCAGTCTTTATGTATTAAGATCTTAGCAATCCTTTATTTGACTGGGCTAAAACATTGTTCTAATACATATTAAGATTTTAGTAGTGGCCCACAACAGGGTGTAGTTTGTCATTCTCCTCTTCTTATTTTATAATCAGGAGATGTGTGATACTTGGGTGTGGCGGAAGTGACATTACACATTGCATGAGAATGGCAAATTATATACACAATATATGTTAATAGATATTTTGAATGAAAAAAGTGTAAACAGTAAGGGTAAACCATAGCCTGCTGGTTATAGATGTTCCAATTTTAATAACTTGGAAATACTCAGCTAAAAATTTAGAGATGAATAATATCTCTATGAAATAAGCTGTCTGAAATACTGACTGTGTCTGTGTTAACCAGCATACTGACACGACTCCACTATTAGAGCCATGACAGACGTTTGGTTTGAGACCCCCGGCCTCCAACTACCACCTTGCATCTGTTCAGCCCACTGAGCCAGTCTCATAAAAAAAAACAAAAAAAAACTACTGCTCTGTGCAAGGCTTGACTGAATACTGAAAACTGGACATTGCCTCCTGCAGCGCTGATTTTAGCAGCTCTGTCTCAAACTTAAAGGTGCATTGCGTTACTTTACTGGTGGAGGGTCTGTCACCTGCTTGTTGACATTAAACTGCTCTACCTTACATTTATTCAATAATAGGTGATTTACTTTCTTTACTTACGCTCAAAAATACCAATTAAAACAGGCATTCTTACTGTAACTGGGGTTGCCTCTCCACAAATCAGACTTGTAACTTGGTCTGGTTTGGTCTCTATGAAGATAGAAAGTTTTAATACCATACTGTGAAACATTCCAAGCAAAGCAATAACATCTCCATGGAGAAAAGTGTTAAACGGGCTCACCTCCAGAAAAAGTTACACAGTGCACTTGTAAGGAAGGTCAGCAGATTGACAATTTATGCCTGTGTATGTTCAGCACCTCAGTAGCCAGCAGCAGCTCCAGTCCAGGCTGCGCTAAACAACTGCACACTTTTTAATGAATGACTACAAGCCTTTAAGGTCTGAGGCATATTTATGACCCTGCAGAATATTACTAGAGAAGCTAATGGTAGCACAGCCGTGGAAAGCCCATTCACTTGAATCACTGTCCCAGGGCAGCAACAAGACGAATAAGCTCTAAAATGTATGGACGAAATATTGTACAGTGTTTTTATAATCGTACATGAAAGCTTTTGCAATTCTCCCCATACTGTATATTTTGTACCTTATTTTATTGCATTCCCTTATTTTTATATGTTTATGTTATCATAGTTTATATTATTATTCTTTAGTTTAATGTTGCATTCCCAAGCAAGTTAAAACTACAGACCCCAGCTTTTCATCATTACATTTCACTGTAGCAAACAGGATTTTCATGAATGGGTTTTATTTTTGAATAATAGCTATGTGACATTTTTTAACCCTACATGCATGAACCAGAATGTGAATTGTTTGAATAATTGCAAGAACAGAGAAGGGAATCGAGATGGGGATTACGTGATAACTAAACATTTGGGAGCACTCAAGCAAGCCTAAAACACAGGACAATACAGTCTTATTCATTATTTGGTTTATATTTTGTTTGTATTTACGGATGAAATTGCCAGTTTCAAATGTTATCAGGAAAACCATAAACCCACCCCATGCTTATATGTCTGTCCTTGTGTGGCTGTCTACTCTCTGCACGCAAGTATTAGTAGGTAGCAGCTGAAGACTTTGATATAAATCTTAAGATAAATTATGTCATGTTTTCAGGTGCTCAAATTATTTAGCAACTCATCCAATATATACTTCTTTTTTCTGGGTGTAACAAGTGGTAACCAAATATATGTAATATATATGATTTGAGGGCATTGACTGGAGGGAACAGTGCTGACATTACCCCCTTTCACAGTAACAGTACTCTTACATTTTCTGTAAATGTTGTAGTCCTATTGTAATTTTTTGTTTTTCTTTTACAATAATCTCTTTTGAAGTATAAAATGTCAACCCATATTTGGAACATTCTTGTGTTTCAGTTTCCCTTCAATTAGGTCACTTTCCTAAAAAAAACACTTAAGTGTTACCAAGAAGAAAAAAATCTGCTCTTAACCTAAACCCAACCATTGTTATTTCCAAATAATGATGCACATGGATACCAGGATTCTTATGTAATAACCACCTGACTCAAGTCTTAAGGCTACAGCCAAAAATGTTCAATATGGCAAAAGACCTTGTTTGCTTATTTCAATTTTTTTTAGAAAGACTCCTAACTACAGGGTTGAGTATGGATTTTCAGTACTCCTTGGGATATCACATGCTTTAAAACACAATTCTATTCACATTTACTTAAAATATGGATTTTTGTTGTAAAATAAGTGTTTTCATTGTGTATGCTTGTCTTCCAGAATGGCACTGACTACAACATCTTGGTTCGTCAGAACTCAGAGCTGTTGCGAGCACTTGATGCTCTGGAGAAGACTTGTGCGACACTGAGAGAGGAAAATGGTTTGCTGGTGAGACTAAAAATAAAAGTGTCTGAGTCTCGAGTGATGCTCATTAAGAAGTAGGCCAGGGTCTGTTTCTCTTTTTTGCTTTCCCTTCTTGTGATATGCACAAGTTTATACTGGTTTACTCAAGTGCATTACTCGATAAACCTTTGAATGAGATTTTACTTCTCGAAGTAACATACACCATAAATTTTGTAAAGTAATGTATTTCACGGTGTAATAGAACAACTAGTTAAAAAAAATAACACGGTCCCACAGTGTGTATGTTTCTAATTGACCAAAGCTTTATGTTGACAATATCACATTATTTAAACATTTGTGTTTCTTGCTCTGCGCCTTAAAATATTATTTAGATTTCTTATTGTGTTTTTCCTTTGAAAATCCTTTGTGCATTATTTAATGTTTTGTCCTTCAAATGACATTAACTGTAAATCAGATGTTTTGTCCAGGCAGTTTCTCTTACAGTTACTTGAACAGTAGTACCTACTAAATGTCTCTTTTTTACTTTTCTTAAACCAGTTTTTTGTACTTCTACTTAAATAATATTATGCACATTTTTCCCCACACAGATGTTTGCAGCTTTTACTAATCATTAACCTTTGGCATTGTGAGGCTTGTTTTAGCTGGAGGCATTTTAGGGTGATGCTGTTTGTTTTTGTGTTTAGCGGAAGAGCAGTGCCCCTGAGACTGAGGAGAAGGTCAGGAGGCTGAGGAGGAAGAACACAGAGCTGGCTGTTCTTGCTAAAAGACTGGAAGACCGAGCGAGGAAACTACAAGAGGCGAATCTCAGAGTGGTACCACTACTTATACACAGACATCAGAGTACTGCAGTGTTTTTACCCTTCCAGATATAACACAGAGACCTGGATTCATCTGTAATCCTGCTTGAAAAAAGATCAAAAGGATATTTTAAAAAAACACTTTTTATAATTAACACACACACACTCTTGCTATTTTTGCTACTTATTTTGAATTTATTACTGCCATTTATATTTTTGCTCTTAGCTATTATAATATATTGTAATGTGTGAGCTACTGTGTCCAAATAATTTCCCTTGTGGATAAATAAAGTTTGTCTAATTCTAGGTCTAAAAAACATTGTATTTTAATTTGTAGTAATCTATGCTGTATAAAGAAAGTTTTGCATATCCGTCTTCCCAATGGCCCTTTGAATTCAGTAGTGAAGACCTAATACAAAATAAAATGTCTTTCTTTACATTTTTCTAATCAGATAATAGGCTTTATAATAGCACACATGGAATTATTTAGTATATTTATAGTATATTTATATTTATAGTATATTTAGTTTACATGAGCTAACATCTATTAGAGGACATTTGACCGGTGGCTCTTTTGGCTTTTGAAAGGGTAAAGTCGCAACTTTTCTTTCTGTTCACTGACATGTGTTCATTGTGCACCTGTCAAGAATATTACTATAGCACAGCCCTGCCCCTCCCCTGTTTGTCCTCCTGTCACCTGAGGACAGGACAAGAGGTGGAAATGGTAATGAAAAAATGGATTGAAAAGAATTCATAAAATGTGTTTGTGTTTCCTGCAGGTGAATCCTCCCCTGATGAGGCCAGGGTCAGTGGAGCAGTACAAACGTGCCTTTGCCCGTCAAAGAGCCCGAGATCTGGCCCAACACGCGGATGTGCTGCTGTGTAAAGACAAGGAGATAGCCTCTCTGCAACAAGAGTGCAGGGACCTAGAGGCACAGCTAGGAACCACAAAGGTAAAATCTGTTAATATAACCGTGTAAGACCTTTCAGAGGAGGGAATTAATCATTTCACCACCGACCGAAACAAGAGAGCACAATAAAAACAAGGCCTTTCCTGTGGTGCACACCTGGTTCCTCCCTTGACACTGCTCTGATGCTGCAGGACACAGAGGAGGGACAATTTTGGGTCTTTCTCTCCTCAAACTGCCCTGACAAAGGATCTGCTGGCCCTAACTGACCAGTCCTCCTGGTAAACTACTCTGAAACCTTTGACAAAGACATAAAAGCAACTGAGAAGTACAGTGTAAATGTTACTGCAATAAAACTTGAATTTCCCTTGGGATCAATAAAGTATTTCTCTCTCTCTCTCTAACATTGTATACTCATTTGAAGAACTTCTCAGCATCTGACAGATGCTGTATAATTGAGTCCTCAAGCTTGCCATCTACTGGCCAGCATTAGTACTTATCCTCCTGCCTCTCCATGAGATTGCATTACCAAAGCTGCGTCACGGCTGAACATGACAGTGCAAGAGCAGGCGCCCTTTATAGTGAACTTAAATGAACTGCCAACATTATTAATCATCTTTCTGACATATCTGTGCATTGGTCTGTGAAAAGTGAATCACTGTTATGCAGATGCTTGGTGTTTAATTGTGTGAATGTGCTGTGTGCAGAGGTCCCCTGTTTCATGCGGGGAGATTGAAAAGCTGCTGAGAGAGTCCCAGAAAGAAGTGCTGCGGCTGCAAAGGCAACTGTCAGTTACATCTTGTAGGCAACAACACAGCCCAGTCCCACCTGATGACGCAGTGCAGTGTGGGGGCACTGAGAAACGAGACGAGGAAAAGAAGGTATGTTCTCTTTGGCCTTTAGACATTTTTTTTTTTAACTTTTTTTTTTAACACAACAATTTACATTATTATAAATAATACAGACCTATTTTATATTATGCATCTAGATTATGATTTGTTTTATATTGAAATTATATTCAGATTCAAATACAGTGCTTGTGAGCTAAAATGAGAGTGCCGATAGTGGTAATCTCTCGATTGTGGGACACTGTGAGTGTATGCACTGCACACCCAGAAAGGGGCCATGTTGTGTGAACTCTAATCCCCTCTAACAACAGAATGGTACAGTCCAGTAATCCTCTCTCTCTTGCTGTGGCAGCGGTGAGAGGGTTTTGGGTGGTAGGTAAGACTTCAGTCGCACTAAATACTTTTCTATGTCCTCCTGCATTGGATAAGTAGCAGGCCAGAGGGAGACTTGAGGCTGTTGCAGATTGCACCAGAGGGGTAGGTTGTCTTTAATAGTTTCGTGTGTGTATTTGTCTGTGTCACGGGCAGCACTGGTCTGCTTTGGCTAGCCTTGTATGTGCAGAATAGATGTGGAAGGTCCTGTGCACACCCAAAGTTGAGACACTACGTCCTCACATTTCAGCAGTGACAACAGCCTTTTCTTTTTAAATCAAAATTTTATTTATTATGCATAACTATTCTTTTATGTATGTTACTGATATACAGTTACAGCTATCTGATATATTTTCAATCTATTTTTAAAAAAATACTTACAAACTCCTGTGATTTCCTTGTTTTAGCACTGAACAGTTAGCTATAGCTCATAGCGAGAGCAGCCTGTTTTGTAACAGTTTTTTTTTTTTCAGATTTCCAGAAGGTTTTGGTCAGTCTGATTTAGTGGCAATGGCAGCAGAGCTTTTGATTCCTGGGCATTGATATGCTCTGTATTAAAAAGAAAATCAAGGGGCGGGCCAATCCATTAAGGTGCTTTTAAAAGAAGTGATCCAGTTACCCGTTTCAGTAGTCTGTAGGGATTACACCAATGTGCTTACGGCATTCAGGGCCTGCTGAATGGAATCTGACTCTGGTTTATGCATGTGCCCGGGCCGTATCATTCGTCTATGTACCTTTACATCAAATATGCTAATCATAACATCACAAGCTAAACATTTTCTGTTCATTTTATTTGAAGGATGTCTGCGAGCACCTTTTGCCATTCACTGCGCTGACCGTCAGTATTTCCATAGCAGTTTGTCTCCACTGATGCACGGTTTGTGCGATGTGTCCAACAGAGATTTCTTGTTCAAAATTATCCAGATGTTACTAGGATTTAAGTGTTGATTTCAGCTCTCACTTCTCTGTTTTGGTATTTATACTTTTTTTTTTTTTTTAAAGCTAATGCATTACTAATGCATTACTAAACCTAATGTGATCTTGATAGTGCAAGACTTTATATTGTAACTAAGCTTTGATTTTATATTAAAAAATCACAACTAAATATATATTTGAAACAGCAAGGTTGTCACATTTTAAGTCTTTTTTATTATTATTAGCTTATATATTCTTCTGAATAATTGTAGTTGGGATATCAAACAACATGTCAGGTCATCAAAAAATAGTTCAGTTGTGTGTTTAAGAATAACAAATATACAATAAAAATAAAATGTTTTCAGAACAATAGTATTTTTAATTAATGATAAAAATGTTTTATAAAGCTAATATTTCCCCTAAATGCCCCAAGATGGATGGATGTATACACAGCTTATATACATATATATCTATCTATATCTATATCTATCTCTCTCTCTCTCTCTCTCTCTCTCTCTCTCTCTCTCTCTCTCTCTCTCTCTCTCTCTCTCTCTCTCTCTCTCTCTCTCTCTCTCTCTCTCTCTCTCTCTCTCTCTCTCTCTCTCTCTCTCTCTCTCTCTCTCTCTCTCTCTATATCTATATATATATATATATATATATATATATATATATATATATATATATATATATATATATATATATGTATATATGTATGTGTGTGTGTGTGTGTGTGTGTGTATATATATATATATACACATAATATATGGATATATACAGATACTTTATTGATCCCAAAGGAAATTCAAAGTTCGACAGCAGCAACATGGAAACAAAAATAGTAACATGGACAAGATTTTTAAAGTTAGCAGTCCATCCTCTTGTATTCATTAGCTATAGGGATGTGTTGTACAGACATATGACATGTTGGGCTTCCAGAGTGGAGCTGGACAGGGACAAGAGCCTGTCCCAAAACTCCTCTTCTGTTCTGTGTTCGCTGATGGTGCAGTGCAAAAACAATTCTGTACGCCACTGTTACTTTGAACACAACTTGATTAGGTGTGTAAACACTCAACCATTTGAAATCATTCTAATGGTCTACAGCCCAGTCTACGGCAGCCCTGTTAGTCCTCATTGCACTGAATAAATGAGCCATGTTAGTTATGAGTTATGTAGTTATGTAATATTCTCTCCTGTGGCTCCTCTGCCAAACCATGTCAGAATTATATCACTCCATGCTTAATACCTGATAATACTTACTTGAAGCTCATCATTGTAAAGGGTTGCTCTTTATGGCTGTGGTTGTTGCTGATTAGTTGACAGTAACAATTATAAACCTGGGCCCAATCTCATATTATATCTTCTTAGATTCTATTGAGTGTGTGGCCCACAAGGAGGAGCTCATGGCCCTCGTTTGGGCCCCAGCTCTATGAGTCACTGTTATATATACATTTTGTTGAAGTTAGATCACTATGGTTCCTAAATACAGTAGTAGTAGTAGTAGTTCCTAAATACAGCAGTAGTAGTAGTAGTAGTAGTAGTAGTAGTAGTAGTAGTAGTAGTAGTAGTAGTAGTAGTAGTAGTAGTAGTAGTAGTAGTAGTAGTAGTAGTAGTAGTTGTAGTAGTGTAGTAGTTGTAGTAGTTGTAGTTGTAGTTGTAGTTGTAGTTGTAGTTGTAGTTTTCTGTCATTTCCTTGCCCTTTACTAATGTATATGCTCTCGTCTAACTTTATGGTGGAGGCATTTCTCCTGCATGATTCTAAGGATATAGAATTGTTAAAATAGTTAAAACCATACTTTGAAACAATCTCTATGTAGATACTTACGTTTTACACTATACTGTGGATGATTATAGCCAAAGAAACAACATTTCCATTTAGACAAACAGGTGGAGACCCTCGTCTAGGCCAAATATGAGTCAGGTTTGTGGGAAGGCAAGCAAGTATTGCATATTTTCTGTGAAGGAAAACATGTTTTCATTGCTGCCATTCCCCAGCCCTTGTGCACCATGTACATATATTGTTAATACTATAGGTTTATATTTTTTTTATTTAATTTTGTGTGAGAAGAGAATACTCAAAGCTAATCGTGGTGATCTTCTCAGACCACCATTGAAAACATGAACATGTACCTTTTTAGCGTCCTATCTGTATGCAGAGATCTTTTACTAAGGCCAGTGGAATTAGTGCCTCCTGCTGGCCCTGTCACCACTACTGACACTGTCTGGCCTCCCCTCCAAAAGCTAAACCAAGGGATAGCCTTATTTAACTTGGGAGATATTGCACTGATTTCATATTCAGCAGTGCACTGAACAATATGGTAATGTTTTAAAAAAAACAAAAAAACTCAGAAAATATTGTAATCCTCACTCACCTTTTTATTTGACGTTTCTTCTGTAATATGGTGTTGCCCTCCTACAGTCTATACACTGGTGTTAGAGTACAGTTAACCTGATGTTTACTTTTGCGTGCCTGCATGCATTGCCAAATTACTGTGAACAGTGTGTCATAACCAGATACAGATAATTTTTCAAGGGAATGAAAGGTGTAGCAGAGATTCCCTGTGCTGCACGTGGCTGAGCACCTCTGATCTTGTTATTGGGTCAGGGCCTTGGCTTCACTAGCACACTTCTACTCTGAGCATAAGTAGGTTTGCTCTAAAATTAGAAGCTGATTCCCGACTCTTAACCCTTAACCAGCTCTCCCACCTCAATGTCTTTAACAAATTATTCTATTTTCAAATATGTGTATTAGGTGTCAGCACACTGTAGCTTTGTTAATATAACACATTAAACTCTAGAACATTCTGTTCAGTGTTTGCCTCAACATTTGATCGTTGCATATCTTTACTAAACTAACTTAGCATTAGCATTAATAGTTAAGAATGATGACTATTTAACCCTTGTCATCTTTTCTGTGTCTGACTCAGGTTGTCGGTGAAACCCCTTTTGTTGCTTTTGATGAAGTTTCACAAAGAAATGAGAAAACCCCCAGAGAGGAGGAGGAGGAGTTGGGGCAGCATTTGACGCCCGTCCCGGGCCTCAGCCCGACCCCCTCCCAAAAGGAGGAGCAGCCTCAGGACCACCTACATTTTCTGGTATTGTTATGACATATCACTGTATTACCTATTATGACAGTTAATGATAATGTTATGCACTGGTTATTGTGTTAACTTATTGGTGCAAACTGGTTGAGATTTACACCATAACCAATCTAATAAATATAAGAATAAAACTGTACAAAGAAATTAAACTAAGTAAGTAGTAAAAACTAAGTAAACTAAATCCTATATCCTTAATTCTTTAAGTATTATTATTATTATTTATTTATTTTAAACTGAAGTTTAAGGAGGAATTACACCCGACTCTAATCAGCTAGCTCCCACAACCCCTTTGACTTTTTTTTTTTACTAAATAAAAAAAAAAGTTTTAAACCTTTAACCTTGCATTAGCAAGTAAAGATCTTGTCACATACACCTCTTTTCCCCTGTTTTTTGGGACTAGACCATGTTCGGTAGTGCACTGCGCTTCAGTATCCATATAATGGACATACAGGCTTTGTCTGCTTTCTCTTACTTGATTACACCTTTTGAAAATATGTTCAGAATATTACATTCGGACATTAGTCTGAAATGAATGATCAGTTTTGACTGGCTTGATTATACCGAAGGCCTCTGGTTATATAATGTTGGGATTATTTTGATCTTGTCTTTTGGACACAGACTGGTAGTACATTGGCACTGTCATCCATATCATTATTCAAATTTTAACTTCAGCACTTAGCAAACCTGTGTATTACATATAAACTCAATGTTATTATGAGCCTCTAGAAAAATCTTTATTATTCCAGAGTAAAACTGAAGAAAACTATCACACAGCTATTGTATTTAGCATGGTGAGCGTTATATGCATAAACTGCATTATGTCAATGATATTATTAAACTGCCGCACAATCAGGCCGATCAAACAACAGATTGCAATTTAATTATGATTGTCTTGCTGTGTCATCTTTGTTGAGAGTGTAGCATTACCCGCCTAGCTGCTAGATAGCTGCTTGTCAACAATTAGCCCCTGTTGTATGACATCCCCCACTGTCACCATGGTAATACTCAATGTGGTCTGTGGGCATGAAATAAGCAGATTTCTCTTATGCTGCTCCTGCATGTAAGCTGCATTTAGAATAATTAAAGGAGGCTAAGCTTGCAAACCCAACATTGGTCCTTTGTCAGAGGTTATGATGGAAATATATATATATATATATATATGTATACACGAATTGAACTTAAACAAAAGTCAATTACTAATAATTATGGTGTCATTTATTTGTTTTAGGAAAGTGAACTGAGTAAGAAAAGAAAAGAATGTGAAAATCTCGAGCATGAAGTAAAAAAGCGACAAAGAAGATGTCTAGATTTGGTAAGCAGCCTCATCCTGAATGAAAAACAGAAAGACAAAAAAAATAGATAGACAAAAACATAACATTTACATACAAGGCTGAACTGTGCTTTATGATTCACAAAAGGAGAGCCAGCTTGAAGAGGAGCGATGTAAAAATGAGCAACTAACAGAGGAGACAGATCTCCTCCGGAGGAAGGCACAGCTGCTCTACCAGGTCAGTGTTACAACCACACATTTATTGTTACTGATCTGCATGTTGCACCCCTTTATTCAAGGACAAGCTACTCTGGTGCCCATTTAAAGGCATATATACCCTTCTTCTAGACTCAGACTGAAAATGAGGAGCTGAGGGAAGATCTCTCTGAAGTGACTGCTCAACACAATTCAGTTCTCGAGGAGAACCAAAGACTCCGTGCCAAACTGGAGAACTTAGAGCAGGTCCTTAAGGTACCATATACATCAATATTCTGTTTGTTACCCTATAATCTGCATAACAATACATCGTTACCATACATTCTAACTGTAAACAGCATATGCGAGAGGTTGCTGAGAGAAGGCAGCAGCTGGAACTGGAACATGAGCAGGCACTGGCAATCCTTAAGTTCAAACAGGATGAAATCAAACGATTACAGAGGGTAAGTGACACAACAGAGCCTGTCTCAGCCAGTAGGAGGCAACATTTGGGCAGCAATGATAAGATGTCTATGAAGCTGTCTATGAAGCTATCTAGAGTTGAATAGAGTTTATGACAGTGTTCAGTTTAATTTGATTATTCTTTTATTTTCAGGCTCAGTTATTTGCCAAAAGGGAACATGAAGGAGTTGTTCAAATGTTGGAGGTACAGTATGTTGCCATTATTCCACTAATGCTATTTAGTTGTCCACATTTTAACATTTATTTATTATTACAGCTTTTAAAGAAATTACAAATAAAGACTTCCTTGACTAAGACATACCTGTACAATGCTGACTGCCAAGCAACAAGCTTTCTGATACATTTCATGCATTTTACAAAATTTCATTAACTGCTGTGATTTCTCGTCAGTTAAATACACTGTAGCCATTTGATCTATGTGTATTTTGTTTTAGGACTTGGTTCAGCTTGTGTTGGAGAGAGAGCTGGTAGAGTATTAGTTGGTCCTGTTTTAAATCTACCAGTTTCCTTCCTCTTACTTTATTCGTCACTCTTACTCTCAGCCTTTTAGTTCACGCTCAAAGTATCACAAAGGAAAGTCTCCTTCCCCTTGTGATACTCATGATTCAAACTGTACATGACCTAACTTTTAACAGAGGCTTTTACTGAACTACACACAGAGTCTCATTATTAAGAATATTCTTTTCTTATCCCTGTTTTTCAAAGCATGTCTTTTTTTTTTTATTCTTTTGTGCTGTTTTCGCTAACCAGAGCACACTGGACTGCATGCAGGTATTTTCGAGTGCTTAGTTGAGTGGTCCCAGTTTGTGCCTAAATTGTATCATCTGATCCCCAATTTAACCACATTTGTCACTAAAATCTTGGAAACATTAATTATTGTTAATTATTGTTTTAACAGTGGTTAGTTTTACACATTTTTGGACACAAGTTGATTTACCTGAATAGCATATAATTCATTCTTCATACTGCTTATGGGTAAAAGTAAGCAGGAACTATTCAGACAGTTCTGTGCAAAACCTTAGCAGGAAATGCTCACCACAACCGGAAGTGAAATAACCATGCATTCAAGTTCAACACTTAAACACAAGTGGTGTAATTTGCTATTGGTCTGCACACCATCATCTTTGTTTTAGTCAATGTTCCACTGTCTGTTGTTTAATCTTACCCCTCCCCCACACACATACTATATAGTGTTCTATAATACCTTTTACCCTATATTTGATGGATATAGTAAAATTAGATTTCTGGTAGATTTAGCTTGTAAATGGATTTACACACTGTTGATTGTATGTAAATGTGATGTACAGTCCAAGGTCCGGGATCTGGAGGAGAAATGTCGTGGACAGAGCGAACAGTTCGGCCTGTTATCCCAGGAGCTGGAAAAGTTTCGGATGCAGGCTTCAAAAGTGGACCTGGCTGCTTCCGCTCTCCCCAACAACCCCTGCCTCTCTGTTCTGACCAATGGACTAGGCCTCACTGCTGACAGGGGTAAGTGTAATACAGGATAACTACATATTAATTTAATACAATCTACAATTAATAAATTTAAAAATCACATAGAAGTGTAGTTTTTTCATGTCTCTTGGACAAAGAGTTGAATACACAATGGTGGTAAAAGAGTAATGTCCCTTTGCATTGTTTATTCTTTAATTTTTTCTACATCAACACTGTTTGATGTGCTTTAGACTGCAGTGGCTCTTTGGATATGGTGTCTCTGGGTGAAATAGCCTTTTGGAGTCTTGAGGGGGGTGACCCTCTCCCCGGTCCTGAAGGGAATGAACTGCTTGGTACTTTTCTGCCTGTTTCTCATTGTTAGTCTCCAGTCCACTGCATGTGTTTCCATCAGTACACCGTTATAGAGCATGTTACATTTACATAAAGGTCAGAGCCCAAGCTGCAGCCAGGAGTTTTTGTGGACAGCGACCCGGTTAAGCCCCTTAACTGCACTGGTGTGACACAGGTAGCCATGAGGCAACTCGACCTTTGAACCCAGACAGATGGAGACAGGATTTTTCTCCACTGTTTAATCAGCCCAGTTCAACCTTGAGCCTCCTGCATGACACCCACCCACCTAGATGTTTGTCGACTGATTTACTACATTGTTGTTGGGAGTCATATATTCTTTTGTTATAATAACATTATAACTTTATTTTATTTCTGCTAGATGTGGCAGCTGCTCTTGGCAGTGGGGCCACTCCTCATGCTGCAGGCCTGTCCCGGGTGCAGCGGTCTCCTGTTACGAAGCACAGAGAGCTGCCCACCATCAGCGTCAGCAAGTCCCTCTCTTCCTCCAGCAAGTCTGAAGCCACACGCCTCACCCCAAAATCTGACACTCATCTCAGCCCTCACAAGTCAAGCCCTACACATGAGGTACAAACCATATGCTGCACATGTATCTACATTCTAGTTAAGCTTGTTTCTTGTTCGGATAGGCCTATGTGAAGCACTAGAAAGTCAAAATGAGCACAATGATTGTGTGGATTACATGGATTAAAATTACCTTCTTAACTGTCTTGATTTTGCTCATGAGAAAAATCTCAGATTAGGGATTGCATGATAAGACATTTGTTGATCCTTGTATTCTTTAAGTCGCCTGCCCACGATTTAATAAATATCATATAATAGAGATAATCCAGTGGATTAAATATAGTCTGTTACTGAATCAGGAGTACCACAAATAGAGGATATTAATAATAATTGCTTTAAATGAACCAGAAATGCATTTTTTTTCAGAGACTGGAAGTAGCTTGATCTCTCTATCATACTGTGTGAGCCTGTATATATAAATAACCCACCAATACTCAGTATTCACACATGTTTATCACGTTTATTCTTAGGTGGATACAGCCAGTGAAGTTGAGGAGTTGGACATTGATGTTGCCCCAGCGCCTTACACTGTCAACAGGGGGGCATCTAAACTTCAAGTTTTTATTGCACGATACAGGTTTGTGAAAATAGTGTGAACATGCTCACATGCTTAACTAAACCAAACAAAACAGGTGAAATGCAGAAATGTGTAATTTAATCATCTTTTTTTGACAGCTACAATCCTTATGATGGTCCCAATGACAACCCTGAGGTGGAGCTTCCACTCACTGCAGGAGAATACATCTATGTGTATGGAGACATGGATGAAGATGGCTTCTATGAAGGTAAACACATGTGCCAATATTGTTTTGTTGTTGTTTGTTTTATTGTTTGTTTTTTGTGACTGATTCTGGTGTTTATTTTTAGGAGAACTTATGGATGGCCGCAGAGGGCTGGTCCCCTCTAACTTTGTGGAGCGTGTTTCAGATGATGAAGTTATTGGTTCTCATCATCCAGAGACTGTGGATATCTCCCATAATTCTCTGCTTGACAGCAGCCTGCACAGTGCCAGCCACCAGCATTACCTCCATACTGGAGTTAGCGCCTCCCAGAGGACAGAGGCCTCCGCTGCTCCCGGTCCTGCGTACACCCCTGTAGATCCTGCATTGGCCTTGGCAGTACCGGCCCCTCTCACAAATGGGCTAGACCTGGACTTTGAGGAGGTGGGAGTGGACATTGTGCCTTACCCACGGAAGCTCACCCTTATCAAGCAGTTGGCCAAGAGCATCATCATTGGCTGGGACCCTCCATCGGTACCTGCGGGGTGGGGGAACGTTCTGAGCTATAACGTGTACGTGGACCAGGAGCTGCGGCTCAATGTGCCCTTTGGTTCCCAGAACAAAGCTGTGCTGGAGCGTTTGGACATAAACTTGAAGACCTACCGTGTGTCTGTGCAGAGTCTGACGGAGAAGGGGCCGTCTGATCAGCTGCAATGTAGCATGCTGGTGGGCCGTGATGTAAGTGTGGCACCAACTCAGCTGAATATCGACAGAGTCACTGCCACCACGGCCAACCTGAGCTGGCTGCCCAGCAACAGTAACTATGTGCACATTGTGTCCTTGAATGGAGAGGAGTATGAACTGGTAAAGGCTGGCTGCTACTCTCTGTGCCTCACAAACCTCTGTCCAAGCCTGCAGTACACAGTCAAAGTGGAAGCACGGCCACACCGCACCCCCTGGGAGTTACCTGCGGAGCGCCGTGAACACAGGGTCACCACTGTCACCTTCAAAACACTGATGGCAGGTCAGCACTGCCCATTACTATAATCAGTTTATACAGTCATTTTTAGTACAAGCGATACAATGATACGTTGTAGGCAACAAATACATTACCACTATTACTTTTATTTTGGGGTCTTGGATCTTTATGTTTCTGGCATATTTGCGAACATATGGGCTAGAGTAGTTACATGGGCATATTTATTCTTGTGTATTGTCTTGTTTTATTGTGATATACTGAGTGTCATTGCATCCCAAGTTGTGACAAACAATTTTGTCTTTCTACTTAAGACATTCAGTTGATGTTTTACATACTATACTAGCAAACCGCTAATTATTTTTAACCAGTTTTTACTTAATAAATGAAATGTTTATCCAATTTATTATGGCTAAAATGACATATTATGCTATGTTATAATGGTTTTCCTTCATCATAAGCTTACTCAGAGTTGTAATTTGTCCTCCATTTGAAGCTTGTTTTCTCAAAATATTCCCTATACTCCTCCATGTACTTAAAAAAGTGATGCAAATGGGTTCAATAATGTTGCACAACCATTTCCCCAAATGCTGCTTGCTGTGATATGTTTATGAATATGATCCATGTGCATGATAGATTATCACTAAATAGTATTCATTATTGTCATGGAACATTAGCAAGCATTGCCCATTCACATTAACTGTAGAGCATACACAGCGCTGTTTTAGATGCCTCTCTGAACCTGACATGTTTGTAGGTCCTCCTGATGCTCCTCTGGATGTCCAACTGGAACAGGGGCCTTCTCCGGGCATTGCTCTCATCAGCTGGTTGCCAGTTACCATTGATGCGGCTGGAACATCTAATGGAGTGCGTGTCACAGGGTACAGCATCTATGCTGACAAGAGAAAGGTAAACTCTGCTTAAATGAACGGATGTATGTTCAGATCCAAGACTGATTGATGTTTTGTATGCACTCAGGTGCTGGAGGTGTCATCCCCCACCGCAGGCAGTGTTCTGCTGGGCCCGTCTCAGATCCAGTCTCTGCAGGGAGCTCGGGAGCTGACTGTGCGCTCCATGTCTGCTCATGGGGAGTCATGTGACTCTCTGCCAGTGATCCTACCCTTTAAGATGGATACCCTTCTGACAGGCCCCCCTATCACCCCTCCTGTTGTGCTACCACCTCCCTGTGTTCCAGTCTCCCCCTGTAGCCTTCCATCCCCTAGTTTCTATGGAAATGCACCTGCCAATGTATCCATGCTGCCCAGTACATCGCTGCCAAACACACAAGCCACTAGTCATGTGGTGGAACCTTTTGCCAATCAGCCCAATGCTCTGGCTCCTGAAGATCCCTGTCCCATGTATGTGCAGGCTTGGGCCAACCCCTCATCAGCTGCTGCCTTGGCTATAGGTGACTCAGTGTTACCAGCAGCCTCCAACTCCCCTCCAATGGTAGTGTTCTTACCTTGGGAATAAATAATCTTTCTTTTCTTTCTTTTTTTAATTGATCATAAATGATTAACTTTTAATGTCTTTGTAGGTTAGTGTGAGATCACCCATTACCAGAATGCCTACACAAGGAGCAGTCCTCTCAGCGGCAGCGCTGGTGCAGAGCAGAGACACTGACAGCCCTGGGCTCATACGCCCTTTCCCGTCCATAACAGAGTTCATCGAGGACCCCTGTGCCAAGCTGGAGCCCATTCCACCCCCGCCAAAAGCCACAACCACAGACCTCCTCTGTCCTAAAGACATCCGGCTCCTGCGGCCCCCCAGTACCTCCCCTCTGGACTCTGAGGTAGAGGAGGAGCAGGAAAACACACGCCTGGTGTCCATAGAAGAGTTCTTAAGGCAAGATCAGGAGCCAGCCAGTAACACAAGGCAGCAGGTGGGTTAATGGATGTCAGATTTTTTAGCAGTCCAGCCTCCAGAGTCTCAAGCCTCTCATCAAAGCCTAGCTGTCATTTCCCTTTCAGTAAGAATATGCCATGAACTTTCAATAAGAATATGTCAGAATATATAAGAATATGTGGCACTTGATTATATACTTTACAGTTGCCAGGGGCCCACAGGCCAGTGTTCAGTACTGTGAAATATTTAAATGGATGAATTTAACATGTGTCTGAAAGAGCCACCACACCTTTAATCAGGCATTTGATTGATTGATTGCATTTTATATAGCGCCTTTCAAGATACCCAAAGCACTTCACAGTTCATTATTCAGTCACTCCACACTCAGTGGTGGTAAGCTACTATTGTAGCCACAGCTGCCCTGGGGCAGACTGACGGAAGCGAGGCTGCCAATCTGCGCCATTGGCCCCTCCGACCACCACCATTACTCACGCACACACCACTTTCATACTAGGCAATGTGCGTGAAGTGTCTTGCCTAAGGACACAACGAGTTTTTTGCCACTGGCGCCCCACTGTGGCACCTGGAATTCCTAGCGGTCTCCCATCCAAGTATTACCCAGGCCCAGCCTGCTTAGCTGCTGAGATCTGACGGGATCAGGCTTTGACAAGCTGGTATGGCCATTTGACGTTGTACTGCATTGTTTAGGAGTGGCTGTGGTGGCAAATATATTTTTTTATAATTTGCTGTAAAAAGTATCGTTAATTATCATTTGGGCCAACTCAGCAGGAAGCCAGAGGGCCACATTTGGCATTGTTTTTTCCTGTGGGTTGCCAACATTCATTAATAGTAATGACAAGTACGAAACAGATGCACATATAAAGTAAAAGAATGAGATTTCTGGATATACAGTCTATTGTTACTATATGCTCGTGTTTTTCAGACTTATGGGAAGGGTCTTGTAGAACCCCTCAGTGATTACCATGCCGATAACAGCCGTTCAGACTTGTCAGACATCTTGGAGGAAGAAGAGGAAGACCTGTCCTCTGACCATCTTGGAGAAACACAAACTATGGGATACATAGCTGCTGCTAACAGACTAAAAGTACAACCTTTATTTTATGCATGCTCTAGCCATTTAATTTCCTGTTCACTGTACCATCTCATCTAAGTGTGATTTCTCTTTGATTTACTCTTTTTCTCTTGTCTTCTTATGTTTTTTCTCTTTCTGCATGCTGCCTATTTTCTGTTTTTGCCTCCATTGAACCACTCTTTGCGTTTCTGCTGCGGGTGCTGTCACATGTTTAGTCCTGCAGAATGGATACACCAGACAGTGATGAAGAAGTTATGGAAAGGATTCTAAAACTGCCTGCTCAGGTGTACCAGAGCAAACAGCTCTCTAGTATCCCAGAGGCCACAGAGGAAGAGGGCCGCAGTTTACAAGAGTCTTTATTACACCATACACAGCCACGAGCCAGGCCCAGAGACCCCAGAGACCCCAGACACCCCAGAGACCCCAGACACCCCAGAGATCCCAGGCACCCCAGGCCCCTGCAGCACGCTCTTCAGCACCTGTCCACCCCCCTCACACCGCACCATTTAAATCCCAGACCAGTCACCAAAGAGCCTATGTTAAGGCATGAAGGCCCTCAGATCAGGTCTAAGACACAGCTCCGAGTTCATTATGCAGACCCAGTGGAAAGCTGCTACTCAGAGCAGGAGCCCAGTGTATACCAGGCCGTTACCAGCAGGAGACAGTCTGCTCGCTGTCCTCCCCAGCCAAACCCCCCGGGCCGACCGCTGCTCAAAGGGCTGGGGGATCGCCTTAGGAGGGAGGCCATGCTCAGGAGCCAAATGGCTGCATCTGCCTCTAGCTCTGCTCTGACCAGACCTCATCCCATCAGCAAATCTGTGCACACTGTGAGCGCTCCTATGGGTCGTGCAGCAGAGATCGATGTAGAGTATGGTACAGACACAGAAGAGCCAGTTGAGTGTGGTCGAGGAGAGGTGGTGATGGAGCAGATGAGCTCAGAGTGGTGGGTGGATACAGCTCTGAAGAGCAGACCGCTCTGCCGCCCTGGACCCAGGCCCCAGGCACCAAATGTTACTGCAAGACAACAGCCACGGGTGTGTTGTCCCAGATGTCTCCTCAACTGTCTTTCCTGTAGGAATAGGAGTTCACATCAGTGCTGATCACTTCTTGTTCCTTTTACTTATTTCCCTCTAAAAATGTACTTACTCCCCTCTGAAATTATTAATGAAACATTTATGCATGCAAAAAGTCAGTCTTTTGTTACTATGTCTTAATATATATATATGTGGTAATTTACCAGTACTTGTTACTATAATACAATTTTCTAATGTTTGTTTTGCAGGAGACCAACCCAGTCTCTCCAGGAGAAGCTGGGCCATCATGGCGAGACCAGGCACCACAACTTTCTAAATCCACAGCAAAGCACAACAGGCTCCCAAAAGGTTGGAGAAGCCTTTGGTTTTTTTTCTCTTACTGTGTATGTGTGCTCTCTGTTAGTAAACCTCCAGCCTCACATGATAGTAGTCAGATTAGCACCTTGAGTTGGACGGGAGGCGGATCAGTGGGAGGAGGTGCTATAGCTGCAGTGAAGCAATGGGTGAGCACTGAGCACCTGCTAAGCTGAGAACCAGCTTAACTCAAAGTGGCTTGTCATGACAAGAGGAAGTGACACTGAAATAGAAACATTGATTAGTAAGTAGACTCTAGGCTCTGGAACCTCTATTTTGTTCTTTTTTTATTTCCATCTGATCTGAGGGATGTAAAGGTATACTGTAATTAAATGTGGACTTTGCTATTAAAGATGTTGATATGACATTTAAAGAAAGTATATTCTGTAAACATTATGTCTCTACGTATCATAAAGGTTATAAGCCGACATGAACTCACTGGAACAAGACTGAGGGCATGTGGAGGTGCTACCTGTCATTCATAAATATATGTGAAAAAACATTATTGTTGGTCAGTGATACTAGAGTTTAGGGGCAATATTTTTAACCTATAAGACTCTTATCTGAAAGCCTTGTTATATTTGTTCAAATCCCACAATATGAAGCCCACAGTGTCAACGGACCTTTTCCCACTCACCCTGTGAATGTGTGTGTGTGTCTGAAGGTTGTATTGAATCACCAAAGGCCAAAGGCGGCTGCAGCACGCGCCTCTTTGTGGCACTGTTCTCTTATGATCCTGCCTCCATGTCCCCTAACCCCGGGGCTGTAGAGGAGGAGCTGCCCTTTAACGAAGGACAAATCATCCAAGTAAGCCCCTGTCAGCACAGCATCACCAAAGGAGCAAACTCAAACTCATACAAACCATTACAATTCACACATAAAATAGACAATTTTCTTGTCCATATTTTGAATAATTCATTGGATACTGTATGAAAATGTTTTTGTGTTTTCCAAAGGTGTTTGGGGATAAAGATGCAGATGGATTCTACCATGGGGAGTGTGCTGGACGTGTGGGCCTGGTGCCTTGTAATATGGTGTCTGAAATCCAAGTGGAGGATGAGGAGACACGACAGCACCTCCTGAAGCAGGGCGCTCTGTCCACAGTGGGCACCATAGACAAATTAGGTATGTGTTTGTTCAGATGTGTTTTATGGGTCCACTGTATACCCAGTGTCTGATTTGGAGTGCTAGTACCTCTTTCTACTGTGTATTATTGTTGTGTATTGTTGAGCAAACCACTCAGCATCAGACTGCCACACAGATGCAGATGGTTTAACTTTTCACTTCCGCTTGTTTTCAGGCTTACTGCTGCTCACTCGGTGTCATGGCTTTTCACTGCTGTTTTCATTGTCTCTTTGTTCCATGCATTTTTCACAATATATCACCTTTATATTTATGTTTGATTATGTTCCTCCTTTAAACTTTCATAAAGGCACTTGCACACATGCACAGCTTCCTCGTCGCGCTGCTCCACCCCCGAAACCAAGGCGATCCAAGAAAGGTGTGTCTTAATGCAGTTTGTGGCTTCCGCCTCTGCTTTAGTCACATTTCTGTTCTCCTCTCTCTTTCATTTGAGCTCTTCTCTCACAAGTCATTCACCACCTGTGGGTTTTTTTAGGTGATATGCTGTAGTCACCACAAAATCAGACATATTTCACTAGTTTCATGATTGGGAAAGCCTTTAAAGTAGTTTTGTCAAAATAGTTTGTCACATAACTTTGTTAGTAAAGTTTTTTTTCTTCAGTGGTGAATCATTGATGAATTTCAAACAATTTAACCCTACACCATATTTTTCTACACAAGTCATCATTTATATTTATATGCTCATTTAAGTAGGATTATTTTAAAGACTGGCCGTCAGCTCATGTGTTTCATGATCTTCTCACTTTTAGTGGATGTTGCCACTGTGTGGGATCTAAGTCAAGGTGTGTTCAAGCTAGTTTTACTTGCATGATTAACCAGACATCTTTTAGATCAGCATGCATCACTGCGACCCCCGTCATAACAGCACCTGCTCTGGAAGTACTACAGCCATGCTTTTGGGCATGACTGATGGATGCAATGAACAAGTGAAAATGTGTGTGCATGACAGAAGTTTCACTTGCTGTCTAACCATCATTTTCTTTCCTTAATTCTGTGTTTTTTTTCTTATTCTTAGTCACCAATAATTTATTGCATTTCCAATTTTGTGTTGTACTAAATATATTTTCTCAGAGTTAATTCTCCAGCACAGCATGCAGCTGTTTAAACAGGAGCTTTTCTTTATATGCTGTAATTGATCCATTTTAATTAAATCTATATATTTATCATTCTGTAACAGAACCCAACGAGCCCCCAGCAGTGGCAGGTGAGAGCAGGGCTGTCGGGGGTGTGGCTGCTCCATTACTTAACCCTGGTCCAGAGACCCGCAAGATGGTGGCCATTTTTGATTATGATCCCAGAGAGAGCTCTCCCAACACAGACATAGAGGTCTGTGGAACAGTTCAATATAATATATGTTTTGTGTTTTTAAAGATAAACTATAAATATTTGATATAACTGTCTCTAGGCTGAGCTGACGTTCAGTGCAGGAGACATCATACATGTAATGGGAGACATGGATGAAGACGGCTTTTTCTATGTGAGTAAAGGCTCATTCTTGTTTCATTAAATACTGCTCTGAGCTGCTCTGTGTTCTGACCTCTGAACTCTGTGATGACACCCTGACCTCTGACCTGTGTGATGACTCTCAGGGGGAGCTGAATGGACAGAGGGGCCTGGTGCCATCAAACTTTCTGCAGGCATTACTGGAGTCCAACTCAGCTGCTCCACCTCCTCCAGATCCCAAAAGAGAGTCCCAGGTATTTTCATCTGCTCAGGACAAACATCATTCACTTTTTTGTTTTTTAATGGGGTTGTTCATCTTTTTCTTTGTATTTGCACTGTACTGTTTTGCTGCATGCAGAAGCAAAAAAGAAGTGTACACTTTGAGACCTGATTGTAAGTCTATTTTAGAGTTCAGTGGTCAACTCCCAAATTCCTCAATACCTTATACACAACCTGACCTCTGCCCTCAACCCAGACATCCCCGTTGTGTGTTGTCAAAATTGTAGTTGCTTTAGATCAGAGTCAGACTTAAATGTGTAACAGCCGCCTGATAATTACGCTTTTTAATTACTCCTTATCTCATAAGGCTCCTGAGATGAGTTACCTACAAGATCTAGAGCCTCCAGCCCCACAGGAAGCACACTGCACAGATACAGAAGCTCCTCGCCCAGACCAGATGAAAGAGGCCCCAGGACCGGTCGCAGAACAGGCCCCTGAGCCAGTTACTCCTGCAGTGGAGCTGATGGAGGCCCTTCCTGATGCAGTCCCTGCTCCACAGGGAGACAGCCCCATACAGGCCAAGAAGAAGAAGAGCTTCTTCTCTAAAGGCAAGAGACTCTTTAAAAAGCTGGGCTCCAGTAAGAAAGAATAAGTCCAACTAACAGAAAGCACTTTTACAAGTTTTGTTAGTGTTCAAAATATCACTAGTAAATCTGCTGCTAAACCCAAAAAATGTTTTGTTCAAATGCTTGATAATATAAACAAAACCTGGTCAAAAGTCACAAATGATTTACCATTAGAGCTCAGTACTCATGCTAAAGCCACTTTATTTAAAAACTAAAGAATTACAAACAGCAGTCTGTATTTTCCATGTGGCACTGTCCTGGTAGTCTTGTGGTCCATGTTATTTACACTAATGCTATTTATTTATTATATAATATAGAACAACTTCCTTTATATGTGTCAGAGCCTGGCCTGTTTGACTCTTGTTGTTCATCTCTGACTGTGCATGTGCACTGTGCAGTAGTTATAGTGAATGGTGAATGAGAGGCCTGTGAGTGACAGCTGCAGTCTTATGATTACATTTTTTCTGACATGATTATTTAAGAGTGTTTAAATTCAAAATATTTTATTTAAAATGCTTCAGAAAAGTTTTATGAGGGAAAAACTATAAAAGTGTGTATCTATTGTCTTCCTCTCATATTATGAAACCCACATAGTTTTGAGGGGTTTTCCTGAAGGTGCCCCTCTCCAGACACTTCTTTGGGCTGACACAAATAGAGTGAAGTCACAATACTTACCTGTGTTTGTTCAATTCAGTATATACACATATATCCATAACTGACAGTTTTTCTGACATCAGTATATTAATACATTAGACATATTCATTTGTTAGGATCAGGGCACCAGGTTTAGGTTATAATATGGTCTTTTGTTTCAATGGCTGTTTCATTAACAGATGTTAAATCCAAGTATCAGCTTCCATTGTTTGTTTCTCACTCATGTGGGAGGATTAGCAATATAAAAGTGAAATGCAGCTAGCAGCAGTGTTGTGAAGTGGTGTGAATGCGTGAGTCTGTGTGGTTGTTTCTCAGGTTTACTTATGCCAAGCCGCTCTTCAAACCTGGCTGCCATAACCTGCGGCATATGCCAAAATCTTAGGTGCTTTGACTGTCAAATGTAAAAAACAACTTATTCAATGCTGATCCTCTAGATTTAGGCATCATTAAAGCTGCACTATGCAACTTTTCTGCCAGAGGGTTTCCATGGACATTTGTTTGCTTTGTCTGGAATGTTCCACAGTATGGCATTAACACTTGTCTTGCATTTATTCAATTACATGTGTTTTTAATTATTAAGTCCAAAAATACTGAAAAACAAACATTCTTACGGCAGACCCTTGACCAGAAAAGTTACATATAGTACTTTTGGATACATACAAGAAAGGAAGATGTATGTAGTAGTTTATTTGATAGATTAAAGGAATTTTTAGAAGTGGTAACTGAGGCCAGAATGTACTGTAGAAAGTTTTTGTTTTTATTTCTCACACAAGGGGAATCTACTTCTGTGTGTACTGTGTACTGTTGTTTTCTGGCCTTCAGTGAATATGGACTTCCACCTGTTGTATAGTACCATATGTGGGGCCTTTGTGCCTCAGTCTATGCCCCTGCAGCTAGTACCACACCATAGCTTAAACGTTAGCCTTATATAACGAGACCTTCTTTAGTCTTGTATATATGTGTGTGTATATATATATATATATATACATATATAATGACTATATGTATATATATACGACTATATCTGTGTGTGTATGTGTGTGTGTGTGTGTGTGTATATACATATATATATATATATATATATATATATATTATATATATACAGGAAGTGACTGCAATGTTGAACTCATGTTTGGCCTTATTTAGGACGTGTTTGTGTGTTGAAGGCTGATTGGTTTGAATTATTTGACTGAAAAATGCAGTGAAAGAAGCTGAGTGTTACGCTCTGTTTTTACACTATTTGCTAACTAGGTTTGAATGTGCTGTATTTTATATAGCACTTAAAAAGGTTTGTTATTTAATTGTTTATGTTACTTTTGTATCATACTACTTTTATTACACTTTTGGAAGTTTATTGTAAATACTTTGTAAATAATTTATAAATGTTTTTTGCATGTGTCCATGAAGCAAGTTGCACAGAGGACTTAACTTGAAGTTGTGATGCTTTATTTAAATATGACATTTTTTACAGAATTAAATGTATATTTTTACATGAAACATTTTATCTCCATTATTATATTGGTACAGTATTTACAATATACAATTCAGCACAACCAGGTGATGCCGATCTGCTCTGCCGTACACGTCCCATGTGAACACACAGACACTGTGGGCAGTGCACAGCTGAGAGACCAAGCAGCTTCCTCTTCTTCATTTCCTGTGCGCAGCCTCGGTGCGTCCCTGCAGCCAACAGTACACTCATCCATAAAGTAGGAAACACTACACTGTGGCCTGGAGTTTAGTAGTGCTTTCTACTTTATGGATGACTGCACTGTACTTCCATGGTTCTTCTTCTTCTCTCTTCTTCTTGAGCACCTGCTGTCGCTCCACAGCTGCACAGCTGCACCCACAGCCCCACCCAGACCCACTGTCAAGCACTAGAGCGAAAACTGACATTTTCAGCTCTACGCACCACAGTCAATACACAGTTCCTCATTTGTCTATTAATATTTGCATGTGAAGGCTAAATTTGACAATAGTTTAAACACTGGCTTTACCATTTTCCCTTTTCTTTCCCAAATCTCAAATTAACTGAATTATTAAAAAAGTGAACCAATCCAAAGAACAGCTTGAGGAAGGGTTTGAGGAAGCCATTTTGGCGGCCATGATTACATTTTTTTTCTAAGTCTCACCCCAATTGTTACACATTATACACTGAGTCTAAAGTGTAAATTGTTTTTTTTTTGTATTAATATAATGATAAAATAAAATCAAGAAATGGCTGTAGTTGAATCTAATCAGACATTAACAGCAGTAAGTACCTACTTTAAAAGTTCTCACACTTTTTCATAATTTAGGTGGTAAAAGACATAATATGTTGTTATATAAATGCTGATAAATATGTTTAAATTTGATTATACTTTACCTGAATGTGTTTGCTTCAGTTAGCGTCAGTGGTCCGGGTCTCGCAGGTGTCTTCAGAGCGTTGAAGAAACTGGTGAAGAAGAAGAAGAAGGCGTCTCTTTTTGAAGGCTTGATCCACACGTGATGTAACCACAGGAAGAGGTTTAACAGTCATAGCCGCCCTCTTTCTCTGTCTCTGCTGTCTCTGCTGTATGCTTCAAATGACCACATTTAAAATGTATAAAAGTATTTTTCACCATTAGCGACAATGAAGACACGTGCAGATACACAATAATCATTATTACAGGTTTACGCCGTATATTTGGAATAATAAAACCTATAGTGCTATTGTAACAGCTAAATATGAATATAGGCTAGTCACATAGCTAGATGTTTTAAATAAGGTTTCAAATTTACTAAATTAAAAGTTATTTTTTGGGAAATTTAAATGATGTCTATTGTAGACTGATATAACCAAACATCCAGTTTCCTCCAGAGCACATGTGCAATGTGAGGTTGGGTAATATAGAAATGAGATTACAGGCGACACTATCAGCATACTGTCAGCGTGATCCTGGCTCTTGATATATAGATGACCTAAATCCTTACTTTATTCAACATTATTGAATACTATGTGGTTTGGGCTTTGACGTATAAAGCACTCAGCACCTGATAATCTTTGTTCAGATTTGATGAGACAGCGGCCAACAACAGGAAGTGAGGGTTGTGCGAGTCAGGTAACTGTGAATATAAGACTTCCTGTGCAGCATTCTACAATGTTAATTCTCACTTATAAGTTGACCTTTTGTCAAAAAACTGTTTTCTGTGAAGGAGTTATGTTTGTATGTCATTATGAGATACACAGCTCAGTATATAACAGTTTGCTCTACTACATTCAGAAGTTGTTAAACTAACCAAAGAGTTGAAAGATTCAATTGTGATTAGATTTGTGATTTATGATTTATCAAGAGAATTCTTCTCAAATCTCACTTTTTAAAAACATTAACATTTAAAAAAAAAAAAGTTAAATACTACTAAACTGATATAAGAATTCCATCCTTCTCAGTCAGTAGAGGTGTAAATGCAAGGTTAGCAAGTTTTATACAGAATAAGAGTTGATAGTATGTTGTTTGCAGAGGAAATTATATTTAACAATGTGATTTGTTAATGGCAACAATTTAAATTGTGATTTTGATTCTATTGCAATATATCTTGCAGCACTGCTCAATGTAAATGTAATGTGTTTATTTGATCAGGGCCAATGCACAAAAGACATTAACCTTATTATAATTATTAAAGATGTCATGAGCCAGGTTTTAGCAAAAATGCTAGTTTCCTCCTGCAGTCTCTGGATTCTCACATATGAATAAAGACATAATGTAAACTGTACTTAATTACATGATTGCACAGCTGTCTATGGCTTAATTCCCTGGCCTCTGTTGTACTTCACCAAGAGTTTAATTAAAAGCAACTCGTCACACTGTCATTAATATTTTTGTTATACTTTTGCAGGCGGATGATCAGGATAACCCTGTCTCTGCCCAATGACATTAAAAATAATGGACTTGGCTTTTTTTTGTTTTTGTTTTTTATATTACTGACAGGATTGGACATGAAATCCATAGATGACTCAGGTATTTTTATACTTTACACACATTTTTTGTTCTCTCACAACTACACTATGAAACAATATCACACATGAATAAGAAGGTGTTGTAAAGACTCAACATATGGTTAATTTTAGCTTTCAACCTTCCCATCTCCTGACCCCTAGCCTGCATTTGACTAATCCCAGCCCACCTCCCCCCCTTCTATGTTCATGTCTTGATGCAGCGTCTTAGTAGAGAAGCACAGTTAGTTTGCACAGTGAATAATGTCGAAAGCTTGGGGGCCTTCGAAGCCCACCCTGCCTTACATGATACCCTCTCTTATCTGGAGCGGCAGCCATTTCCCCTCCCTGCCTGCCCCTAGTCGCCTCTGGGTAGGTCTGAGAGTTGCCCAAACTGAACTTAAAGGAATTGATCTGTTCTATTTGCACAAAGTCTTGTAGCTTTCAGTTCTGTAGTCACTTTCTGGACTGCTGGAAGGAGGAAGTTCACTCGGGCTTATGAAACAACAGTTAAAATGTGTGTGGTAGTGTGCTGATAATGTCCAACCCCCATTCTGTTGACTTCCCCATCCATGCTGAGTTCTAATGCAAGCTTGCCCTTATTTTTAAATATAAGCCACATTTTGAATTGATACAAAACTGCAAACGTTTTGATCTTGGCACTCGCCATGACATCTCCAAATAAGGGCAAAAACTCAGAAGGAAGCACCAATGAGACAACAGGCCTAGGGCGACTAATGTGTGAAAGAGTGGCGCGCTTCTTTTCACACAGATGGTGAGATGGGACACGTGCGTAGGACGGCGAGGAGGCGGAGCTCAACGCCTTCTCGAACATAGCTTGTGGCCATGGCTCAGTTTCATTCTGAGTGAAAACCTCATTGCAAGATTTCAGTCACACACAATAGGAAAAAAAAAGTTTGCTTACATATTTGTCACTTGAAATGCACACCAGTGCCTGCATGGAAAGAACAAGAATTTTACTTACTACAATTATAATTAAGATTTCCACTCCGATAATACACTGCTAAATAAAATTAAAGGAATACTTTGAAAACACATCAGATCTCAATGTGGAAAAAAGAAAATATGTTGGATATCTATACAAATGTGGACAGGGCAATGTCAAAAGGATGTTTCCTCTTTTAAGAGAAATGAACAACAGGTGCACTGGAGTGGCAACAATTAATCAATTAAACAACTAAAACAGGACTGGTTTTGTATGTGGAGGTCCTTTCAAGTTTCCCCCTCTTGGTCTTATTTGGCTGGTTTTCCACTAGTGATGGCTTTGGCTAGAGTGATTATTACCACAGGGAGTCTGAGGCCATTACTTTACCCTACAGAAGCTGCACATATTGTCCAATTTCTCCAGGATGATGCATCCGGATGTGCCATACAATCTCCACAACATGGAAATTTCATGAGACAGGTAGTTAACTCTAGAAAAGCTGGACAGAGCCGTAGAAAATCTTCAACCCATCAGCAGGACTCGTGTCTGTTCCTTTGAGCAAGGAAGAACAGGTTGAGCACTTGCCCGGGATCTACAGAATGACCTCCAGCAGGCCACTGGTGTGAATGCTTCTGCCCAAACAATCAGAAATAGACTTCGTGAGGGTGGCTTAAGGGTACCACATCCTGTAGTTGGCCTTGTGCTCGGCGCCGAGCACCGTGGATCTCTGGTGCCCAGTGCTTTTCTCATATGAGAGCAGATTCCCGAGTTCCTCCTGATGCACAACAATGCCCGGCCTCATGTGGCAAGTGTCTGCAGGCAGTACCTGGAGGATGAGTGGATTGGTATAGTTGCATGGCCCTCACAATCACCTGACTTAAACCGATAGAACACATTATGTCTGGGAACATCAGAGCCTGCCAGGTTGCTCCTCAGATTCTACAGGAGCTCAGTGATGCCCTTACACAGATCTAATATCCTACAAGACATCATCCGTCATCTCATTAGGAGCATACCACAATGTTGTCAAACATGCATATAAGCACGTGGGGACCACACAAGAGATTGAGAAGCATTTTGAGTTGCAGAAATTAATTTTTGTCAAAACGGACTAGCCTGCCACTTTATTATTTCACTTTTTTTAGGGTGTCAAAATTAAGCCTTCTGTATGCTGAAAATGATTTTTTATTAAAAGAGGTGGCATCCTTTTGTTCCTATGACATTGCCTCGTCCATATTTTGTATAGATATCTATATATAATATAAGGATGCTGTATTTATTTATTTATTTATTTTTATGAAAACTAGCATCCTATAGAGGGCTCCAAAATCAAATTGGGGCTGGCTCAAGGTGATAGTGTTCTGGACCATCTCCTCCCTGGTCCAGAGCTACTGGACTGTGCGAGGTTCAAACATAATCAGAGTGCATTTCTATCCAGCCTGCGTCTGCATTTTTGTTGGACATGCATCAGTATGTCTGACCCACCCCTAAATTATCACCTCATGACAGAAATGCCAGCAGTTTCCACCTGTAAAACTATTTCAGTTAGGGGGTTCTCCCTATAGTGCGCCTCTTGTATTTATGTAAAACCAAAGTAACTGAAACTTTTGCGCCACTGGCCTGACCAATTTGTCTGAGTTTAGTTTGAGAATTCTATGCCTGTTTACACCACATGGAAACCCGAATAGGACTTTTAATCTGCTGCTTATGCTTTAGTTATTCAATATATGATCTACTTTAAAAACAAAAGTTGTGTCTCCTTTGTATTTAATCATTATGTTTTATGGATCACATCATAGGGTTTATGTAATTTTGTTTTCTCAGCTAAGATATATTACTATTTTTCTGCCATGTATACCTTGGTATAATGTGTGAGATTTTATACAATGTGTTGGACATGTTTGCTTTGGCTTTCAATAACGCAGTTCAGTAACTTCACAGAGCGTGGGCCATATTTAACATTGTGTAACTAGACGTGTGTCTCCACCTGGTGACAACTGTGTCCACAGGAAATCATTTCGCAACGAGAATCAGGATTAAATGTGACAGCGGAATCTGAAAAAAATGCATTCCATTTTTCATATACCCGTAAGGTATTGTATATTACAAATCAGTTAAAGAGAGACAATATGCTTACTGACTCGTTTAAAATTCCAAACTAAAATAAAAACAAAAAACTTTATTATGGACAGTACAAATAACAAAACAGTGGTACATATAAGCTTTATCAAATTACATGAATGAATCCACTGAGATCCACTGTGTGACAATTCGCTGGATTCAAGGTTGATAAGATGGAAATTTGAAACTCCTCTAGGTCTTCACCGCTGTGTCTCTGGATTTGTAGATAACTCCCCGACTCTTCAGCTCTCTTACCACTCCTTAAATAATAAAAATGTTGAATATAATTGTTTAATGGGTTGTAAGAAGTCCATAATAATAAAGGAAACGAAGCTCGATACCTGGAGGTAGTCTTCCTGTTACCGACACCGCATATACACCAGGTTTGAAGTTTCCTACCAAAAGGTACACAGTGTATATTTTTTTTTAAAACTGTGGAGGAACATAAAGTACCAGTAATAAAGTGTTGTACCTAAATCTGTACTTAGATGTACATTGGATCTCAAACTCTGTGCAAAATCTGTACTCTTCAAGTAAATTTTTAAACGAGTACTTTAATACTAGTAAATGTATGTTTTTTCATATGATACTTATTATTTATGTTTAACTAACAAAGCTGAGTACCTGAGTAAAAAACAAAACGTGGAAGTAAGGAGGCAATATGCACACACGTAACAAAAATCAATGTGACGATTTTGTATGCCTAGTGCCAAACCCCCATGAACTCAAATTACGAAATATGATTAGCGCGAATATCCCGTGCGTTTCCGACACGCTACAAAAAGGATACTCACCTATCCTCTGCCATTTGGCTACCCAACTGTCTTCCGGGCTCATCATGGCTATCACACTAGAATGCAACACACATTGCAACAATAAGCAATTCAATACAATGTAAATATTACTTAAAGAAGACACGCTGTCCATTCTTACCCATCAAATGATGAACTCGTGCACTCGTACACCATTTCTCGGTTTCCCTTCATCTGAAGATAAGACTCACAGTTGTCACAGCCATCATATTCAAACTGGTCAATTGTCTGAAACACAAACACAACAAGTGCGTGAAATATACCATTCTTTTCTCTTATCTCTACACTGATGGACAAAATTTCGTCAGTGGGTTTCAGACGCCTTAGCTGAAAAGCTAGCCCTTGTGTTTATCTCATAAAGAGCTCATTTTTACCTTGACCAAAGAACAGAGAAGACAAGCTCGCAGATGCCGAAGGTCTTTAGGAACAGTTTCTAATGCCATTGTATTTGTGACTTCCTGAGTTCAATTATGTTTATAGTAAATATATATATCGTGAGGATTGTTTTCTGTTTTCAAAAGCTTTGGTCGCTGTGGAAAAACGTCACAGCTCCATTAAGAAGTGGAAGGACCCAAAGATAAGCGACCAGTGTCCGCCTGCACAGAAAATATGTAGCATTCAGTTTACTGTTTCCTTTTATTGGTGGAATACGGAGAAATAATAGTAATTCCATCTTATTCCAAATACCTGCAAACATTTACAATAACCATATAGATAAATAAAACAGCCTCGTGACAGAAACTTTTTGCCAAAGATGGGATCAGAAATCACCTGTTTCTATGGAAACGGATGAGAAGCCCATATGGAGAAGCCTGATGGACTGTGTGAAACCTTGGGCTATTTAACGGCCCAGATCTTGACTTGAACGGTTTTGAGGAGAGAAACAAATAAGGTGAGCCAAGTACTTTCGGAAACGAAACTTTTACAACAATTGTAGGTAACATGCAAACTGCAGATCATTGGGCATTATTTGATTTAAGATGAAACTGAACCCAACGTTAATTAGTTATCTTGCTCACTGAGCAATTATTCACTCAATAAGCGCTGTTAACTCACAAAAACAACTGCACTTTGGATAGGCCTTCATTGGCTTTTTGTCATTTAAGTTAGACTCTCACTTTGACAGACTTTATTGATCCACAAGGAAAATTACTTGGACACAGTAGCGCACACATCACATTATATTACAATAGCACGAAGTGAAAATATATTTAAAAAATTGTAAAAGCCTGGCATTAATAAGACATAGGACATGGGCATATTGAGGCAATTGATTTAATTGTTTGCTTTATTTTGCAGCATTTCTTTTAGATGTTTCGACTGTGAAATTGAAGATGAATCAAACGTATTCTAAAATCCCTGAAACAATTTCCCCCCTGCGGTTTCCTGCCAAACTCTGGCATATGGTGAACGACCCAGCCAACAGCGCCATCTGCTGGGACAAGACGGGTGAGGTCATCTTGGTTGACCAACATCGTTTTGAGAAATTCGTCCTGTCTCCCATTTCCAAAGATGATGAAGAGTGCTTTGACTATTTCAGTACCACACAGTTTTCCAGCTTTGTTCGCCAGCTCAATAACTATGGCTTCAGGAAAACAGAAACGACACGCTGCATTATTTTTACTGATAATGAACTCATAATGTCCTCTGAAAGGTGGAACAAAATTCACCACTTCATCAACCCAAACTTCAGGCGTGACAATCCTGCACTGCTAGTCAACCTAAAGAGATTAACAGTAAAAAATAAGGCCAGGATGAATAGTGGTACTGATGTAAAGTGTCAAGCCCAAGGTAAACAAGAGGAGGGTGACTCTGAGAAATGTTTGATGAAAGGTAATTGTTTATTGGAGAATGAGAGTAGGGAGTTGAGGATAATAACAAAGGTCCATATTTGAGAGTGCTTTTTATGTTTTATAGGCAACTCATCTTCAGATAAAAGAGCATGTAAAGTAATGTCGCCTCCATGTCACCTGATACAGGGTAACATTCTGAGACATCCCCCTTCTGCAGCTCTGTCAACTCCCCAGCAGGGTATGAGATATGAGCTCAACTATGGTCACCCCAGATTTATCGGAATACAGCCTCAAATTAGGAGTACCGACCTGGCTTTTACTCCTCATGATTTTATTCATGATTTTATTGGGTCTTTCATTTGACTTGGGTGGTTTTATTGTGGCAAAAAGTAGATTATATAATAGCAATAATATAATTATTGCAATACTAATGTTATTAAATATTGCATGCTTTTCTAATATCAAAGAAACCCTATTACCAATACCCCAAACACGTATTATTTACTATCATTTATGTGTATCCTTATATTGTGATTTTATTTGTCCTCTGAAAGCCTGTACGTGCTTCCAACCACCTCTTATGCCGAATGGTACAAATAGACCCCTGATGCTGTTCTACATTTACCTACCGGTAGGTTGTATTGGAAATAAACTTTTATCCAAGTTTTATATTTGAACATGGTAAGTATTTTAAATATACAATATTTTTATATTATGTGTCTGTGTATTTTTTTTACATTTTTTTTTTTTTCTTTGGTGTTTACGCTTATTTAGGCTACGTCCCCCGTCTACCTTGGACCTAACAGTCATGGCCCTAGCTCACAGAATAAAGAGCAGAACCAAAAACCTCATGTCAATCTGGACAGAGTGTTCCAGATCGCTGATGAAGTGATGCCAATTCAACCAAATAACAACCTTACAAAAATTGTAAATCCAGAGATCCACAGTTGGAGAAGCGAGCACCTGGAGCTGCTATAGATGAGGTAAACACACATGTGGTTTCAAACACTTTTCATTGCATTTCTATGAACTTGTATTGTTCTCTGTGTCCCAGTGTTAATAGGGCACCAAAAAGGAGATAGTCAATGTTGAGGTGATACAAGTTGAAGTTAGTAAGACCAGTGGCAGCGACTCCTGTCTGGTTCAGAAAATAGTATTTAGATAAGCCAAGAACAAACGGTCAGGATCAAGAGAGGATCTTTGCAGGGAGGATTTACGGCAGTTCATTACAATTTCTGATTTAGTTCACATTTTAAATGAATTACAAAGTCTTGTTTTCTTTTAGTATTTCTCCTATTTGAATATCTTTTGCTTATATTGTTCTGTATTGAATTTACAATGATATGGTGTTGCACAGAGAGTTAAAGAGAGTCTAATTGATTTTTATTTCATCAAATAATTTATTGCAACACTTTGGTTTGGTGTTGGTAACAACAGTGTAACTACAGTGTCTACTTTCCAAATTGCCATGTCTTTTGCAATTACAGGCTGTAATAAATTTTTTCCCAAATGTGCTATGGTTTATGAATAAATAAATTAAACAATCGTATGGTATTGTATGGATACATTTACTGATCCACATAGTACATTTGTCTAAGAGCTCAGTTGTACAGTAAAATGCTCCAACACTCCCAGGAGATGGCGCTGTTGACTTCTATAGATGATTATAGATTATTGCCCCTGGAGCCAAGAGACTGCTCCGCCCTTTTCCCTCGTGCTGCATTTAGGTACAATGAGGGAATATTAAGAGAACATTTACTGATATGTTGGTAATTACGATACACTGGTTGTGCCAAAGTTTCCATAGACCAGCTAAAGTGTAATACCGGTCAGTTCATTGCTGCGCCATTTGTGTGCGTCAAAAGTCTTCTGTCACCTTGAGGCTTTTTTAAGTCTCTATAAAGTGTGATATTCCCGGGGTCGTGAAGGCTGCGCGGCTCTGAGCAGGTAGAGACTGTCAATGAGCTCCCGGGGGAGCGACCCAGAGTCAGTCCGGGAGGTACACTTGCGGGACGATGTAGGAGTGTACAGTGATTCCGTTTATCAGCGCTGCATGAAGACACCATTCGCCTGGACCACTTTGATTTTGGAACTGGTTTTCTGTGTCAACTTTGTCCTGGCTTCTGACTTTCATTAGTTTCGCCGCGTGTTCTCGAGAGGATTGTATTTGTCTCCCACTTCTTTGGTCCACCGGGGACATGAGAGTGTACGCGCAAACCTCAGCGGAGCGACCGAAGCAAACAAGTTAATGTGTTGGCCACGAGTTTTACCAGTGCGCAGTAATTATACACTTATATGTGACGACTATACGCTTCATTTGAGCTGGTTAATCATTAGGGAGAGTGTACTGAATTCAGCCACGAAAGGATTTTTTCGCAACTTCATAGTTGTAAAAACATTAGGCAACTTTTTTTTTGGCACGTTGCGTTATCTGTCAGTAGCTATGCCTTCTAACGCCGAGGCGGCAACCTGTGAAGCTGTCTTTGAAGTCCAAGTCTCGGCTGCTCCGTGCTTTTATGGATTTATCCCAAATATGCTTTTTCGTCGGGACGTACTTTGTCTGGGAGCGTTGTCACCTCATACCCTGGCTCCAAAATGCTAATGTGGGGAACAGTTGGGGGCAAACATCGATAACTATCGAGGCTCGTGCTGGCCGTGGTCAACAGTTAAGTCTACATTGACTCAAGTTTGACATGCGTCTAAAGCAGGGACCCACTTTGTGAAAGTGGGCTGTGGAGGCAGTGCACTGTTCGGGCTGAACACAACGTGTTTCCACGGCGCACTCGGCCATGCACTGCACACTAATGACACTGGAGGAAAGTTTATTATAGCTCACTTTTCAGGGCCACTGTGTGTACGAAGTGGCTGCATTTTTCTACGGGTAACCTGAATATGTAAACACAAATTCTTTTAGTGTAAAACACTACGTGTGGATTTGTATCTTGGTAATCGTCGCCTCTCAAAGCAGTAGGTCTCGTTTCGCGTTCAAGTCGTCTCTCTGCGGTGCTTGTGAGCTTTGAAGTCCACCATGTGCGGCCGGCCCGTGCCGCTCCTGCCCGGGCCATGAGCGTCCCCCCGCGGCGCCTGGCCGGGCTCTGGCCGTGGCTGCTCATGGCGGGCCTGCAGCTGGTGCTGGGCCAGCCAGGCCTGGGTCAACCGGAGTCCGAGCGGCCGCTGCTGCGAGCGCTGATCAAGGTGACCCTGCTCCGCCAGGAGCCTACGGGCAAACCCATCACCCTGCAGGGCCTGTTTGTGGGAGGAAGTGCGGGTTACGCGGAGGGAAAGTTAATGCAGGTGAGTGAACCTCGCATCTCTGTGGACACACAGTGCAGGGCTATATTGGTCAAATAAATATTTTCTCCTCACATAGACTGTTAGTGATGCAGTCTGGACTGCAACCGAGCCATGGTACTTTGTTAACGTTATTACATGCAATAGCCTTTATCACACCATGTAGCCTATGCCACGGACATACAGATATGCAGAAACGTATGGCTTTGGCAGTGGAACACATTGTTCAGGTCATCTATAGATCCAACAGTGACATATTTTAATAATAATAATGAATAACATGTGACATGTTCTAAATGAATATAGTGTGTTGTAACCACAGTCCTCTAGTGGCAGTTGCACCCTAACAGGGCGATCTTTGATGTTTAGGCTGTTGTTCTTGGCTGCTGTTGACCCATGTGTTCATATCCGTCTTCATCTGAAACTGATTAAATAGCCTAAACTTTGCCAGGCTGCCACCAGGGACTTTTCCTAAGTTCACATCAAAGGAGTCACTTGGTTGAGTGTTTCTTGTTCTGGTGGGCTCCATAAATAAGCTACAAATTCTGTATATAAACGTTTCCATTTTCACATCATATTATTGTGTGCTAAACTAAATGTACCTTATCTCTGTACAGTGTTGTATTGTTGTCTCTGGGGCTGTGCATTTCCAAAAGGCATGTGTTCTCTAAGGCCACACTTCGAGCTCGAAGTTCTGCATGTGATGACAGAATATCTAAATTCCTTAAACAATAGTGATGACATACAAGTGTTATTGAGGTTAGTTTCTTCTTAGCCTATTTTACTCACCCTTGAAAAAACATGGCTTTGGTTGGTTGTCAGCTCTGTTTTGCTCCAAAGTATTTCAGCTATTCAGTGCTCTTTCAACATTTGAATATCAAAGTTTGGTTTAAACTGTTAAACAAGCAAGTGCTGTGCAGGCTTAAGCTAACTTGTGATATAAGCAAAAGTGTTTTCTTTTGTGAAAAGTGTGGCGCTTTCAGTCTGTATTTGTGAAGTATGTGTTCTATTCAGTGTGCATATTTAGGATTCAGGAGTGGATTAAGACTGCTCGGTCATAAAGCGCAGCTAAGTCAATTTATTTGCTGTCTCCAAAGAAACGGGCCGACAGATATGAGGTGCTGGCTGATGTCTTTCCTCACTCACCAGGTGTGGGACAGATGCTCAGTGGGAAGTTTGCTGGAATTGATAAGGATTTACATGGCTTCTTCCCAGTTTATTATAATGTTTTTGTCAATAAATGTGCATGCTTTTGTCGTGGTGCATCATGTTGGCCGACCATTGATGAGCGCATAGTCCACACAAAATCCACTGTTATTGTGTTCCCAGCGTGTACCACAGTGTTGCCACAGGATGCCCTTTGTTGCAGCTTAGGCCTGTTTGGACAGGTCCTCCTCAGCTCTGCAGGCTGCTCCACTGTCCCACTTTAAGTTTCTGTCTCAGTCAGGTGGGATAAAAGCTGCTGTTTACTCCAGTCAATGCACATCTCTGGGTCAAAATAAACCTAAATCTGAACTGAGTTGGAGCTACACGAGAAATAAATTTCAACTAAGCCAGCGTTAGTTCTAAAGTATCACAGAGCCAAGTATAAAACTACTGCTACACTATTAGCAGTTCTGAGTCTAATGCTTTTTGTCTTTAAGATGTTTTAATTTCCCATTCAAGGGAGAATTGCAATGCACAGAGAGAGAAATACACAAATCAAGCCTGTCAATCTCACAGTGCAGTGGTCCTCCTCTTCTCTCACAAAAATACAGCCTGTGAATGAATAGGTTGGGAAGAATTATGGAGATTAAGCCAGCACTTTTTGACAAATACAAGTGGTCGGGAATCTTGACTCTGCTTGTACTAAACCTTGGGGGATAGCTCCGCTTCAGAGGATTTCATTAGCTGTTGAACAGTGTGTGCCAAATTAGGAATCAGGGAGCCAGAAGAGTGTAACTGTACATTCTTCTACCCTACTTGACTTTTCTTTCAAGCCAGACTGATTTAGAGCTCCCAAATATACATCAACTATGATGAAGACAATTGAGAGAAGGCCATTAACACCACTTCACATTCCAGGGCCTTGCTTCATGTGTCCCAGAAGGTCTGTCCGGGTTCCTCCTCCCTCTCCCTGGGCTCTGAAGTGGCCTCTGTAAGCTGTCTTTAGGGACAGAGGATGGAGGGATGGAGGACGGATGGATGGAGGGATGGGAGGGCAGAGGAGAGCCTTGGGATTACTTCAAAGTGCGTCCATCTCTGAACGTGAGCTGGGATGATTAAAAAGAGACACTGTTTACTCTGCACTTCCCACATGGGCCCTGAGCTCCCCCTCCCTCTAGACTTCCTGTCCGTACTTCCTATCATCCTGGATAGATAAGGGCCCATGCCGAGCTCCTCAGGGCTCCTTCAGGCTCTGCGCCGCTACTGCCTGCACACGATGTACCGACTCTAGCTTGGTCTGTGAGAAACAAGGCCACATTTTACTTGAGTTTCTGGCATGTTCATAAAGTGCATGAATATTTATCATGTTAATGCCCAGTTTCTGCCCTGCAGTTGTTTTGAAATGAGGTGGTTGTCTGGGCCGTGACAGCTTTGAATATGGACTAATGCAACAACAATATACTGTAAATCATTTCACACCAGTCAACATAGATTGGCCATGGACACATTTTGGTCCCCAAATGATGTTAATTAAACAGTGAAAAACAGCTACCATTTCAATAGGCTCTAGTATGTGTGGTAACAAGTTCCTACATTGTTCTTATAATACATTTTGTTTAAACATCATTTTAGTTCTTATGATTAGTGTTATTATGATTTGGATGATGATTTTGCATATACTGCTAAGTCCTCATAATTCCAAGTTGTTCTTTTGCATATCTGGCATACAGAGTACACACTCACTGCTCCACCTAATCGCCAGTGCATTGACTATTCACCTCTCGATCTGCCCTTTGGCAACACGAGGACTCCAAGTATGTCTGAAATCACTATAAGCTCACAATTTCCCTGCGCTTTGCCTCAGCACCTGGTGGATGAATGCTGCCTTTTCTGTGATCTGACAGGGCATCCGAGGACAGGCTCCTACCATAGCAGCAGAATATGATCCTAGTTCTGCGCAGAGAGTTGGTACAGAGATTAATCCTATCCGTTGTTTGCCCAAGCCGCCCAGGTTTACTCAGAATGTCAGCTCCCCTGTGTCTGTGTACGACCTCTTGGACTAATGGCTTCTCCTGCCTTTGACGAATGTGCAGCTCCGGAAACTACTGCTGTGGCCCTTATGTGGACATGTTTCAGGACAGTTACAGGGAAAACATGGCAAGTCCTTCAATCCTGCGATGTCCTTTTAACTCATTAAAGCAGGTCTGGAATAGTGCAGTGTATGTCTCAGTTACACAACACATTCTTTTAGTTTTCCCTTCGCTCTGTTCTTCTATATCACAGTTTTATTCATCAAGTCCCTCCCTCCTCTAGTGCAAAAGAGCTTCGTTGACTCACTTAATTCCATGGTTTTTGTAGCACGCCCATGCAAACACACAAACACAAGAATTCAAGAATATCATGGGGTAGTAGACTTTTGTTTATTACTAGGCCTGCAATAATTCACAATAATTACTGTATTGTCTTATTGTTCAATACATGATAGATGGAACAATAATTTTTATGGGACAATATTTATTGTGGTCATGGCATGGGTACCTTTTCCTTGTACTAGCGGGGAATTTATTATTTTTTTTTTTTTTGTACTACAGTAAGATTTGAACTGTAGAGGGTTGAACACATACTGTAACTTCTGTGTTTTGTTTTTATAATTATTGCAGCTTATGGTAATTAACAATACTGTTGGCCTGGGCAAAAAACTGTTAAATCAATCAATTGACTTTGAAGTTCAAATTGATTTGTTTGGCAGAAAATGTATTTTCTTTTTTATTTTCCCCACTTTCTTACATTGGAAATTGCATTGAAAATGCAATAAAGGCTGCTCTCTGCAGTTACAGGGACCAAGGTTTAGCACAAGGCCATACATGTTAAATATTAGGGTTGCATCTTTAGTTCAGTAGTTTGTTTTATCTCATCCATAAAAGATTTCCTCATTTGGCAATGGGTATGATCACTGAATACAGTCTTTTCAGTGTTGACGGTTTTCTGTAGTTTTTACAGGAGACAGGGAGAAACATGAAAATTGAATAGAAAATGAAATTTCTTGGAGAAAAAAATGTCTTTACATAGTCAGTGAGTGAGGCACTAAACTGTTATTCAGAGGTAAGAGGATTTTCATTGTAAATGATAGACCATTGAGCTCCTTCATTTCACATGTGCCACTGAAAAAAACAAATCTGGGAAAGCTGTTTCTTAAAGAGTCTTTGAACATTGCTTAAATTGAGTCTCCCAAAGCAGCTCTGAATCCTGACAGCGTGACTTTATGATATCTAATTGATCGGGGGCAGAGTGGTGGAAAAGCAGGGCACTCACTCTTTGTCTGGCCCTTCTTTCATTGTGTAAGTCTCAGAAAAGCTCTTCCCACCAGGCACAGGGGGAGCCGCCAGTGTAGGCAGCTGTTTTAAGTTGTGCCATTATGTGGCCTAGCATCGATTACAAAGGAGCGGAATGAGTCATCACTTAAGTAGTGCTATAAAAGAGCTCACACATGCACTCTTATATACACAATGGTGCGCACGTATGCCTTTGATGGCACCATACCTGGCACAAGATTAGCAGGGGCGTTTTCAGGGTCAAAGGAATTCAATTATGTCTAAATCCAGGGTTAGACAAATAGCTTGGCATTTTTGCTTACCTTATGAGAAGGTATCCGTGGCGACCTTTTGGGGTCTGTCCTGACTGTACAGGTCAAGAGAAGCACCTGTCTCTCTCCAGTTGAAAGCGTTCCATCGGGAGCAGAGAGGAAAGACTGTTGATCCAGTGTGGAGCAGAGGCCAAGCTCTCCCAGCATCCCCTGAGGATCAAGGCTACTGCTATTCAGGCAGATTTACATGGAATCACTACCGCATCTGATAGCA